TCGCCTTTTGTCACAGAATAAGTTTGCTTTTTCCTTGACACCTAGACCCTGTTGCTGCAAAAGCTTCTGTTTCATGTCCCGTGTTTTCATTACAGCAGGAATTTCATTAATATATCCTCGGAAGGTACCATACCAGAAGATTGTCATGTGGATGCACATTTCAAATTTTTAGCGCCTCGTTGCATTATCTGATTGCAGGGCCCAAATTCAAATATCTCACCCTTCTGGCGTTGAAAACCGGCAGCTAGTTTCAGTAGTAGCATAGTGAGGACCATTTCACCTCTGAGCTTGTGCCTTCAATTGCTGTACTTTCTTTGATCGAAATGTTCTTGAGAAATAAAGCTAAATGCAGGCTGTTTGAATCAGATATTGCTCTGTCAGGAATGGATTCAGAAAACCTATAGTGCTCCAATACACAATCTAGATTCGGAATGGGCAATAGGTTTCACAAACTATGAGTTCAAGCAACGAGGCGCTAAAAATTTGAAATGTGCAATTGCAAGCCAGATCCCAGGACTTGATCGAATGACAGTCTTCTGGTATGGTACCTTCCGACGATATAGTAATATCGCTAAGTATGAAATTCCTGCAGTAAAGAAAACTTGGGACGAGAAACAGAAGCTTTTGCAGCAACAGGATCTAACTGTCAAGGAAATAGCAATCTTATTCCTTGACAAAAGGCGAAACAATCATTTGATTAAACTGAAATAAAGGGTAGTCCTTTCACAAATGAAAAAATGTTGATGAACTTTTTAAAAGTGATTAGACATAGGAGGACAAGCAAAAGCATCTGTATATCGAACGAAGTAAGATATGCTTGAGATATATCCATATAAGTACCTAAACAAAGTAACATTTTCCGTTTATTAAAGGACAATAAAAAAATTGCCAGCATCTATTTATGGGGCCAATTTGAAGGGCTGCCTAAGCAATCTCAGTTGTAAAACAGATGTAACGATGAGTGATTTGAATTCAGTCCGACATAGCTTAACTTTGCCAAAATAATGATATTATGTAATCGTATTCGAATTGATGAATATTTCAACACATGCTAAATATGTTGTTTGTGGTTTCTTTTTTGTTCGAAATCACCACAAATTCGGATTCTACGCCCTTGAAAACATAGTATTCGACATATTACAAGACTATGTTTGGTCGAAAAGCACAAAATACATATTTGAGGCGGCATTTTGGCCGCCATATTGGATTCTTGTGGATCATTTTCAATGTCATATTCTGCCTTGCAGACCACAAAAATTGATATTTGAGCCTGTGAAAGGCATTCTAAACAAACTTGTTAGTGGTGAAATGACAGAAAAATTGATATTTTGGCTAATTTGAGGTACCCCATTTTCAGGGGGTATGTACATGGGGGTCAGGGGGGTCCGGGGTCAAATGTTTTTCTGTATTATGGATTTTGATACCCTTCCACATATTTTAAGCACCGTACCGCTTGGCTTCCAGAATATTTGTTGAACAAACACCCCCCCCCCCTATTTGAAGCCAGAAGAAGTCTGCAATAGGCAGATTTAAAGTTGTTCGAATGGTCCTGACGTGATCCCCTCTTTAAGATTGCATGAGTCAATAAAGATAAGTGAACGATTGAATTATTATATAAAATATAAATATTGACATGTTGGGGTTATTTTAGTGAAGGATAACAAATCTATATTTTAACTAACGCTCTATTTGTTGATTATTGTATAATACCATGGGTAGAAGTATTGACAGTGCGGTGTTAACGACGATCGTGTATTTATTTAGCAGGTTGGACCTTTAACCACACGGGTGTTCGGATGGCCGAATGGTTAGCAAGTGTGCGCTGTATTATTAGGTCTGTTATTGAGTCAACCGGTGTGGTTTCGATTCCTGGCTTGTACGTGAGAAGGAATGGGGTCGCCTGTCCAACCTCGTGGGTTTTCTTCGCGTCCTCCGACCAACGCCCCTACACACACAACCGTTGATAAAGACCCTTACGTGCAAGCGAATTAAATCCATCTCTCTCTCTCTCTCTCTCTCTCTCTCTCTATTACTGCGAGTAAAGTATTGACCGTGAGGTGTTAAAGATCATATATTTATTTAGCAGGTTGAGCCTTTAACGACACACAATCTTGGAAATGAAATGGGGTTTAACGACCTACTAGTGTGCACCCATTGAGCTAATGGAGGCAGGGAATTTTTCCCGGACAGCGACGCTGCAACTTACTCTTATATTGAATTCCAATTGCAAAAGGTTATTTTACGTACACTCCAATGTGTACACGGTACCTCAGGGTGTTTTTTTTCGTTACCGAATGCCTATACTTTGTCCCTTCCTTACCATGCCCTCCGTCCTACATCACTGGCCACGACTGGGAATTCTAATGACCCTTTTCGGTCAACATCGGAATCAAACACGTCACCTCTATATTACCTAGCCAACGTCTTACGCAATGAGCCACCATGGCTCCTGTTTTTGATAAATAATATGATGTTTTTATTTCTTTGGATCAATTTGTTTATTATGAGTAAATAAAGTTTGAAGATATCGATATTTTGAGCTGGAAATATTCGATCATTTATTGATATAGATCTATTATACAGGATGAAAACAAACAATAATAATTGATTGTCGACTAATTAAAATTCCGAATTATTCAATATGTCTAGTATCAGTCACGTGATGTGTTTTTGTAACGATGGGGGGGGGGGCATTCTTTTGGAATTCCAACTTACAGGGGTTCTTTTACGCGCACACCAATGTGTTCTAGGCACCCCGGTTTTCGACCTCTTAGACACCGTTCCTGGTCAGACCCTCAGTCCTTGCAGTCTCATGTGACAGCTTTTGTTCTTCAAAGCGATTATCAGTGAGCAGAAAGTCGACCTTGTATCTGTTATCACTCGTTACTTCAGTAAGTTATATAGAAGGATAACTCGTGTTCTCCATTTTTGTGTTACTTCCGTTTCTTCAAATCTTCGTTACGCATCTATCGTAGCAATGATTTCTGTGTTAGGATTATATTTGGAACGTGTTAAACCAGTTCTATCATTTATGTGGTAATGGCTGACACCGATATTATCTTTAAACATACATATGTAAGAGCCAAATCTGCCTATTGCAGGTCTTTCTTTAGGCCTGAAATGTTATATAAACTATTAATTAGACATTTATTAACAAAACAAGACCATAATCGACTCTCTAGCCTGCCATTATTATTGGATTAGGTTCCGATTTGATGTTCGACTTCCATTCATAATTTAATCATGAAATGGATAATCGAGACTATGTTTTTTATCGGACCGACTTTAGTAATGATGATCGGGGCTAGGCTTAAAAATTCAATTTGACTGAAATTTTCATCAAATTCCCTTTACAGTATCTAGTTTTAAACTATTATAGTTGCCAGATCCTTATCTAATCTCTCAGAATGTATCTTCAAGTCTGTGAGGGGCCGAATGGTTAGCACGTGCCTGTGACAAGGAATAGGGTCGCCTGTCCAACCTCGTGGGTTTCCTCCCACTGCTAAAAGACCCCTACGTGCAAACGAATTATTGAAATAAAATTGAACCATATGTTAGTGTCGAGTGGACGTTAAACCCCATCTCTCTCTCTCTCTCTCTCTCTCTCTCTTTCTCTCTTTACGTCTGTGACTAAAACACCAGGAATACGTGTTTATGAACCTTTAAACCCAATTAGACTAGGTGTTGATTTAATAAAATGACAAAAACTCAAGGTATTGAATATTCTTCAAGACAACAAATTTCATTATGTTTGTTTACTTGGTGTTCCTGTCTTATCGATTCGAATATCAAGACGTAGTTTTTAACAGATAAATTCAGTTAGGTTGTAGCCGCAGTGTTCGGGTATCAGACGGTGAATATATATCGTTAGTTTGTGATTTCTCTACACACTATCAGATGGTACAGAAGGAGTAATCATGCCATGTGAGCTCCTAAAATAAGAAATGGCATCAGGCCTTCTAGAAGGAGTAAATATACTACGTAAACTCCTCCCTACTAAGAAATGGTATCTGATCTTCTAGAAAGAGTAGGGATATTATATGAACTCCTCCCAAAGAAATGGTATGAGGTGTTCTAGAAGGAGTAGACATACTTTATGAACTCTACATATGAGAAGTGGTACCAGGCCTTCTAGAAAGAGTAATCATACCATGTGAACTTTTCAAATGAGAAGTTGTATCCGGTATTCTAGAAAGAGTTTCTACATCATGGCGTCATTCTGTCTGACACCGTATCTTGCTTTTGTTTTTTGGATGAATGCTATATCCTGTATTGATCTGTCATTGGTGACCTTTGAACCTTGTGAATTTAATGGTACCCGAGCAAATAGCAGTTCGTGTTGTGTGGAATCGGTTCTTAGAAATCTGTGTTCAGTTCAGAGCTTGGATAATTGGGAGAATGTAGCAATTTTTTACGACACAAACGACGGCCAAAAAATGGTAAGCGCCTTTCTCAGTCATTGTGCTGACGTCAAGACCACAATTTTTGACGTCACGGATATGACGTCTATTGAGATCCGTTCCATGTTTTTAACCTTATATGGTATGATGACGGATGGTGTTAGGGTCGTTCTAATGCCGGGTACTCAAACTTTAAAAATTCTAAAAATAGCAAATAATTTAGATGATAATTCTAATAGAACTACTAATTTTAGAACTAATTCAAAATGGATTATATTATGCCATGAGAAAATAAAAACATCTTTCGAACGATTGACATTAAATTTGGTAAATGTTTTAATAATGGGGTGTTTCAACGGGAAGTTTGAAATTTATACGATTCAACAAAATGCTGCTTTTAAATTGAAATGTTGGGAGAATGAAAATGCCGATGATGATGTCAAATCATGCAAAATGGACGATTTCTACCCATCCGCCCGGTACGGACTTAATGGGCGCCATATTCTAATTGGAACAATCGAATCGACATCATATTTTGATCTGGTAATCAATGATCAGAATATAACTGTATATTCGGGGATGGTGGTGCAACTGGCGAAAATGATCGCGCAGACACTGAACTTCACGTACTCCTTCGTTCAACCACGTGATTGCAAATGGGGGTTAGAGGTCAATGGCGTTTGGGAAGGAATGATTGGTCAGCTAGTTCGACAGGAAGTGGACCTCGTTATTGCAGATTTGGCTGCAACGTCACACAGGATGGAGGTGGTGGACTTCATCTTTCCGTCATACTTAATTCAAAACATCGGAATACTTTACCGGAACTGGGAACAATCAGAAAGCAATTGGTCTAAGGTTTTCAGTCCGCTACATGCGCATGTCTACTACTGCATTCTGGGAGCGATTATCGTGGTAGGCATAATTATAGTTGTTTTCGACCGAAGGGCATCGACTGAAGTCTCGGTTAATCCGATTAGTCCGTCGTATATTATATATATTATATTTTCTTTAGTTGGTTTCGTACTTTTAAGAGATAATAAATTCTGGCCTAAGAAGGAGTCGCTGCGAATACTGGTGGCTTTCTTCTGGATATTTTGTGTAGTACTAAGCGCCGCGTACGTTGGCAACTTGACGGCTAAATTAGCAGAAACGAAAGAGAATAAGGCTTTCAACAGTCTGGAAGAACTGGTCAAACTAGAAGACTGGAAGTGGGGGTCTAGCGATGAGCTCACGCAAGAAATCATTCGGAAAGATACGTCACAAGTGGTGCAGGAATTGTGGGAAGGTATGGTTCGGTTCAACCAATCAGATCCTAGTGTGTTGCGATTGGATTCTGGATACCATTTAGATCGATTGATCCTTACAAAAGATAAATACGCCTATATAGTATTTGATGCGAAATATTTCGCCTACAACCAAAAAGACTGTTTGTTCGAGTTGTTAAATGGCGGTTTCGGGTCTATCAATGTGGCTATGGCCGTTACCAAGGACTCGTACCTGAAAAGTGATCTAGAACGTGTGATGTTAAAGTTATCTAAAACTGGTTTACTGCAGAAACTGGAAGAGGACCATTATATTGACAATCGGCCATTATCTTGTCAAACTAGTGTCAAGTCCAAGCGGATCGTGCATATGTCCGACATGACCGGGACTGTATTAGTGTCTGGTGTAGGACTAGGTGTAGCGATTGTTGTCCTGGTTCTTGAAATGATTATAATGTATGTCGCTAAGGGCAACAACACCATCAAAATTTGGTGATTCAGTAATATGAAGAAAATCAAGGTCGGTAATTTATCGGAATTTTTCAGATTGTAAATATCATTCGAGGCTTGGTGGATCCCTTGGGGAATCACTTGGGGAATCCCCTGCAATATCTTTATAATTCAAGAGCTAAATCTATGAAATGCAGATGTTTCGTTTGTCCTCCTCAGATGTTGTATAAATTATTACTTAGACATTTATTTACGTGTCAAAGCCCATAATCAACTCTCCAGAACTTCGGGTGGTTTTGATTCTAAAAAGGTTTAAATACTATTGACATTTAATGCTTTAGTAGCAATGACAATCGAGACTAGACTGTTCTGCAAACGACGCTAACTTCGCTCAGAATGAAGTAATTTGACTGAAATTTCAACATATTCCCTTTTCATTATCATTTTTTGTAACAATTATTGAGAGGAATTAAAGCTCCTTATCTAAATTGGAGGTCGGGTGTTCGATCCCTGCATTGGCCGAGAAAGTTCATCCAACCGAGGCCCCGTGTATACATTGGAATGCACGTAAAAGATCCCTTGGCAGTTGGAATTCGAAATAAGAGTAGGCGATAGTGCCGCTGCCCGGGCAAAATTTCCCTCATAGTACACTGTATGGCGTATGCCCGTCTTCATTAGCCCAGTTTAGGAGCAGAACAGTAGGACGTTAAACTCCATTTCATTTCATTTCCTTATCTAAATCTTACATAATGCATCTTTAATTTTGCATAAATTATCAGTGGACCAGAGACAACAGTCTGTTCTGTATAGAGAGAGAGAGAGAGGGGGAGAGAGAGAGAAATGGGGTTTAACGTCCACTCGACACAAACTAGGTCATTTCGGGACTAACATATGGTTTAATTTTATTTCAATAATTCGCTTGCGCGTAGGGGTCTTTAGCAGTGGGAGGAAACCGGAGGACCCGGAGAAAACCCACGAGGTTGGATAGGCGACCCTACTCCTTGTCACGTACACCCGGGAATCGAAACCCCGCCAGTTGACTCAATGACAGACTTTATGATACAGCGCTTACACGCTAACCATTCAGTAAAGGTATGTTTCAGTATTCTGTTCAACCTCGTGGGTTTTCTACGTGTCCTCCGGTTTCCTCCCACTAGTAAAGACCCATACGCGCAAGCGAATTATTGAAATAAAATGGAATCATGTGTTAGCCCCGAAATGACCTAGTTTGTGTCGAGTGAACATTAAATCCCATTTCTCTCTCTCTTTCAGAGAGCTCATGAACTGTACAGATCTGTAAAATATTTCCTGAAAAATCTGTCTTTATACATAAAATGTGTACTGATATAAAACTCCTATATCAATACCTACATAGGCATGGTGACCCATGATTTTACATGCCGAACATGATCCCATCCGGGCCCCCCAAAAAACAATATTTATATGTGTATGCGGGGGAGGGGGCAGTCCCTCCCAGTGCCACCAGTAGTCGATTTGTAGCATATCTGACCCACGGTATATGTTTGACACTGGTTAAGCATTATGATTCTGATTATAATGTTGAAAACCGCATTAAAACCGCGTATTTTCGGGGCGCAAAAACGCAAAACCATGACGCAAAGCTCGTCATTGTGTCCCTCTCACTTACACCCCCCCCCCCCCCCGCCGCCGGCCTGTGGAGTATCTCTGCTGCACAGATAGTTTATGTTAAATTCAAGATATTTCAAGAGATTAATCCCATCTATTTCTTTTTGTATAGTACATCAAGTTTGTTTATTTACGGTAGATCCAACTATTTTACAGTAGACCAGACTCACACTGTCGGTCGCCAAAGTCGCAGATTGCGATGAAAATATGAAAGTGACGATTAAAATTTGATTTTGGCGATAACATTTTGGGGTATTGAGAAATGGCCGAAAACAGATCTTAAAATCCTAATCGTATATATCCTAGATCAACTATTACAATGAGTGTGAATCATGTGGCGGAATGAACTCGCTGATAATCCGGATCGTGTCAATGTGTACTGTAATTTCACAAGTTGTTTATCCTCTTATAAACACACATATAATGAAACTAGAACTGCGATGCAGTGATGACGGGTTCCACTGGTGCTTTGTTACCTTAGACCAAAGACTCATTAGGTTAAACACACATATAATAATATGAAACAAGAACTGCGATGCAGTGATGACGGGTTCCACTGATGCTCTATTACCTTAGACCAAAGATTCATTGGGTTAAACACACATATAATATTACATACTTAACAAAATGAAACTAGAACTGCGATGCAGTGATGAAGGGTTTCACCGGTACTATGTTACACAGTGTGAAACCCTAATGAACTATTTACAGAATGTACAAGGGAGAGAATTTTTATAACCTGTACAGAAATAGAGATATGGTTATGTTGGCTTGAAATAAAAAACGGACCCAGATTTTCAAATTATGTGACGTTCTTAACGAGTTGTATAAGTTTATAGACGGTGGGGATTTTACTATAAGAATATCATGGTACTCGTTCTTGACATCTAGATTATAGCACAAAATACATAATCTAACTTTCCTAACGGTCGAGTGGACGTTAAACCCCAATTCTCTCTCTCTCTCTCTCTCTCTCTCTCTCCCAAATATTAGCGATTTAGCTCCTTTAAATTTAATAATACTTCTAGGAAATAAAATAAAATGAAATGGGGTTTTACGTCCAATTGGGCTGATGAAATTCCCTCATAGCACACTGTATGGCGTATGCCTATCTTCATTAGCCCAGTTCGGAGCAGAACAGTAGGACGTTAAACCCCATTTCATTTAATTTCTAAAGTTGGACAATCATGCAAATACATTGAAAATAGGACAGGGGAGAGAACCTCACCTTGGAAGAGATCATTTTGACACTGAAATGTATCTGATAAACCATTTTCGAATTGAAGCAGCACATAACCTTTTCGTTAGGCAAGTGATCCTCCTCCTTGTCAAGTACAAGCGGGGAATCGAAACCACGTCACTTGACTAAATGACAGACCTTATATTCTAAACCGCACGTGTTAAACCATTCGACGCTTTTTTTTTAGATTATTAAATGTCGAAGCTTTGGTCAAAACGCCGCCGTCCGGGCAACAAATGGAGGATCCCCTACAACACATGGTGTTTCCCCCCACAACACATGGGGGATCCCCTACAACACATGGGGGTTCCTCTACAACACATGGGGGATCCCCTACAACACATGGGATGGGTTTCCCCCACAACACATGGGGGATCCCCTACAACTTATGGGGGTTCCCCCACAACACATTGGGATGCTTCAAGTGAAATACAAATGTCGAAACTTTGGTGGAAACGCCGCCGTCTGGGCAAAATCCCCCCCCCCCCACAACACATATGGGATCCCCCACAACACATGGGGGATTCCCTACAACACATAGGGGTTCCCCCAAAATACATGGGGGATCCTCTACAACACATGGGGTTCCCCCACAACACATGGGGGATACTTCAAGTGAAATACAAATGTCGAAGCTTTGGTGGAAACGCCGCCACATGGGGGTTTCCCTACGACACATGGGGGTTCCCCTGCAACACATGGGGGTTCCCCCACAACACATAGGGGATGCTTCAAGTGAAATAAAAAGCATGATCAAACCCAAATACTTGCTGATACACCGTGCCGGTGTCTAACGTCTCAAAAGAGAAGTAGAATAATTTACTTCAAAAGCACGTTACGTGACTGATACTAGACATATTGAATAACTCGGGTTTTAATTAGTCGATAATCAATTATTATTGTTTGTTTTCATCCTGTATAATAGATCTATATCAATAAATGATCGAATATTCTCGCTCAAAATATCGATATCTTCAAACTTTATTTACTCATATTAAACAAATTGACCCAAAGAAATAAAAATATCATATTTATCTCCCTTGATCAAAAACAGGCGCCATGGTCGTTCACTAACCTTAAGGTCACGTGTTCGATCGGGATTTTCCGCAGTGGTTTTCCTCATCAGTTGTAAAGGACGGGGGATCTGACAACATAAAGTAGTTCAGGTGAGACGAAAAATCGATGTCCCGTGTAAACATTAGTGTGCACGTAAAAGATCCCTTGACTGTTGGTATTCAGTTAAGAGTAGGCCGTAGCGTAGCTGTCTGGGCAAAATTCCCCCTGTTGGCACACTGGATAACGTATGCACATCTTCATAAGCCCAGATCGGGGGGTTGGATGGCTGAATGGTTAGCACGTGCGTGCTGTATCATAAAGTCTGTCATTGAGTCAACTGGCGTGGTTTCGAATCCCCCCCCCCCCGATTGTACGTGACAAGGAGTAGGGTCACCTGTCCAACTTCGTAGGTTTTCTCCGGGTCCTCCGGTTTCCTCCCACTGCTAAAGACCCATACGCGCAAGCGAATTATTGAAATAAAATTAAACCATATGTTAGTCCCGAAATGACCTAGTTTGTGTCGAGTTGACGTTAAACCCCATTTCTCTCTCTCTCTCTCTCTTAAGCCCAGATCAATAAGACATTAACCCTCTCAGTTCATTTCTCAAACTTTAATTAGCAGACGATAATCACTCGAAGTATCGAATGTTCTTCATGAAAACAAATTTCATCATTAACTATGTTTACTGGATGTCCTTATCTTATTGATTCGAACATCAAGACATACTTTAAATAGATAAATTCATGTGCAGATAGCGGTATATAGTCCATTATAAGCGAAGTGTTCGGATATAGAGGCGGTGAATATACATTGCTGACTGTGTGATTTCTCTAAATGAGAAGTGTCATGGAATGTTCTAGAAAGAGTTTTCACATCATGGCGTCATTCTGTCCGAGGGCGCATCTTGTCTTTGGTCTTTTTGGTTTTTGGATGACTACTACATCGTGCATTGATCTGTCATTCACGACCTTTGAACCGTGTGAATTTAATGGTTCCCGAGCAAATAGCAGTTCGTGTTGTGTGGAATCCGTTCTTAGAAATCTGTGTTCAGTTCAGAGCTTGGATAATTGGGAGAATGTAGCAATTCTTTACGACACAAACGACGGCCAGAAAATGGTAAACACATATCTCAGTCATTGTGCTGACGTCAAGACCACCCTTTTTGACGTCACGGATATGACGTCTATTGAGATCCGTTCCATGTTTTTAACCTTATATGGCATGATGACGGGTGGTGTTAGGGTCGTTCTAATGCCGGGGACTCAAAATTTAAAAATTCTAAAAATAGCAAATAATTTAGATGATAGTTCTAATAGAACTACTAATTTTAGAACTAATTCAAAATGGATTATATTATGCCATGAGAAAATAAAAACATCTTTCGAACGATTGACATTTAATTTGGTAAATATTTTAATAATGGGATGTTTCAACGGAAAGTTTGAAATTTATACGATTCAACAAAATGCTGCTTTTAAATTGAAATGTTGGGAGAATGGGAATGCCGATGATGACATCACATCATGCAAAATGGACGATTTCTACCCATCCGCCCGGTACGGACTTAATGGGCGCCATATTCTAATTGGAACAATCGAATCGACGTCATATTTTGATCTTGTAATGAATGATCAGAATATAACTGTATATTCGGGGATGGTGGTGCAACTGGCGAAAATGATCGCGCAGACTCTGAACTTCACGTACTCCTTCGTTCAACCACGTGATTGCAAATGGGGGTTAGAGGTCAATGGCGTTTGGGAAGGATTGATTGGTCAGATAGTTCGACAGGAAGTGGACCTCGTTATCGCAGATTTGGCTGCAACGTCAGACAGGATGGAGGTTGTGGACTTCATCTTCCCGGCATACTTAATTCAGAACATCGGAATACTTTACCGGAACTGGGAACAATCGGAAAGCAATTGGTCCAAGGTTTTCAGTCCGCTACATGCGCATGTCTACTACTGCATTCTGGGAGCGATTATCGTGGTGGGCATAATTATAGTGGTTTTCGACCGAAGGGCATCGAATGAAGTCTCGGTTAATCCGATTAGTCCGTCGTATATTATATATATTATATTTTCTTTAGTTGGTTTCGTACTTTTAAGAGATAATAAATTCTGGCCTAAGAAGGAGTCGGTGCGAATACTGGTGGCTTTCTTCTGGATATTTTGTGTAGTACTAAGCGCCGCGTACGTTGGCAACTTGACGGCTAAATTAGCAGAAACGAAAGCGAATAAGGCTTTCAACAGTCTAGAAGAACTGGTCAAACTAGAAGACTGGAAGTGGGGGTCTAGCGATGAGCTCACGCAAGAAATCATTCGGAAAGATACGTCACCAGTGATGCAGGAATTGTGGGAAGGTATGGTTCGGTTCAACCAATCTGATCCTAGTGTGTTGCTATTGGATCCCGGATATCATTTAGATCGATTGATCCTTACAAAAGATAAATACGCCTATATAGTACTTGATGCGAAATATTTCGCCTACAACCAAAAAGACTGTTTGTTCGAGTTGTTTAATGGCGGTTTATGGTCGCTCAATGTTGCTATGGCCGTTACCAAGGACTCGTACCTGAAAAGCGATCTAGAACGTGTGATGTTAGAGTTATCTAAAACTGGTTTACTGCAGAAACTGGAAGAGGACCATTACATTGACAATCGGCCATTATCTTGTCAAACTAGTCCCAAGTCCAAGCGGATCGTGCACATGTCGGACATGACCGGGACTGTATTACTGTCTGGTGTAGGACTAGGTGTAGCACTTGTTGCCCTGGTTCTTGAAATGATTATAATGTATGTCGCTAAGGGCAACAACACCATCAAAATTTAGTGATTCAGTAGTATGAAGAAAATGATATAATTCATAGTTTATTAAGGTTGGAATTTTATCGGATTTTTTTTAAAGATACTCAACATCATTCGAGCGCTTGGGGAATCCCTTGGGGAATCCCGTGCAATATGTTTATAGATTTTTTTATTCAAGAACTATGTATTATTAAAGATACATTATTGAGGATTAGGTAAAGAGTTGACCGTTCTCTAATAATTAAACACTAGATAATGTAAATATAATATGCTGAAAATTTCAGTCAAATTGCTTCACTCTGAGCCGAGATATTAGCGATTGAAGTTTAGGCCCAGGCCTTAAATACAATATAAAACAAAGTCTCGGCTATCCATTTTTAGTTTAATTATTTAAAAAAAATGTATTCCAATCCGCTAAATATCGCTTTAATCTTGAATGAGCGTTGAGCAGCAGATCGGATCCTAATCCAGTAAATATCACAGGCTAGCGATGCCATCGAGAGTTGATTATGGTCTGGATAAGTTAATTAATGTCTAATTAATAATTTAGATAACATTTCAGGGATAAAGAAATACCTGCAATAGGCAGATTTACCTCTTGCATAATGTATGTTTAAGGTCGGTGGTACTTATCGGATTATTCACGATATCTTTGGCAACAACACCATCAAATTTTGGTAATTCTGTAGTATGACGAAAATATTATTTTTCAGTTTAATAAGGTCGGTATGCCTTGCAATATCTTAAATTTTCCTTAACCCATTTTTGCACTTCTGTATAACGGTACAGCTTTTTGTACAATCAACAAATGGCCTAATCAACATAGAGATGTAACATTTCCTGACAAATCTTTATATTTACTTCATGAATTGTGTACTGATATCTGCCACATAGATAATTTATGCAAAGTTAAAGATATATCAAGGAATTAATCGCATCTATTTCGTTTTTCCTAAAAATAAATCCGTACTTTTACATAAAATGTGAGCTGATATAAAACTCCTGTAACAGTACCTACAGAGCTGTCTAGTATCTCTTCTGATGCACAGATAGGTCATGTTAAATCCAAGATATTTCTAGAGATTACTCACATCTATTTCTTATTGTATAGTACATCAAGTTGGTTTATTTACAGCAGATCGAACTATTTTACAGTAGACCTAACAAATATTACAGTTTATTAAGCATATTTTACAGTTCAATAAGCATATTTTACAGTTCAATAAGCATATTTTACAGCGTATTAAGCATATTTTACAGTGTATTAAGCATATTAAGCAGTAGGTCAAGCTTATACTTCAGTTTATTAAGCATATTTTACAATGTATTAAGCATATTTTACAATTTATTAAGCTTATTTTACAGTTTATTAAGCATATTAAGCAGTAGATTAAGCATATTTTACAGTTTATTAAGCATATTTTACAGTTTATTAAGCATATTTTGAAGTAAGCATATTTTGAAGTAAGCATATTTTACCGTTTATAAAACAGTTTTTTGTTCCGTGTATTAAGCATATATTACCGTGTATTAAGCCTAATTTCCATGTACTCTTATTTCGCTGGTTATCCTGGTCCCATTACATTTACATTAAACCAACGTTTTCGCCGTCGAAAACGTGTGCGGAAACGCAGCGATATCGCGCACATGGAAAACGGGCCTTTAAGCTTATTTTATATATAAGATTTAAATAAAAAAAAAAGCTGTCCGTTCTTACTATAATAGTTCGAAAATAGATAATGTAAAATTAATTTATTGAAAATTTCATTCAAATTATTGCTCCATTGCGAGCGAAGATATTAGCGTTTGAAGGTTTGACAAGATGTATGCATTAATTGCAACCATCGCATTGGTTGTTCGAAGCTCGACGCTTAGCCTCGCTTCACCATTTTTAGATTAAATCAAAATATGGCTGAACCGTTCTAATCTACTTAATATCGGTGATATCCGATGCCACCGAGAGTTGATTATGGTCTTGTCATGTCAATAAAAGTTTAATTAATAGTTTATACAACAGCTTTAAGACAGGCCTGCAATAGGCAGATTTAGCGTTGTATTAAAGATGGGTTCTCGTGTACAAACTGGGTGATTTAATGGTATATATGGACTAAAAACATATTCAAACTAATTAATTTGTCATAATTATGCTTCAAATCCTTCTCAAACATTGTAATTGCGAAGGAATGCCCTGCTATTAAAATTCGATCAAACCAGGCCATGTTTACGTCACGCGACTTACCTCTCTTGGATGTCAGAGGAGAATTCATTGCATACATTAGACGATGTTGTCTTTAATCACTTATTATTTATTACAAATATCGAATCCTAATTAAATTCTCGGATTATCCACTACCCGCGTCATTTTTCAGTCATTTTTATCTCAGAAAGTGTTGTACGTCTAACTCACCATAGCGTTTATCAACTTGTACATCAAGCACTCAATATTCGCGTGTGACCTTTGACATCACGCGTGCAGAAATTCTAAATCGTCGGGCTGTTGATTAGGGGAACCCTTTTTGTCCTGTATACGCTCCATGAGTGTTTGTCGGGGAATCCAGTATTTTTCTAGTAAGATTGGATATCTCTAATTTCCATATATACCAAAATTGCCATACTTTTATTGGAAATAACCACCCGATAAATACTTTTCTGGGAACCCATCTTTAATATTGTATTATCTAATCCGTATTGGTCATCAATATGGTTGTATAGCTAACTGAGCTTTGTATTAATATTGTATTATCTAATCCGTATTGGTCATCAATATGGTTGTATAGCTAACTTGGCTTTGTATTAATATTGTATTATCTAATCCGTATTGGTCATCAATATGGTTGTATAGCTAACTGGGCTTTGTATTAATATTGTATTATCTAATCCGTATTGATCATCAATATGGTTGTATAGCTAACTGGGCTTTGTATTAATATTGTATTATCTAATCCGTATTGATCATCAATATGGTTGTATAGCTAACTGGGCTTTGTATTAATATTGTATTATCTAATCCGTATTGGTCATCAGTATGGTTGTATAGCTAACTGGGCTTTGTATTAAGATTGTATTGACTAATCCGTATTGGTCATCAATATGGTTGTATAGCTAACTGAGCTTTGTATTAAGATTGTATTATCTAATCCGTATTGGTCATCAATATGATTGTATAGCTAACTGGGCTTTGTATTAAGATTGTATTATCTAATTCGTATTGGTCATCAATATGGTTGTATAGCTAACTTGGCTTTGTATTAATATTGTATTATCTAATCCGTATTGGTCATCAATATGGTTGTATAGCTAACTGGGCTTTGTATTAATATTGTATTATCTAATCCGTATTGGTCATCAATATGGTTGTATAGCTAACTTGGCTTTCCTACTTCCGCGGTAAGATCGATCATCATAAAAATCTGTAAAAAAAAAAAATAAAAAAAATAATAAAATAGTTTTATTTATGTCGGTTGAAGCGTAGATTAAATAGTTTAAATCTGTCACTTTCTGAGGCAATTGTTACAAGCATTATCAATTTATTGATCATTGATCCACATAGAGTTATCTTCCCTTTTTCTCTGTTCCCTTCTCAACACTCTCCACCTCCACCCTCGTTAACCAGTCAACACCCCCACCTTCGTTAACCAGTTGACACCACACCCTCGTCGACCAAGAGGTAAGCTATATAGACCCGATATAAAGGCTGGTCATGATATTCTTTAACCATAGATACACGTAGAGTTATCTTTCTCTCGGCCCTGTTTCCCCTACTTAAAATTTATCTAGAGACCAAAGATATCTTCCCATCGTCGCCCCCCCCCCCCCTCGTTCGTGGAGTAGGAGGTTAGTTATTTTAATCTAAGAACCTATAAAGTGAGATAATGTGGTGTCGATCCCACGCTTGTACATGAAAAGGAATAGGGTAGTTTGCATCTATGCTCGTGGGTTTTATTCGGGTTCTACGGTTTCTTCCCCCTGCTAAAGACCCCTACGCGCAAGGGAATTGTTGAAAAATAAAATGCACCATGTGTTAGTCCCGAAATGACCTAGTTTGTGTCCAGGGGACGGTAAGCCCCATGTCCGTCCGTCCACCTATAATATACTGATAACCTACCGCCATTAATACTACCGGTAAGCTCCATGTCCGTCCGTCTGTCCGCCCGTCTGTCTATCTGTAACATACTGATAACCTACTGCCATTAATACTACCGGTAATCCCCAGGTCAGTCCGTCCGTCTGTCTGTCTATCTGTAATATATTGATAACCTACCGCCATTAATACTACCGGTTGATAGTGGATGCCTGGAATCCCTGTAATATCTTGGATCCCCGTATTCTCTAGGATCACCATATTCCCTCGTGTATCTTGGATCAACATGGTCCCTCGAGTATCTTGGATCTCGACTGTTTGGGGTAAATCGTGATGGTGTTCTGTAATAGCTGTGATGAGAAATAGAAACATATTATTTTCTTACATGGTGCTCGCTTTACAAAATAAATTCGATAAAATTACATAATCCCAAAATAAAACGATGCGTTTTATAGCAATAAGGGGTGGGGGGGGGGGGGTCCAGTCCAGTGGTGTGGTTTCCATTCCCCGCTTGTACGTGACAAGGAGTAGGGTCCTCCGGTTTCCCCCCATTGCTAAAGACCCCTACGCGCAAGCGAATTGTTAAAATAGAATCGAACCATGTGTTGGTCCCGAAGTGACCTGGTTTGTGTCGAGTGAGAGAGAGAGAGAGAGATGTGGCGAGGATAGACGTTAAACAGCACAACTTGAGACTGAAAACTATGTAAGATATATTGGTGAAAAGATAAGATGAGGTTTAGTTTGCTACTTGTGTACTGGGGTTAACGAAGACGAGCATAGACCACGCAGTGTGCTACGAGGGAATTTGTCAAACTAATTTTCGTCGAATTCCACGGGACCTCGATTTTTCCACCCACCTGAACTGATTAGACGCCCTCTATCCTACATCACTGACATGGCGTAACCACGCTAGTCGTTAATTGAGTAAAACGCCTGCCCAACCTCCTCGTGTCTTTGCGTTGAATGGAGAGAGAGAGGGAAATGGGGTTTAACGTCCACTCGACACAAACTAGGTCATTTCGGGACTAACATACGGTTTAATTTTATTTCATTAATTCGCTTGCGCGTAGGGGTCTGTAGCAGTGGGAGGAAACCGGAGGACCCGGAGAAAACCCACGAGGTTGGACAGGCGACCCTACTCCTTGTCACGTACAACCGGGGATTCGAAACCACACCAGTTGACTCAATGACAGGCTTTATGATACAGCGCTAACCATTCAGCCATCCAACCCCCCTGCGTTGAATCATCGCTCTCTAGTACTTTGGCGGTCGAGATAAGTCCGCATTAATACCGATGTGACCTGCTTGAAATCTAAATCATAATCTGAGCAATGAGCTGTTGTTGTTCTTAGTGTTTAACGCCCGATTCTACCGAGGGTGATATCGCAGACAAGTTGTCTTATTTTTCATCTTTTTTATTATGTTGGCGCACGCACAGGGGTCTTTGCTGTGGGAGGAAACCGCACTGCTCGGAGTAAACCCACGAAGTTAAGAAGCCTCCCCTATCTCCAAGCCACACACGCTCACACCAGGGATCGAAACCACGACGACAAGCGAGAGGTGACCGGCCAGCGGAAGCTCGAAGCGTGACACTCTAGACCACTAGGCCACCCAATCCCTGAGCAGTGAGCACAACAAACAACAATATGTGACCCTACACTACAAAACCAGTCACATGCCACAATTTTTAAAAACTGAGATTTAATGCGTATCTAAACGAGCACTGAAACAGCTTTCTGTTGGTATAAAAAATATGCAAATCACGAAAACATTGGCAGAGTTATGGCCATCTGAAGTTTCCATGACTGCGGTGCTTCCAAATTCAGCTCGTGGGAAAAGCGACTGATTTTGAAATGGAGAGTCACAATATACATTAAATCTCTTTTACCTGTTGTATGGATCATAATCATCACGTACTGGATGAACTCGACTAGGTCTGTTTGACCTATAATATAGACAAACAAAACTGCTTGATTAACGTGCTGGGTGATCAATACGATCACTGCTTCTATTCCATATCAAGGCGTTGCTTAGGAGATAAACACGTCTTGGGTCCTAATAATCTCAGGACATGTCTATTGGACAATAATAAATGCGAAACAGGAAATGTTTATCGACATTTTACATGCTATTTTAGCATTCATTTTAAAAGAAATTACTAAAACAGGTGTGTGTGTGTGTGTGTGTGTGTGGGGGGGGGGGGGTGTTATTGTCCAATTGACAGTGTCTAATTGACCAATCAAAACGCAAGATTCACCCTTAAGCAGGTTACAATGTTGAATGTGAGACGAAGCAGGGTAAGGAAAAGAAACGGAATGGCTTTAACGTCCTGGGGTAATGTAGAAGGACATACGCCATACACTGTGCTATGAGGGAAATATTGCCCTGACATCGGCGATGCCACACAGCGGCGCCACGGCCTAGTGTTATATATCGAATTCCAACTTCCAGGGGATCTTTTACGTACATGCCAATGTGTACAAGGGATTTGTGATTTTTTGTCCCATCCGAACGTTATTTCTCGGTCCAAAACATAAGGCGTCATCAAGGAAGCAAATGTTGCTATGGTCAATTAGTGGTAGTTTCGAATAAATGTTGCTATGGTCAGTTGGTGGTAATTTCGTATAAGTGTTGTTATGGTAAATGAGTGGTAGTTTCGTATAAATGCTGTTATGGTCAATTAGTGGTAGTTTCGTATAAGTGAAGGGTAGATAACTCTATACTTACCCCGGTTTGCAACAATAGCCTAGTAAACAATACTTCATACAAAAATAGAAGGCTACGATTAAAGCGGCTAGAAGAATTAAACTCAGGATGACAACCAAAGCGATGTTAGCCGGTTCATCAAAATAGCTCTGCTGCTGAGTAGACGCCGCGGAGTTCTGTGACGTAAGAGGAGATCCAGACCCAGATGTCGGAGCCGTTGTCAGGGGTGATTCTAGAAAGCGTATAGTTCTAGATGTGCTAGCTGATTTAGGTGGTGAACCCTTGTCTTTAGCTTCAACAGTTAAAAGTACAGCAGTTCCCTTTAAACTATCAGGAAATCTCTTGGTGAAATGAATCTGGCCGTTCGCTGTAAGTAAATAAAGAAGAGTGACACTGTTAAAAAGCCACTCATCGGTATTTTCATTTTACGGAAAATATCAAATTTTTACGGAAAATACTGTATCGTAGTGATATATCATACGTGGTAAACTGGAAAATGTTACGTAGAAAACTAATACATCTTACGTCAAACAGAGAGAGAGAGAGAGAGAGAGAGAGAGAGATGGGGTTTAACGTCTTTAGATGTGGAGGGAAACCGGAGAACCCGGAGAAAACCAAAGAGATTGGACAGGCAACCCTACTCCTTGTCACGTACAATCGAGGAATCGAAACCATGCCAGTTGGCTCAATGACAGACCTTATGATACAACCCGCACGCGCTAACCATTCGCCCCCCCCCCCGAACACCCACGTGACAGTGATATATATTACTTAGTACACTAAAGTAAATTAGCTAATAATACTCAAGTAGCACACCATAACTTACGTATTACACTAATATAACTGACGTAGCATACTATAACTTACGTATTACACTAATATGACTGACGTAGCATAATAATATAACTTACGTAATACACTAATGTAACTGACGTAGCATAATAATATAACTTACGTAGTACACTAATATAACTGAGGTAGCATAATAATATAACTTACGTAGTACACTAATATAATTAGCTGCTGTTGGTGGACTGATACCATTAGCTTCGTATACGACTTCACCATTGGACCCAGAATCATCATCAGTAGCTAATATTATATCTATTATACCTAAAACGATATAAAACAGAAATTTGCAAGTTTGGACAGTTGTCACGTGACAAAACAATGGTTACTATATTTGTCACTCCCGGGTCCTTTGGAAGAATATTTTGCAAATAGACGGGGAGCCTTAGATTTACACCGTTTGGTCCGATTTTACATATTAGGGGGTTAGAATTTAAGAACACCTCTTTTCACATAAATATTTAATTTCCCGTAATATGGGCCGTCTTAATCTGAAAAAGTGGATTATGAAACAGTGCGTATTTTGATGACATCATACATCCTTATTTGTCCACAATTCACAATCATTCTTCTTCGGTAGTTGTCCTGACCTTGTGACTAGACAAGAGAGGGAAGAGCAGTTATTCCCTTGACCAGATCACCCTGGCCTGCAACGCAACAGTCAAAAGTAGCGTCAGTCTGTTTCTGTACTTCGCTGTCTTGGTGACCTAGTCTATATTTACATAATGCATGATTGTTTGTATTTACGTTTGTGTCTTAACATACAAGGCTACTCACCAATATCAGTAATATCAGATATATCTATAACTGGAGAAATGGCGGGAAAGGTTGGCGAATTGTCATTCTTATCCAGTATTGTTATAGCGATATTAGCCACGCCCACCTGACCCCCAGTGTCTCGAGCTTCCACTTCTATCACTACATTTGTAGGCATGACGTTCTTGTCTACGTCATAGTCAACGGCAAAACTCAGAATATCGTAGGCTGGAGATACAAAGCCAAATCTTTGGCTATTATTTCCGGGTCGAATAGAAACGACGACAGCGTCTCCTTCCGGGTCAGTGACGGTAAGAAAAAGATTACATGTGGAAACACCGGCCTGAAAAATACGAAAATAACCATTAATCAGAAATTAAAGAAGAGACAAGTTCAACTGTGTTATAAGATATAGGTTTATCGATACCATATTAGAACACAGAGAGAGAGAGAGAGAGAGAGAGAGAGGGGAGAGGGAGAGAGAGAGATTGGGTTTAACGTCCACTTCACATAAACTAGGTCATTTCGGGACTAACATATGGTTCTAACATATGGTTCCGCGTAGGGGTCTTGAGCAGTGGGAGGAAACCGGAGGACGCAGAGAAAACCCACGAGGTTGGACAGGCGATCCCACTCTTTGTCACGTACAACTGGGAAATCGAAGCCACGACACTTGACTCAATGATAGACCTTATGTCACACGCTAACCATTCGATATTAAGACACCAACCAAGACATAATGGAATCAACCTTGCAATCGCATCTCCTAGAAATAGAAATATTTATTTTTCGATCAAGGCGAGAAAGAGAACTGAAGTTTAAAGGGACAATAACACTCTTGCTGGCTTGACAGCTCCAGAAAATAAATAATAGCCTTATTATAAGTACTAGATGTTTAAGTGTCCTACCTGTTGTGTAAATTATCCATTACATCATATTTTACTTGTCCAGAGGGTTTGAAAATATTTTTAAATTCAAGTCACATTTGAAAAGGTTTACGTTAGGCTTTTCAAATCATTTAGTTGAATTTTTCCAATTTTTTAAATTAGGTGTGTAAAGATGAAATTTGTATCACCAATTAATTGAAATATTGTAAAATAGTACAATTTGTTGACCAGAATAAAGGTTGGGACATATTATTCAGTTACAACAAGAGTGGTATTGAGCCTTTAACGTTTTGAGGATCATGGATTTTCGATATAAAACAATCAATCTTTGCAATCGCATCTCCTAGAGAACTGGGGTTTAACGTCCGTTCAATACAAACGGCGTTATTTTAAGCTTCGAAGTAGGGTGAACGCACACATTTGTGATGAAGAGAGGGGTTCACTCGTCCGCAGGTTCACTAGTCCACCACTGTAAGAAATATTATAAATATGGGTATCAAAAAACCTAACCCTAATAATAAATATCGGTGGACGAATGAACCCGCGGACTGTGCACTGGTAACCCCAACCAGAACCCTAATAGTTGATATCGGTGGACGAATGAACCCGCGGACTGTGCACTGCTAACCCCAACCAGAACCCTAATAGTTGATATCCCCAACCTTTGGAACACGGATAGGTCCCGCACCAGACGTCCTCTTCTTCCCACGCCCACGCATCTACCAATGGACTGGCCTCAGTTAAGAAATAGATTCCAACCACCGCCAGGCTTCTACCAACCACCACCAGGCTTCTACCAAACCACCACCTGGGTTCCACCAACCACCACCTGGGTTCCACCAACCACCACCTGGGTTCCACCAACCACCACCTGGGTTCCACCAACCGCCACCTGGATTCCACCAACCACCACCTGGATTCCAGCGCCGACCAAAGGAGCGCCAACCAAACCAACGTCTACCAAAGGAGCGCCAACCAAACCAACGTCTACCAAAGGAGCGCCAACCAAACCAACGTCTACCAAAAGAGCGCCAACAACCCCCAGAAAATGCAGGTGTCGTGAAAGCCTTCTTTCAGGTCCCCCAATGCCTCCACCACTTGACCATTATGGAGAGCCAGGAGAATGGAACACCAACCAGAAGTTTCACTTGGAAGATCCAAGACCTGAATAAGTTCGTGAAGCCGGCCATGAAGACGCCTACCATAGCCACTACCATTGAGACATTGAACTTGAAATGGGCCAAGGACGTCGCCTCATCCCTGTCGACACACTGCCGAGCCATGCTAGGGGAGAAACTGGAGTACTTGAAGTCACATCACTTTACCAAAGATGCTGTACAAGAGTACTCTAGCCACGCCCTAGCATGGGCCAAGAAGTCCTACGGCAAGCGACTTCAGGATAGTGTGAAGACAGATTTCCACCGCCTTCTCCGGGACACACCAAAACGATACACACCCAACAAGAGAAAAGTATCCCCTGGAGAAGGCACTTGCATTAACACTCCCTCGAAGCGTGCAGCTAGATCAACCAGTTCGCCCCGGGTTGTGTCTGGCTCACCTACTTCCTCGGGATCTATATCGCCACTAAACGCGCTTGTCGACTGTCTGTCCCCTAGATCGCCCATCATTCCTAACTCTAGAATCGCCACCAGATCTTCCACCAGATGTAGGCGACCACTCAACCTATCCCTAAAGAGACCTCACAGCTACAAAGGTAAAGACGAGAAGGATTTATGGTTTCTACCACCCGTCATGGCAAAGACCCTGGTTATTGGATCCTCTAACCTGGCTAGGATTGCATCCTTCCTCGGGGACTGGGAGATCCATAGCTATTCTGGAGCCAAGATCAGCCACATCAAACAAATACTCCAGAACTACATGGGTCCTGCACCAGAAGAATTAGTGAAACACGTCGGGCTCAACAACAGGGAGGAAAGTGGACCAAGGATACACGAGCAGATGCTAGATCTACTCAAGGTGACCAGAGCAGCTTTCCCAACAACCAAGCTCTTCGCCACACACATCCCCACTTCTTCCCGACTCCGACAAGAAAATCCGATCGCCTACCAAAACATCACCAGCTACAACCAACTGATCTCCACTGCACCTTCACCAAACGCCACCACATTACCAACCTTCAAGGGCAAAATAGAACTGAAAGGTAACGACGCAATCCACTGGAGCCCAGACACGGCCAGAGAGATCATCAACTGCTGGATGAGGAATTTAAACTAGGATTAGGGAAAAGGAATGAGAAGCCGTCTTTAGGACAGACAGTTGTCAATTTGAGCGACAGACTTCTCAACCCCCTAGAAATGAACATTCTTGATAAAGGCCTTAAATTCATCCCAACCCCCACAATAACATCCATAGACCCCATCACCCAGGCAACCGATCGCTTCCAAAGAACACTTTCGTTGACTTATTTTTTTAGGAACAAACCCGGCAGAGGTAAAAAATTATTCACAGTAAAATCCACATGGAAACCACCTAAAAAGTCATTATCACCAGCCATCCTAAAAACTTTCGACGAAATGAATATAGAAATATCATCCATTCAACCACAGTCACAAAAACCAAATCTCAACCGAGCAACTAAAACGGCATTAAACACCCTTAAAAAGGACAAAAACATAATAATTAAGAAAAGCGACAAAGGCTCGTGTTGTGTCATAATGAATCGTGCAGACTATATCTCAGAGGCAGAAAAACAATTAAGTAATCCTATACATTACACTAAATTAGACCAACCAATCTTTAAGGACACCGCAAATTTAATAAACAACATCTTATATGAATTGCAGGATAGGGAATACATAACAGCAAAACAATATGATTATCTATCTGCTAAATCTGACTGCCGACAAAGACATCTCTATACACTACCAAAAATACATAAAAATCCAGAAACAGAATGGTTTATACCTAATAAAATACCCAAGGGACGCCCAATAATATCAGACTGTGGCAGCGAATCATACAACGTATCACAATATATAGACCATTTCTTATTACCCCTAGCATGCCAACACCCATCCTACCTTAAAGACACTAACGATTTCATTCAGAAAATCAAACAGTTAAGAGTCCCCGAACACACCGTCTTAATATCCATCGACGTACAAAGCATGTACACGAACATTGATAATAACATAGGTATTGAAGCAGTTAGGAAAGCATTTCTTAGGAACCCGCAAGCATCCAGGCCGGACGAAGAAATCCTCAAACTACTCAACATTTGTCTGAGGAGGAATGACTTCGCTTTTAACGACCAAGTATACCTTCAGTCTTCCGGAACTGCGATGGGAAAACGATTTGCCCCGAGTTATGCAAATCTCTTCATGGCAGAGTGGGAAACGGAAGTTCTGCCACTCTGTCCATTAAAACCAGATTTCTATGGGCGGTTTTTAGATGACGTTTTCATAGTCTGGACGTACAGACTAGACGAATTTTGGACGTTTTTCAACATTCCGAACAATCATCATCCATCTGTCAAATTAACCGCAAATGTAAGCCATAACAGCATAGATTTCCTTGATACTACCGTGTTTAAAAGTAGCAACACCAAAATCACAGGCCAATTGGAAACTAAAGTATTTTTCAAAGAAACCGACACACATCAATTATTGTTCAAAAGCTCCTTTCACCCAAAACATACATTCTCTGGCATCATAAAATCTCAGATTCTCCGTTTTCATAGGATATGTACTCAGAAGACCGACTTTGAGTCAGCATGTACATTGGTATTTAGCAAACTACGGGAAAGGGGATACTCCAAACGCTATCTACGACGTATAAAAAACAACACTCTAGCTGAGCTTGCCGCCAAAGAAACAAATAATATACAATCAGCACATAAAACCAAAATTTGTGGCCATCCAAGATGTCAAACATGCAAAATCTTAAACATATCCGACCATTTCCATAACAAAACATCTGGCACAAAATTCCCAATATTAGACCAACTTTCATGCAGTAGTTCAAACATAATTTATCTAATCTCATGCAGAAAATGTGACAAGCAATACGTAGGGGAGACTCAAAATGCACTTAGGGAAAGAATTAACGGTCACCGGTCTGACATAGTCACCAAAAAAGACAAACCTGTCTCAATTCATTTCAACCAACCAAATCATGACATTTCAGATCTCATTGTCACGCCAATAGAAAAGACCAAGAGCGACTTTGAAACTTCAGAAGAAATTAAAACGTTTAGGCTAACAAGAGAAAAATTCTGGATTGACAAATTGAAAACAACAGCCCCCCTAGGTTTGAATATTCATACGGCTAGCGCAATAGCTCCTTTTGTAGTTCCATTTAGCGCAACAGCAGGAAGTACGTCCAAAATCATCAGAAAACACTATACTGGTCTCCAAGAAAATCACCCGAAAATATTCACACAGAAACTTATAATTGCATATTCTAAAAATAAAAATCTGAACGACATCCTAGTGCACAGTAAATTAGATTAAATAAGACCAGTCTCCACCCTGACCCAAAACAAACCATATATCAAATCCTATGCCTAACCGTTAGTAATTAAAATCAATTAGATATAAGAATCCCTAGCCGTAACCCGGTGATGTGGAACAAACACGATTTTTTTTAGAAAATCCAATCCGTTGTAGGAAACACACTAATGTGGCTCTCTCCCGAGAGCCTCAAATTTATTTTCTTTTCTCTTCAGAAACAATAATACCAGAATACCAGAAGCACCACCCAAGGAAGACCATCAGCGCCACCAACACCAATAAACAGTGAAATCGCCTTTGTATATAAATCTAATGTATTGTATGTATTTTAATAAAACTAGGAAATATCACGAACTAATTTTTCATCATCCTAGGTCAGTGCTTATGTGGAGACTTAATCTCTCCCCCCAAATTCTTAAACCTTACCCAAATAATAGATATAGGGGGACGAATGAACCCGCGGACTGTGCTCTGGAAACCCCAACCAGAACTCTAATAATAGATATCGGTGGACTAATGAACCCGCGGACTAGTGAACTCACGGACTAGTGAGCATTCCCCTGGGAGGAAACCCGCCAGACTTGACTCAGTGACAGACCTTGTGATCTGACACGGACGTCGCACTAATACCTCGAGCGTAATAAACATTACCATTGGTGTTTACTTTTTACAGAAACGGTTACATTAAAGGTCACCGGAAAAGGTTCATAATTTTTTTTAAATAATGCAAGTAATTATGTCAACATATCCTTTCCATAAGTATAACACGGAAATTACTAATGTTGAAATTTACCTGTTGTATGTAATATTGACATTCGGGTTCGGGTTATACTTATGGAAAGGATATGTTGACATAATTATACTTGCATTATTTAAAAAAAAAATTGATGCTTTTCCGGTGACCTTTAAGTCTTGATCCAGCCAGGTGTAGGATAACTGTCGTTATTCATGTGCAGCTTTGACTAATACTGTAAGACTATCTTCATACAAAACAATACAGGAACTTAAACTACTATACAGGAACTAAACTACATCGGAAACTTGACATCGACATGAACATATCAGGACGGTACATAACTATATTAAATCCATCATTCCGCCCATCTGCTAAGACAGCGGCTTATCTCGGGCGAGTCAATCCGCCGGTCTCTGCTCTTCTCTCGTCTGCGTCTCTCCTCCTCTCCGCTCGTCTCCCCAACTGTCAGCAAACTCCTCGTTATATACCATCGGACAATAGATAAGACTCATGATCATACATGCAATTGTCTCTTTTATCTCGTCATGTGTATGCTTACTGACCTGTGCGTATTCCTTTGAAGTAAAGCAGAGCGAGTGCACAGATCATATGTAGTTTGTAATGACATATGGGATTAATTACATGTTTAATTAGAACCCGACTAAACAGAAATATATACAGAGTTGAAAAGTCAATATAATATGTTATCAAAAGCAGCTGAAGTCAATAAGTTCCATACACCTAAATGATCGTTCAATTTGATGAAAGTTATAAAGTACTTTGTTACAGTATGGACTTTTAGTGTAGCGTGATTCGCCAAACATCAATCAAATTTAACCATGTTGCGGTTACGAAATAGGGAAATGTCGCCCTACTGTCGGTTGAAGCACCTGGCCAAACCTACCTTTGATTCCTCGAGGAGACAGGTGTACGTCTGCTGGTTAAACACTGGTTTCTCATTCACGTTCTGCACATTAATAGTCATTACGTCACCCTGTGACGTCAGATAACCGTCTGATATAGTACACGTCACTTGATAACTGGTGATTGTTTCAAAATCCAATACATTTTTACCGGAAGTACTGGTTGCTAAGGAGAGTCGGCTACCTGGATAAAAAGGATTGATAACAATAGTACACACAGAGAAAAAAAATGGATTATAACGTTCACTAGACACAAACTAATCAATGTGTAACTAACACATGGTTTAATTTGAGCGTAGCCCACAGGTCTTTAGCCGTGGGTTAAACCAAGGGACCCCGAGAAAAACCCCATGAGGTTCGAAATTCGGTCCTATCCCTTGTCACGTACACGATCCAATGACAGACATTATGATGCAACGCGCACACGTTAATACATTCTGATGATAGACGATTGTACGTTCTAAAATACAGAAGGTAAACAGTGGATAAACTTACCGCTAACCATAAAAACAGAAGGCTGGATGTTCGGGAATACAGTACAACTTGGTACAAAGTTACCATTGAAGTCTAGATCACGATATTGAAGATTTAAAATGGTTGTTCCCCCTGCGATATCCTCGCGCACTGTTTGTGTATCCGGTAGATTTGTTATATCCGGTCGTTCATTCAAACCTTCAAAAAATAAATAAATAAGTTCGTAAGTTTTCATCAGAATTAAGGGACAATATTGGTGTCAGTCATTGTCACATATGTGATAGAACTGGTTAAACACATTCCAAATATCATTTTAATACAGAGATCACTTCCCCCTTTAAATTTAAACCACGGGCGACAACTCACCGTTTACCTGTATTCATTAAGGGTGTTCGATGGTCAGTCTGGAACTTCCTGAATTGACAGAAGTGCAATCAAGTGATACGGAATTCAGCCATGTTACAGTTCTGCCAGTCTCGACAGCTGGGGTGGTGTAAGTAGAATCGTGACGTATGCGTTGTACTCGGAAATTCTCCTTTTCACTCGATTGACACTATTTTTGGAATTGAGAGAGTTTATTCCGGAACTTTCAATCGAGTATTCCCCTAGCTTAAACCAGGGGCGATACCTCACCGTTAACCTGTATCCATAGTTTAAACCAAGGACGATAACTCACCGTTAACCTGTATACGTAGTTTAAAGTCTGTGACTGTGCTGAAGCCGTCACTAACGTTTACGTGTATAATTATTGGTGATATGGTCACAGATCGAAAATCTACCGCTGATCTGATCTCATTGGTTGCTGAAAAAAAAACAAACAAAAATTATGGAAAGCAAGTGTTGGCATACTATGGACCAGGAGTCGAGTGTGACGTCATCACCGCCATCTTGGAAATGTGACGTCGTATTAAAAATCGTAATCAGTCAACCAATACCAAATTGTGAAAGGAATACACAATAGACCAAAAGGATGAGAAGTCTTTGGCGAACCTCATCTTCAATAGAAGGCTTGATCTCACTTTAACTCCGTACATCTTATCAAGGCCTTCATGTAATACCCTGCATATCTCGGCATTAATTCCGATTGGGTACTGGCCCAGCTTGAGAGCCTTTCAGATTCCTCGATCATCGCGAATACCAAGTCTCGCGCTTTCCAGCTCAAATGTCTACCTGTGATAATCGAGTTGCAAAGTTCAAGGTTTCCGTGGAGATCGCCATGTTTGATTTGCGAGTGTTTGTGTCACAACCTCCGCTTGGACGCGGTAAAGGGAGATAACGAAGATATAAGTTCGGGAATTGCTGATTACTCTAGCAACGCTTAGATGTAAAACTCGCGGTCCCTGCTTCGGGAACGTGGGGGGAAGGTAGCTTTAGGTACAGGAAAAAATTTTATGAAACATATTTACATGTAAGTAAATGAAACTTACCAGTATTTATAAGTAGATGCAAATTAGCTGTATTTGTTTAAGTAAATGTAACCTACCTGTATTTATATCAAAGTAATTAACAGTTGGTTGTACTATATAGGAGTAGGTTAGCTGATCGCCATCACCATCAGTAGCTGTTACTGTATATAAAGATGTACTAGATGGAACTGATCCAGCATTATAACTTCTTGTTACTGTGTAATATATAAAAATTATAACTCGTTACTGTTTAATATTATAAATATTATAACTTGTTACTGTGTAATATTATAAACATTATAACATCTTGTTACTGTGTTATATTATAAACATTATAACAACTTGTTACTATGTAATAACATAAACATTATAACGTCTTGTTACTGTGTAATAATATAAACATTATAACATCTTGTTACTGTGTTATATTATAAACATTATAACATCTCGTCACTGTGTAATATTATAAACATTGTACTTTGTTAATGTGCAATATTATAAACATTATAACTTGTTACTGTGTAATAATATAAACGTTATAACTTGTTACTCTGTAATAATATAAACGTTATAACTTGTTACTGTGTAATAATATAAATCTAATAACTTGTTACCGTGTAATATTATGAACATTATAACTTGTCACCGTGTAATAATATTATAAACATTATAACTTGTTTACGTGTAATATTATGAACATTATAACTTGTTACTGTGTAATAATATAAACGTTATAACTTGTTACTGTGTAATAATATAAACATTATAACTTGTTACTGTGTAATAATATAAATATTATAACTTGTTTCCGTGTAATATTATAAACATTATAACATCTTGTTACTGTGTAATATAAACATTATAACGTCTTCTTACTGTGTAATATTATAAATCTTCATCAATATCCACGCCCGTTTATAGAAAAACCTTTGTTAAATTTGTTTCCATGGAAACCTAAAAACGATGAAACCTAGAACATTTTAATAAGCAAAAGGAAAAACAACTATAAACGCTTAAATGATGTTCCTCCTTCATAAAAAATATATTGTTATCCCAGTGAGACTTGTTGTAGAAAAATCACGAGGTTCTTCCCAGCCTGTGCCAGGATTCAAACTCGGGCCATTCTGGCTGTGACCCCAGTGACGTAACAACACTGCGGTTCAAGAATCTGGCAAATCATGAATCAAGATGCGCTAAGAGCAACAGATATAGTAGTTGAATAAAACAGGGCAGGAATTTGACGCCATTACGTAGATTTACAACACCTGTCTAGTTCAACCAGACCCTTTAATTATGCAATATTCTACTGATGGTCTGGATAATTTAGACTCTAATATGTCTGCCTGTAACAGAAGGCAAAGACACATTTTAACTCAGACTATATTTTAAACTTACATCCGGGATAGTTTGATATAACTGGCCTCTGATTGGGTAGAACTTGTATCGTCATGCCTGCTGATCGGCTGATGTTCTGCTCAAGACATTCAACGGTCAATTGGTAAAATGGTACATTTGCTGCATTTAACTTATTTGTACTGGTAGCGTCGAATATAACATGCCATTCTGAAATTAAAACAAAAGCACAAGTGGGGTGGGTATAACTATACATTAAAGATGCGTTATACAAGGGCTAAATATGTCTTGGTATACATTATTATTCACAAGACAAACCCATAATCAACTCTCTGGAGCATCGGGTGGTTAAGATATTAAAGGAGCAAAGTCGCTAATATTTGGGACCTAGAAATTGATACAAATGCGTCACAACGCATATAATAATGTAATATGAATGCATATAAATTGATTTACATTCAATCATTTATATTTTTACTGTAATTTAATCAGTTAAGTTCTGCGAAATACGCCAGAAATCGCAATCGAATGGCTATTTCCAGAGTCTGGTTATACCAGTCTACACCGAAATTCTTTATTACGCATGCTCTCCAGATAAGAATATAGCGTCACCGTTTGACATGACTTATGGAATATGTCTAGCCTCGTTCTTCGACCCTCTTTTTACAAATGACGATGAAAAGCATTATGGTACACGATTTGTGTACCTATGGTAAAATGTTTATTTTGTCTTAAATATTCGATATCAGAAGCCCACCTTTTTCCGGTAAGATCACAACATCAATGTTGATTTAAATGGACAAATAATTTGTGTCTTCATTGTCGAAGAATTTGGATAATATATTAAGTTAGAGACTTAGCTACTTTAAATGGATTAGAACAGCTTCGCCTTTCAATATAATATAACAATAAATGGATAACCGAGACTTTATTTATTATTATTGGCAATCTAAAACTTATAATATATATCTTAAATGATTTTTCTTTTGATTTAACAGGTCAAATAAACAATAGGAAAATATTTAAAAAAGAAATATAAAAAGCGAGTGATATTGGGGTATATTACTCAGCAAAATTAGAAATGAAATGAAATGGGGTTTAACGTCCTACTGTTCTGCTCCGAACTGGGCTAATGAAGACGTGCATACGCCATACAGTGTGCTATGAGGGAAATTTTGCCCGGACAACGGCACTACGGCCTTTGTCAGGCCCTCCGCAGCAAAATGCAAGGAATTACAGGGGGTATATAAACACCACTGGGAAAGTAAACAATGGAAAGTCATTCAAGATCAAGCTTCAGTGGAGACGGTCAGGTTTATTTCATTACCCAAGGTCACGAGATGTAAACAGGGTTAGGGTACGTGATTGTTGTCGAAGATTGTGGGTTAGGCTTAGGGTAAGATTTAGGGCTAGGTCTTGGGTTAAGGTTAGCGCTAGCCCTGTTTACATCTTGTGGCCTTGAGGAAATCTGCAAGTGACCTTGTGACCTTCTGCAATAGATCTCACCAGTGGAGACCTACAATTGTCTTATATTGGGTAGACTTTATCATTCAAGCAAAACATCTACGAATGTTATTCTGAATGAGTTACAACATTTAAAAATAACTAGGTCATTGGCTAGATTATCCGGTCTTTTACATTAGCATGAACAAAGTCTAAGGGAGGTAACTAGCCCTTAAATAAGACGTCGCCGTCCATGAAATTAATTGAAGAATTGTCATTTCAGAAAATCCATTTACATTGCCAGTTCAATATCCAACACTCTTAATTTTTTTTATTGTAAAATTTCTCTCTTCATGGACCATATCTATGTTGTTTTTTTTTTCAATTAATCCTAATTCGTCGTCACAATTCATGTTTGTTTTCAATAATGCAAGGATTATGGGATTTATTTCGAGAAGGGGCTCAAATCTTACATAAGTTTTACTGGAAATTTACTGGATAATTACCCTTACAAAAACTAAATGAACTCCCGGTTATGCATGGGCAATGGAACTTTTTGACAACAGACCTAGATCGAAACCCCCTCACTCCATACGTTGAAGACTATGAAGTTCTGGGTGACCGAGATTATATATTGGGTAATATGCCAATGGCTGTGTGCGATATGAATGCAGGAAGTGACGACAATGAACTGAATCCAATTCATTTTAATTTCCCACGTGACAGTCCCAGTCTAACACAAAAGTGAAACTTACCAAAAGTCAACGCTGTAGGTTGGAAACGTAAAGCAAATGGATGCTGCACGTTCACATTACTAGCCGTCCTCGCGCCTTGGACGAAACAGTTAGTTATAGACGTCACTGGTTCAATCAAAACTTTACTCAGGTCTCGATTACCCAGTTGTGTGTCTTTTATAAAGGTGTTTGGTGGTGAAAGGCTGATGGCTGTTAACTAGAGGAAAGAAAAGATCAATATTTATATTATCTATTATAGGAAGGAATGATCACATTTATATTATCATAGGGAATGAAATGAAATGAAATGGGGTTTAACGTTCTACTGTTCTGCTCCGACTGGGCTAATGTGCTATGAGGGAAATTTTGCCCGCCAATTTATACATAGGATCTCGGTTTTCCGTCTCATCCGAACGACAAGATAGTTGTCCTTGTCAGACCCTCCGTCCTGCAACACTGATAAGGGGAAACCAGTCAAACCACATCGGAAACTTTCTCGTCCAATGCAGGGATCGAACACGCGACCTTCACTTTTAATAATAGTATATAATGAGATATGTCTAACGCGACAAGTGGTGTGGTTTCAATTCCCCACTTGTACGTGACCGCCTGTCTACCATCTGGGGATTTCTAGAGGCCCTCCGCTACCCCCCCCCCCCCACACACACACTACAGACCATACGCCCTAGCGAATTATTGAAATAAAATTGTACCATATGTTAGTCCCGAAATGACTAAGTTTATGACTAGTGGACGTTAATCCCCAACTCTTCGTCAAGTGAATGTCATCTCTCTCTCTCTCTCTCTCTCTCTCTCTCTTCGTCATGTGAATGTCATCTCTCTCTCCCCCCCCCCCTCTCTCTCCAAATTATTAGAACAACCGTAAAGCTGCACTATATTGTTTCACGGTAAATGGTGATATGTGAACTATACGAGATATTACTTAGACATTCCGCTAAAAAAAGACAAAAACAAATCTACAAACCTGTGAAGTGACAGCACCAGCATAGAATAACAAAATCAAAATACAAAACCACTCCATTATTCTCTTATACTGGATATCAACATCAAATCCTTTAAATATTATATTCCACAATCTACATGATGGCGATACACAGTTTACTTTTCACAATTTAGTTTTTCTTGAAATATATCATATAAATGTTGTTTTATTTAATATGTCTGTATGTATGATGACGTTGTGTTACTGTCTTGCCAAGTAACAGATACAATAAGGCCTACAATATGGCGTATAATAGGGACCAGTGTGTTTTATTGTTAACTGTGCCCTTTATGATAATACAATAATACTTGTGGCGGATCGAAAGTTCGTCACAATAATAGTAGCTCCCGTCATCATAGAGTAAGACGACAAACATTATTTCATTTTATTTTATAGAAGAGAGAGAGAGAGAGGGGAAGGGGGAGAGAGAGAGAGAGAGAGAGATTCGTATATGCATCGGCCTGTACTGTAGCCTATTCTGTCTGGTCGAAATGTTTACTAACCCCCCCCCCCCCAGCAGCTCTATAAAAAATCTTCCATCAGAGATTCCGTACTATGTTTTCTTTAAGCGTTGAAATGGAAAATCGAGACTACGTTTCTTATCGTAGCAAGAGCACTTGACAATCGAGACGAATTACTCTATTGTCGAAACTTCAAATATTCATAACTTCGCCCAAAATAAAGTAAGTCGACTGAAATTTGTAATATATCCCCTTTTTCATTACTCCAATTTTGAACTATATGCACCTTTAATAATTCTGGGATTTCATTTCTAAATAATTTGTACCTCCTCTGAAGAATACACCTGACCCAGGGGTGATAAACATGCAGCCCATGGCCCAGATCTGGCCCGCCATGGCTTTAATTGTGTCCCGTGGAACAAACTGACGAGTCGATAATTCTTAGAAACTAGCAGTGGAAATCATTAAAACTTTGCGTATTCATAAGTTTCTAAATGTTAACAATGTTTATGTGGTTGCTTCTAAAATAATTGGGTGTAAAATGTTAAAAATAATGGCTAATTTGGTCCATTTCATTGTATTGCATTATAATATGTAACGATTTTAGTCAAGAAAAAAATCAATAAAGTTCTCTATAACTTGATATTTTTGTATATCTCCGGTCCACGTGATGTAAAATTTTAGTCCATGTGGACCTTGAATCGAAATGAGTTTGACAAGCCTGCCCTAACCTCTCTTTAAACCAATATTAGAACTGTATTGTGTATGACGATATATATGAGTGTATTATATACAATAATGTATGTTTTATTGTATCAATGTGTTTTGTATTATCAATGGATTGTTATGAATGAGTGAATATAGTCTATAGTTCGATCTCTAGGTTCAACTGTCTATACGTCTTACTAATAGAAATATAACATATACAATTGGATCTACGTTGTTCCACTTTCTATCAGTCATATACGTAAAATGACTGGGATAATAAAGACAGGTATACGCCATACAGTGTGCTCTGAGGGAAATTTTGCCAAGGGATCTTTTATTGTTCTGCATTAATGAAGACGTTTATACGCCATAGAGAGTGCTCTGAGAGAAATTTTGCGCTACGGCCTACTCTTATTTCGAATTCCAATTGCCAAGGGATTTTTTACGTGCATCCCGCCCCCCGCCCCTCCCCCAAAAGAAAAAAATGTGCAATTCACAATTCAGTAAAACGTTTTTCTTTCTTTCTGCATTGATTAAAAACGATGAAAATCAACAACTTTTATCTTCTATTTCTAGTCTTGGTTTTGATGAAATGGATTAATAAATCTAAGAAAAACACTTCGCTGTTCTCAATATTCATCAGAATTTCTCCTCATTTGAACAATCTAAGGATATTCTCATAAAAACGCAGACCATGTATTGAGGGAGGTGGTGGGGGCCCTTAGAATATCCAGTCCTGTTATCCCAATCCCCACCAAGCATTCCAGATCTACATATCTATATTGAAACTATGGGTGTTTGGTTGTCTAGTGGTTTAACGCGTGCGTGTGAAATCACAAGGTCTGTCAGTGAGTCAAGTGGCGTGGTATCGATTCCCCCCTCGTAATGATTACAAAAGACAGAAATGAAGACAAAATGCTTTATTGATACTAACTATAAATATTCCTGAGTTAAAATAGATTTTAAAAACAATACGGTGAGCTTGGACAAACATTTAAAAGGCTTCTAAAACCATACCTACTCTGTTCAAAATAATGTTAGGCCCACCTCCCTTAAAATATGCCTCATGCCCAATGGGTCGAAAATAAAGATGGCCAGAAAATTCCAGTGAGAATTGGGAATATGGTGAGTTAATGTGGCCAATCATGGCAACAGTTTCTGAACGGTGAGATCTATTTGATAAGGCCAGCTTCAAGTTTGGTCAAAGGTCACGAGATGTAAACAGGGCTAGCGCTTATCCCAACCCTAACCCTAACCGTGGACCTAGCCGTAACGCTTACCCGGACCCTCGCCTACAATCTCTCGCCAACAATCAAGTGCCCTAACCCTATTTACATCTCAGCAACCTTGACAAAAATTGAGTCGGCCTTAACAAATAGATCTAGCTGTTTCTGAACTTAATCAGAAAATTGAAAGCGACTGTGAGTGAAGAGAATTTAAATTATTCCAAATGTTCCATATTATTTTTGTTTTGTCCAGTTAAACATTGCCTTGCATTGATCTGTTATCATAGTAATCTGAAAAATACAAAACAATATCTGATGACGTACACAACAAAATCTGATGACGTAAAATACACAACAAAATCTGATGGCGAAAAAACAATATCATCCGATGACGTCAATTAAATACAATTAATAGCTGATGAGTAAATATAAACAACAATATCTGATGACGTAAAATAAATACATTATCTGTTGACGTAAATATAAACAACGTTATCTGATGACGTAAATTTATAACAGTATATTTTGGTTACATCCAAAACACGGAATGGAATAGAATGCGGCTTCGCGTCTCACCAGAAGAATACAATGGTCATTTTTTTCTCCCATCAGAACGACTAGGTGCTAACCCAGACAGACAAGAACTGAACCTGTTTAACTTCCATTCAGAACAAATCTATTTTTACAATTTGAAATTGATTACTGGTAATTATTAACTTACCTATTACCGAAGGAGAACGTATATCGCGACTGTACAAACTGTCACTTCTATGATAGTCTGGATAATCACCTCTACCTTTAGAATATCCCTTTTTCTTGACGTCATAATGGCCACTGTAAAATGATAGAAAATGTGTCTTAAAAGTTTAAAACAAAAACCAAGATTACATTACAAATTGAAATCTTCAAAATGATAAGCTGAGTGGACTCACGTAGTTTTGTTGTAGAATTGCTATTGTTTTCGACACCTGCTTTCTATAGTTCCGGAGGTAAAATCAAAATCGCCCCGCTAATTTCCGGCATATGTAAATTTATACTTAAGCTTCATACAGTTGTAGCATTATTTCACATACAATTTAAAGGAGCTAAATCGCTAATATTTGGGACCTAGAAATTGACCCAAATGGGTCGCAACGCATATAATAATGTAATCTGATTGTATATAAACTGATTTACATTCAATTGTTTCCGTTTTGACTCTAATTTCAAATCAGTTATGTCCAGCAAAATACGGCAGGAGTCTCAACCAAATAGCAAATTTCTAGCGTCTGGTTATTCCAATCTATTGCGCATGCTCTCCAGATAAGATATGGCGTCACCATTTGACATGAGGTGTGGAATATGTCTAGCCTCGTTCTTTCTGGTCACTTGTTACAAATGACGCCGAAACGATTCGTGTACCAATGGTAAAATGCTTCTTTTGTCTTAAAGATTGGATATCAGAAGCCTACCTTTTCCCGGTAAGATCACAACATCAATGTTGACTTGAATTGACAAATAGTTCGTGTTTTCAACGTGTAAGACTTTGGATGATATTGAGTTAGAGACTTAGCTACTTTAAAGGCTCAATACCACTCTTGTTGTAACTGAATAATATGTCCCAATCTTTATTCTGGTCAACAAATTGTACTATTTTAGAATATTTCAATTAATTGATGATACATCTAGTACTTAGATAGAGATATTATTTATTTTCTGGAGCTTTCAAGCCAGCAAGAGTGTTATTGTCCCTTTAAGTTTGCCTGAAATCAATTTGATATCCCCCAAAATACGAAATCTGTTGATTTATTAGTCCCAGTTGTATCTATAGACTGATCATGGAGAATATATACCGGGGACATGGAGGTGGCCTTTTCCATACAACGGCCTTCTCCTTTCTCGAATTCCAACTGTCAAGAGTTCTTTTACGTTCATATCAATGCATACAGGAGACCCCAGTTTTTAGCCTCAATCGAAGCACTAGACATCGTTCCATTCAAGGCCCTATTCCAGAGGAACTTTCTCCGCCAACACAGAGATCATAGTTAGCGAGTCAGCTCCTTAAACGCTGCGCCACAGCGAGATATAGTCATAGGTCATAGGTCAATAGTGTTAACGTTAATATACTTACTAATCTTGAGACGTGGGATAAACATTGGACGGTTTTCTGAAACAGAGTATAAAACCAAGTTAAATGTGGCACAAACAATTTCAAAACATTTTTGGGAGGGGGTTTAACGTCCTACTTTTCTGCTCCGACTGGCCTAATGGAGACCTCACGACTAGAGGAAGATGATGGTGTGTTTTAAACACCATTGAGCAAAACCGAGTATTTTGACGGATGCGAGAGAGAGAGAGAGAGAGAGAGAGAGGGGGTCTTTCGCAGTGGGAGGAAACCGGAGGACACGGAGAAAACCCACGAGGTTGGACAGGCGACCCTACTCCTTGTCACGTACAACCGGGGATTCGAAACCACGCCAGTTGACTCAATGACAGGCTTTATGATACAGCGCGCACGTGCTAACCATTCGGCCATCCAACGCCCCCTGTCGGATGCGTAAGACTATAGTACATGTAAGAAATGAAATGAAAGTAGGGAATCACGGTGGCTAAGTGGGTAAGACGCTGGCTCGCTAGCCTGGAGGTCTGATGTTCGATCCCTGCATTGGCCGAGAAAGTTCATCCAGATTTTCCGGCGTGGTGTCCCCCTTGTCAGTGATGCAGGACGGAGGGCCTGATAAGGACAGATGTCTAGTCATTCGGATGAGACGAACAACCGAGGTCCCGTGTACACATTGGCGTGTACGTAAAAGATCCCTTGACAGTTGAAATTCGATATAAGAGTAGGCCGTAGTGCCGCTGCCCGGGCAAAATTTCCCTCATAGCACATTGTATGGCGTTTGCCCGTCTAGAGACTCGCCCTAGACTTCAGCCTACCACGACCGTAAGTAAATCTCGTAGAGAAAATGAGCCGAGACAATTGACAGAGCACTATCAGTTTTGGCCATTTTGGCTGTGTATAATATTTCAATAGGTTATGTCTTACCTGGGACCACAGCAGTAACCAAGCAACATTTTCTTTATACAAAAATAGAAGGCCACCAATACTGCCAGGAACAGAACAATGCCTATCACGGTAACTATGGCAATGTTGGCTGGTTCGTCGAAAAATCTTGTCTCTGAAGCTACAGTTCCTGCCTGCTGATCATTCTGATTAGTAGGTTGAGTCGTGTCGCCTAGGAAACGAACTGTGACGATATCGGAAGTAGATCTGGGTGGTGTCCCTTTATCTCTGGCCTGTATTGTCAAGAGGGCAGCACTGTCTAACAATGAGTCTGGGAATTTCTTAATATACTGTATCTCTCCCGATTCTGTAAAAGGAAGTTCATTTATTTTAAAGCAGTAACATGGCATTGTCTTATGTGTCGTCCGATTGTCACCATTCATTTATGTCTCGGACGGTTAGCCGCCATTGTCTGTGGTCTAATCAGATTGCTGGTCAACATTGCCTTATGTCTAGCCTGACTGCTAGCCATCATTGACTCACGACAGCTAACCACCATTGTCCTACGTCTAGTCAAATTGCTAGCCACCATTGTCCTTCGTCTAGTCCAATTGCTAGCCACCATTGTCCTACGTCTAGTCCAATTGCTAACCACCATTGTCCTACGTCTAGTCAAATTGCCACCATTGTCTTACGTCTAGTCAGATGCTAGCCACCACTGGCGATCGAACCCTTTACTTGCAGTTAGCTGGTTGTTACCCACCATTGTCTTACGTCTAGTCAAATTGCTCACCACCATTGTCTTACGTCATTTCCGATTGCTAGCCAGCACGGTTAGATCTATTTGATAAGGCCAACTTCAAGTTTGGTCAAAGGTCACGAGATGTAAAAAGGGCTAGGGCTAATCCAAACCCTGACCCTAAACCTGGACCTAGCCCTAATGCTTACTCTAATCTACAATCTCGGCAACAATCACGTGCCCTAACCTTATTTACATCTCAGCGACCTTGGCGAAAATTAAGCTGGCCTTAACAAATAGATTTAGCCAGCCAGCAGTGGTGATCGAACCCTTTACTTTCAAAGTTAACTGGCGTACGAAGGTACCCGCCCCCGATTTACGAGCAGGTTAAGCTTGTAGGTGCTACTTACCTATCCTCGGTTACCCAGTGTACTCATTCCGTTCTACTCCACTATACCCTGGGTTAATATATTGGGGGGGGGACACGTTTTCAAGTTATCCGCCCTTGATGATTGTGCTATTTTTATCGACCAATCCCATAAATTTTTATTTGAAAGGGAAGTTGGCAAAAGTAAGTAACTATCATCGGACAATGTTAGGAGTTGGCCTATTCTAAATGCGTAATTATTAACAACCAATTATATATTATGTTAATGAGAATCAAATTGCCAAGTATAAGTTCAATAATAATAAACATAACAGAATGGCATATTTCAGACAAAGAACGAATAGTAATAATAATAACAAAAGTCAAACATATAGATGTTATACAAATTAGAAATCAACAACACAACTACAGATTTTGATAATACAATTAAATATAAATAAATTATAAATATATACATTATTTACTTAAATCATTCAGTAAATTGACATGAATATGGTTAATTGGTTATCTACCCTTATAAAAACGAAGACGAAACGATTGGTTTGTAAACTGTTTTCTGATTGGTTCGTAGACTGTAGCTACATTCTAGGCCAGGGCAGATAATTTAAAATCGTGGAAACCCTATGGATTAACCCAGGGTATAGTGGAGTAGAACGGAATGAGACAACTGGGTAACCGAGGATGCTACTTACCAAGCAGTACAATATAATCTGAGGTTGTGGCTGGGTTCATAGCCGTTAAAATATACTCTATTTCACCATTCAGACCACTATCAGCATCAGTAGCTTGTACAGTACCAACAGCGCCTGGTCAAACAAAAATAAAACAGAGTATAGATGTCAAATGGCCCTGTTTCTCGAAATCTTAACTAAAGATAAAATCCAAATTTTGATTGGCTAAGCACTAAAATCAATCTAATATTACCCAATCAAATTACTAAAATTTGGATTTTATCCCCCCAAAACTTTCAATTCATTGTTGGATGACTTTTAACCATTTAAAACCTTGAATCAGAACGGACAAACTGTCCTTTAATTAGAAATGAAATGTAATGGAGTTTTATTGTCGTGCTGTTCTGCGACAAATCTGTTAATAAAAATTGGAATACGCCACGAAGAGTGCTGTCCGGACTCTGCTTATGAAGACTGGAATATGCCACGAAGAAAGGGAACTTTTGACCGGACAGTGTCGTTAATTTGGTTAGTTGTGTTGGTTGATTATTTCCGTTTTGAAACTTCAACAATCCTTAAACTGTCGGGTCAATAATTAACTTGAATTTATATTTATTGTATATTTCCTGAGGTGTCTGGGTGGTTTGTCATGTCGGTTTGGTTTTTCGTGCAGTGGGGCGTTAGATTTATTATTTGTTTGGACAGAGCTCACCAAATATTCCTACGCCGTAAAACAAGAGCCAAAGCTATTTTTAGTCTTTCTCTCCCTTTTCCTCCCCCCCCCCCCTTTTGCATGGCGACTTTTTGGTGTAGTATCGAAGAAAAGGGTTTTGAAAAAAAAACATTTTCTTCCAAGATTTGGTGAATATTCATGATTTTGAGGTGGAAGAGTGTATACAAGAGTTAAGAGGTTGATTAGGTTGAAATGTAGGGCCGAAAATTGCATGTTTACTTGTCTCTACTTGTATCTCAAGTTTTTCATGAAAAACCTCATACCTGCTTTTGGGCAAGAGGTTGCCACATGTTGCTCCAACAGTGGTAGAAAGCGTTCTACCCATCGAAAATTTGGTAAAAAGTTAGAGCCAGTCTAAGAGACGAGAATTAACATTAAAGTCAATGGGGAAATCATTAGTGACAAGAGAGGGTTATTGTTCCTGGCTTAGAGAAGGAAACTTACCTATAGGTGATGCTGGTGTAAGGTCTATTATTTGTGTCGCTGTGATGACGGGAGAGTTATCGTTCCTGTCTGTAACTGTGACTTGTATCTGAGCCGTACCAACTTGTCCTGCGCTATCTCTTGCCTCGATATCAATCGTCAGACTACTCGGCATAGCGTTACCATCAATATCATAGTTAACAGAAAACGTCAGTCTATCGGCTGTCGGGGACGTAAACCGGAAACGCTGACTGTCAGGGCTCGATTTAATGGATATGGTTACAGCGCCGCCTTCCGGATCTTTTACGTTTAGATTCAAGTCACATGTTGAATCCAATGCCTACAAAAAAGAGACCTTTATAGCTGATTTGGTGGCATTCGAGAGAAAGGATTTAAAAGAAAAAAATAGGGTTACTTCCGAACCAATAAGTACAATGTCTGATCTTCAATTAAATCAGACCCAGTAGACTGTAGACGGGAAAAACTAACTCCAAATGGTTCCTGTAAGTCCCCTTTGCCCTCACCTTCCCTTCGCCCGCAAATCTCGTCTATCCGTTCACCTGATTCGCCGTTTAAGCCCCCTCCTCTTTACCCTGTAAGCCCCAACTCCTTCGCCATGTACGTCCATTCGCTTGGTCCTATTCCCCACCACCCCACTCAGTCTAATAAGTCTGCAAACCCCACCTCCTTATTCACCCAGTAAGACCGAAGCCAATCATTCTCCCTGTAAACACCTAATTCACCAAGTAAGTCTCTTCCCTTGTGTCCCTCCTTTGCCGCGTAAGCCCCTCCCCCTGTACCCGTTAAGCCCTGCCTCCCTTGCCGTGTAAGCCCCTCCCCTCAAAACTTACCGGTGACTCCTGTAGAATACAGGTGTACATTTGTTGAGCAAACTCTGGTTTTTCATTAACGTCATCGATATTAACAGTTAAGATGTCCGGACCTAACGACTCGAGATATTGATCTGTAATAAAACAATCTATCTCATACTTCTTTATACCTTCATAATCCAAACGATTTTTACCGTCACTTCCGGTTGATACCAGTATTCTACTTCCTGTAACAGAAACCATAGTTAACATAAATACTAAACGATTCTCGATGTCACCTTCGGTTGATAATACTATTCTACTTCCTGTACCAGAAACCATAGTTAACATAAATACTAAACGATTCTTGATGTCACTTCCGGTTGATAGTACTATTCTACGTCCTGTAACAGAAACCATAGTTAACATAAATACTAAACGATTCTTGAAGTCACTTCCGGTTGATAGTACTATTCTACTTCCTGTAATGGATACCATTAGTAAATTATATATATATATATATATAAATAAACTAAAGATAGCTAAATATCTTTAGCGCCGCGGAGCAGTAATTGTTACTGGAATTCAGGCGCTTTATAAATTCATTATATTATTATTATTATTAGCTAACTATTCAGTTTGTTTCATCTGGCTTGTTATTCCCAGGAACAATATTAGACGTTGAGGGTACGAACAGCAATTCTGGGCTATGTGAACATGCTAAAGTCGATTTGTAGCATTTGTAGATTTCTCCAGTTTCCTTCTACAGCTACAGACACCTGCGAATTATGTATTAACCTGGTTTGTATCGGCTGGACGGTACCCCCTCTCTCTCTCTCTTTCTCTCTCTCTCTCTCTCTCTCACACACACACACAGACACATATGATGAGTAAAGCTAATCAAGTCTCACCTATGATATCAAACACCGGTAACTGTGTATTAGGTGTAACATTACAGGTTGGTATAAACGGGGCTGTTTGATCCGGATCCAGGTACAGTAGAGTCAGTAATTCTGTTCCTGGTGCTGTGTTCTCGGGTATTCGACTTTCCGCTGGTAGGTTGGTGATCTCTGGACGAACATTCAAATCTACACACATAAAATACACGGATCACATAAAATACATGGATCACATCACATACAATACACGGATCCCATAAAATGCATATATCAATACAATACATGGATCACATCACATACAATGCATGGATCACATACAATACATGGGTCACACCACATACAATGCATGTGTCAATACAATACATGGATCACATCACATACAATACATGGATCACATACAATACATGGATCACATACAATGCATGGATCACAAACAATACATGGATCACATCACATACAATGAATGCATGGATCATATGACATAAAATACATGGATCATATGACATAAAATACATGGATCACATACAATACATGGATCACATTACATACAACACATACAATACATGGATCACATACAATACATGGATCACATACAATACATGGATCACACCACATACAATGCATGGAATCACATACAATACATGGATCACACCACATACAATGCATGGATCACATACAATACATGGATCATATGACATATGACATGCATGGATCACATACAATACATGGATCACATAAGAGTAGGCAACATTTCCCTGATAACACACTGCATTTCAGACGTTTCGTCCATGTGTATATTAAACATACATTGTGCAAGATTGCAAGACTTTATTGAGGCTTCAGATGTTATAGAAATTATTAATTAGACCTTTTTTTACATGACAAGCTAGCTCAAAATGAACTCTGTAGACCATCGGATGGCTTGGATACAGCTTAGAGTTAAACAGTCGTCCATTTAAAATTAAATCAAGATATTGCCGATCAAGCTAACGTTTACCCTTAGTCATTGACGCCACTATCGGAAACTAAGCGAGGGTACCATAGCCACTGAGATTGTTACTTGATAATCGAGAATATGTGGGTGGAATTATCGTCTGTCAATCAAACGATCGGCAATTCTCGTAGACGGTGCGGACACAGTTGATGCCTATTTCTAGTCCAAACTTCCAACAGTGACAACTCCGTTCAGAATAAAGTAATTTGATTCAAATTTTCAATATTTTCTTTTTTTATCATCCATTTTTGAATTATTATAGCAAGAATGGCCAACTCTTTATTAAACTCTTAACTAATGTATGTTTAATTAATTTAGTAAACTTACCGGAAATTTCTAAAATAATATCTAACTGTGTTGATTTATCACCATCACTAACAACCAGACTCAAGTTGACAGGGGATTCCCCTACTGCTACAAAATCAACCTTTGCCCGTATCTCGTTCGTAGCTGAAACAAAGATTACAATATCAGTTAAATCCCGGAATCTCTAACAGGAATATCAGTCCAAAAATAGCTCAATTGAACAATTTCATTCGGGCGGGCGATTATTTTGAGGAACTTTTAGGGTTGTTTAACCCGTGAAAAATATTTACATGAGCTTGTAATGAATATATCTAGAGGTGGGGATATACTTTCCTGGGTTTATAGTGAATATATCTATTGGTGGGGTTATAGAGAATATATCTAGTGGTGGTGTTATTCTTACTTGGGTTTATAGTGAATATATCTAGAGGAGGGGCTATGCTTACCTGGGTTTATAGTGAATATATCTAGAGGTGGGTTTATAGTGAATATATCTAGAGGTGGGTTTATACTAACCCGGGTTTATAGTGAATATATCTAGAGGTGGAGGTATACTTACCTGGGTTTATAGTGAATATATCTAGGTGTGGGTTTATAGTGAATATATATAGATGGGGTTCTAGTGTATCTAGTGGTGGGGTTATACTTACCTGAGTTTATAGTGAATATATATAGAGGAGATGTAATACTTGCCTGGGTTTATAGTGAATATATCTAGAGGTGGGGGTATACTTACCTGGGTTTATAGTGAATATATCTAGAGGTGGGGTTACACCATATGAATATGTTATAGGATCAACATCGGGATCACTGGCTGTTACTGTATATAACAAATCACCCTTCATTACTCCGTCTGCTGTCACTGGTATATTGACTGTAAAACAATACCATATGTATACATACACAAATATACGACATACATATACACATTACACACAAATACACAAACATATTACACACAAATACACAACATACATATACACCGTACACACAAATCAAACGCATGAAAAAAAGATTTAGAAACATAAATAAAGGCGTTTCAACTATTTGTAGGTAAAACAAATTCCTATTTAGTGTAAATTAGTAAGTAAAATAAGTAAAAGGCACCATTCTGTCCGGACCAGTAACCATTGTCATTAAGCCAGTGGTTGACGCCGCGTGATGTGGCGTCACATGCTGAAAGCAGTCATCTTTTAAAGAGATGTCTGGTCGTTCGCATGGGACGAAAAACCGAAGTCTCGTGTATACATTGGCTTGCACGTTAAAGATCACTTGGAAGTTGGAATTCGATATAAGAGTAGGTCATAGTGCCGCTGCCCGGGCGTCTTCATTAGCCAAGTCGGAGCAGAACAGTAGGACGTTAAACCCCATTTGATTTCATTTTGAAGTAAGGATAAAAATGGCAACTTACTCATAGGAGCATCCGTAATAACTGGGGCATCATTGTCTATAACATTCACTACTACTATTGCACTACGTAAATTATTATTGACATCAGCACACTCTATAGTGACGTCATATCTCTGATATACGTCAAAGTTTAACTTGTTTGAACTTGAGGCATCGAAGAAGAAATACCAACCTGCAAAAGAAAAGATTAAAGTGTAAAAATTGGCAAACATCGAAATCTTTCGAAACTAGGCTTTTTACCACGAGGGGGGCTGAGATATTGGTGTGTGTCAAACCTTGATGGCAGAACAGGCAGAAGCCCATATCAATTCAGAATTTTAAATTTATACTCAGGCATTTGTTGTAATGAAAAATGGTACAGAACGCGTAAGAGTGGATGGGCTGTGAATAAGAAACGGTTAAAGTGATAGTACTGATAGTCTGTCTATACTTGACAAACGAATCAAGCGATATTTCAAAAAGACAAAAAACAAATTGTATATGACCGTAAGGTCACTATTTTAGCATACTCCCCGCAATGTTTCGTTTGATTATACCTAATCCTACTCAACACTGCGTAATGAAAGCAAATTTCTGTTCCAAATTATGATTGGTCAATAGTCCGATTAACAACCAATACCTAACTGTGTAACAATATTATTCTGGTTTAAACAGAGTTTCAAATATGTTAACATAACGTTACGTCATGATTCACGAAATTTATTACGCCCAATTAACCAGTGCATAGCAGAATATTGCAGAAACACTAATTGTGTGACAAACGAGGCTATCAACATGGCTACAATGTAAACAATAATGTTTGAAGACGAACAATACTTCCAATACCTTAAATCACTGTCCAAAGTTTTAGGGAAGACCCCAGATTAAACGAAAGTGCAAATCTAACTTCGGCCTGACGAATAATAATAATGTTATTAATATGTACATTTATATAGCACACGTACTCCGTGCACAGAAGAATGTCCACTGCGCATACAATTAAATTAATTTAATTAATCTTGATAAGTCTTGATGTAAAACAAGAAAGGGTTTGAGATGATTTAATGATCTCTGGAAGATTGTTACGCCGTTTAGGCGCATTCACTGAGCACGATCCGTATCCAAATGATATTAATTTCCACCTGATGAATGTGATGAATGTGTGTTCGGTCGGAGGTTACTCGAGGGAATTTGTATGTGCATAAAGTTAGATAAGTATATTTGAGCTAAGCCATTCACACACTGATACGTCAGAGACAGACTTTTGAAGATGATTGGCAGCCAATAGATTGATTTCAGAACAGGAGTAATATGAGAGTGTTTGGTGATCTGGTAAGAATTCGAGCTGCAGTATTTTCTACAAGTTGATGTATTTTAATATTGGCACTAGATGTTCCTACTAACAAGCTGTTACAGTAGTCAATCCTTGAGAATACCAAAAAACATATAAGTGTAGCCGCTGCTTCCTGGCTAATAAAGTGTTTATATGGCCAATTTTCACTAATGTAACTGTCCATGCTCAAATTGGACCCCAAGAGGACACCTAACCTCTTCATAGTGTCTCATGGTACAAATATTGCATCTCGTACAACCACATCATTTGAACTTGTATTTTTCAGATGTGTATTTGGACCACATAAAATACATTCTGATTTACTTAATTTAATTAAATATAATTTCAACATATTTCTTGTCATTCTATCTTTAATGTCATGTGTACACAATTTGATGTCAGAATAATTAGGGAATGAAACAGTTTTTGAAAGGGAATAACTTGCGATCAGTTGTGTATCATCTGCATAAGAATGCCGTCCTAGAAACCACGCTTATCGATTAGTTGTCCCAATTTCTTAGTATACATTACATAAAGGACAGGCCCAAGGACTGATCCTTGTGGAACTCCCGAATCATCTGTACCGGCCCTACACAGGGTTGCTGGTAGGCGGTTGCATGGGACATTATCAGGCCTAATAATCCAGTCAATGGATGATTTTATTGGAAAAATGATGTCAAAAATGAAGTCATTTTCTTCAAGTTCGACCATCAAATTTAATATGAAAGAAATCCGTGCCAGTCATTTTGTCAAAACCAAATATTAGTATTATAAGTCATCAACTTCCATTATAAATATAATTGTCCTCAGCCCCCCGCAGTGGGTGAGATATATCATCATGATATTTATATGTTTTAGCATATAGCAAAAACTACGTCTCAAAATAAATTCCTCATAGCCTGAAATGGTTGTCGGAAAATTTTAATAGTCATATATATTGAAGTAGTAGACATGATCATTCATAAAAAAATAATTTAAAAAAATAAAAAATCAATAGACAATTTATGGGAAATATTTGAATTTAAGGAATTTTTTTTATAAAAAAAAATGACCGGTTTTTAACACTAAAATCGCCATAGCTGGTTCTCCGTAACTTCAAGGTTGGTGACCCTCATATTTCATGTGGGGTATAATTACCCAATGACCAAATCTGCAAAGTTTGGTCAAAATCGCCCGACACCGCTTGTGCCGGTTTTTCAAAATTTTGCATGATTCTCTCGCGAACTCATTCTTAACAATAATTTGTGTGTGTGTGTGTGTGTGTGTGTGAGAGAGAGAGAGAGAGAGAGAGAGAGAGAGGGGGGGGGGTGTTATGGGTGTTTGAAGTCTCTATTGTACCATTGGTAAGATAATAAACAAAATCTCGATTATTTAATTTATCGTTAGCTTATTAAAAGACAAATAGGGTTTAACGATCACTCAACACAATCTAGGTCATTTCGGGACTAACATATGGTTTAATTTTATTTCAATAATTCGCTTGCATGTAGGACTCTTTAGACCCGGAGAAAACCCACGAAGGATAGACGTACAACCGGGGAATCGATACCACGCCAGTTGACTCAATGGCAGACCTTATGATACAACGCACACGCGCTAACCATTCGGCCATCCACCCCACCTCGGAACTGTAGAGTGGCGTTAACTTTGCTACGAACTCTGCTATGTAGAGCGTTTACAGGAATTGTAAATGGACGGACGGACATGGGAGGGGACATAAAAAAAATTATACGTAAGCGACGCCAATGTTCGAAAAAAGAAGGGATCACACAATTTGATTGTTAGCCTACTTACTGACGTCTAAACCGGAAGTTGTAAAAGCCTTGGTAAACGGATGATCAGTGAAGATAGGAGAAGATGGCGTCACATCCGTTCCAACTCCCTTGATGTAACAGTTGACCACCGTGCCAGGCGGGTTCACCGCTACAGATGCTATGTTGTAGTTACTAGCTTGACGTTCTATTAGATTTACTGTTCCAGGGGTTAACACTATATCAGTCAGCTGTAATAGATATAACATGATATATAACTAGAGGTTAACACTATACTAGTCACCAGTCACCAGCCAGAACATGATATATACTACTAGAGGTTAACACTATACCAGTCACCAGTCAGAACATGATATATACTACTAGAGGTTAACACTATACCAGTCACCAGTCAGATATAACATGATATATACTACAAGTACTAGAGGTTAACAGTATACCAGTCATATATAACATGATATAACATACTTCAATTATTTTATGACTAATTCTCTCGCTCTACCCCCTACCCCCTCTCTCCTTCTCTCTCCTCTCTCCCTCCCATCTCCTTCCTCTATCTCTCTCCCTAAGTCTCTCTCTCTCTCCTCCCGCTCCTCTTTCTCTCCCTCCCTCCCCCCCCCTCTCTCTCACACTCTCTCTCTCCCCGTACCGGTATCTCTCGTAATGTGTATAATCCACTTCACGAATATTGTGCCCGGACAACAGTATTTCCATTAACTCTTCATCAAATATTCCAACTGTCGAGGATTCTTTCACGTGCACACCATTATGTACACGGGTGGAAATAGAACGAAAATATAAAATACCTGTGAATCTATTCTACCAAGAAAGGTAGCCGCTGTTAACCAGAATAGAATCATCTTTTAACGTATATTATATTATATTTAACGATAAACGCTGCATCTTGTCTATACCTGCTTCAAGTTTCCTGAAAAGAAATGAAATGAAATGAAATAATGGGGTTTTACGTCCTACTGTTCTGTTCCTAAACTGGGCTAATGAAGACGATTATGCGCCATACAGTAGGCTATGGGGGAAATTTTGCCCGGGCAGCGCCGCTACGGATTCCAACTGCCAATGGATCTTTTACGTGCACGCCAATGTGTACAAGGAACTTAGGTTTATCGTCCCATCCGAACGACTAGACAGCTGTCCTTGTCAGGCCCTACGTCAGATATCATGTCGTGTTATGTTATTGTACGGAGACGTTTATTACAAGAATCAAAACCTCGAGTCAATGTCACCATTTTGCCAATCTGATTAAAACACAGATCCTATTTCGTTTCGTTTTTTTATAGTTCAAAATTTCATTTTACTTATCTTTACTACACTAGGATCTGGAAGAGTTGTTATATTACCGGCGTTCTGGTGGAAGTGAGGGATAAGCCAATGAAACAGTTTGTTACGACGAATTCTTGGCATTCCATGCACGGAACTATGGGTATAATACCACTAGAAACGCCAACGCTGATTGATTAATCAATGTCTGACGCCATAGGTTCAAAAGCCGTTCGTACGACCCCTGACACGACCCTCGAGTACAACTTGTCAGATCATCATGTAGTGTGGCCATCGAAAGTATAAAAAAAACGAAACGAAATATAGATCTGTATTTTAATTAGATTGCCATTTTGCCAAGTCAGAATTAGTTTTCAAGCCATAAAACTCTAAGCAGGGGGGGTGGGGGGGAGCCGATATTTCCCTTGGGCTCAGGCCCGTAACTAGCCCCCCCCCCCCCCATGAAAAAATTGCCGACCATAAAAACAATAGATCAATAGATATACATGGTCCGTCAATTTTACAGCACCCCTGAGAACACTTCCCGCCCCATCCCCACCCCCGTTGCTCTGAGCTAGTTACAGCCCTGCTTGGGTTTGGGATGAAGTCAGATATTTCGGACTAAACTTAGTGACTAAGTCTTGGGAGGGAGCCTGATATTTCGGACTAACTAGTTTAACATACAAAATGAGGTTTTACGATCTACTGTTTTCTTGCAATCGGTCTGATGAAGACGGGCATACGCCATGCAATGTGCTGTACTACAAGTTTTTTTATATACCATCCAAACGACTAGACGTCGTTTCTTGTCATGCTGTCCGTCCTTCACCAATGGGAAACCAGGCTGGAAAATCCTGAGGAACTGTACCGATCAACACCGCGATCGAACCTTGGGTACAGAGCAAGCACCTTATTCACCGAGCCACCGTGGCTGTCTGAAAAATGTCTGTTAATGAAGTCTAAACTTACCTTAAAACACAGTCCAGAATACAGAATATCTGTGAGCGAAGTCTAAACTTACTTTAAAACACAGTCGAGAATCCAGAATATTATATCTGTGAGCGAAGTCTAAACTTACCTTAAAACACAGTCCAGAATCCAGAATATCTATGAATGAAGTCTAAAACCTACCTTAAAACACAGTCCAAAATCTAGAATATCACTGAGTGAAGTCTAAAACCTCTACCTTAAAACAGTCCAAAATCCAGAATACCTACTTTAAAACACAGTCCAAAATCCTGAATACCTATGAGTGAAGTCTAAAACCTACCTTAAAACACAGTCCAGAATCCAGAATATATTTATTGCAAATTAAAAACAAAATCCCGAACTCGGAATATATTTTACTCCAGAGTTAAACAGAATATATTTACTCCACTCTAAAGTTAAAACATTGTTTAGAATATATTTACTCTATAAAGTTTAAACATAGTTTAGAACATATTTACTCTAAAGTTAAACCAAAGTTTAGAATATTTACTCTAAAATAGTTAAGAATATTTACAGATTCCAAAATACATTTACTCTAAAGTTAAACAAAATCCCGAACTGAGAATATATTTTACTCTAAAAGTAAAAACGCCGTTATAAAAATATTTGGCTACGTATCAACTACATAAATGAATTGAATGAATGAACGAGGTACTTCAAAACCATTGAACCCAATGTTGACATTTGTTTTGTTAATTTGAAAGCGATATTAATATTGAGGCGTCTGACGATTGTATGGTAAACTACAAAGAGAAACTTTGGGATAATAAAACGTGTCAATCATTGTTAGATAGTAATAACGATATAAAAGGGGCAGAGCTAGTTGGGATAGTTTAAGGGGGGCTATTATACTGTAGTAATTTTACAAGTATATCAGTTAAAAGCTCTGATTGAGAGAGAGAGAGAGGGGGGGGGGGTGATAGACATGAAATGAATTGAAGTGGAACATCATACTGTTCTGCTCCTATACTGAGCGAATAAAGACGGGCGTACACCTTACAGCGTTCTATGAGGGACATTTGGACCGGGCATTGGCACTATGGCCTACTCTGATATCGAATTCTAACCGTCAGAGGATCTTTTACGCGCATGTCAATGTATACACGGGACCTCGGTTAATCGTCCCATCCAAACGACTCGACAGCTGTCTTTATCAGGTCCTTCGTCCTGCATCACTAACAAGGGATTGCGTGTGTGAGAGAGAGAGAGAGAGAGAGAGAGAGTGGGTGGTGGGTGGTATCCTACTGTTTTGCATTAATCGGGTCTAAATAATGACGGGCATACTCCATGCGGTGTTCGATGAAAGATATTTTGCGCACACTTTGTATCGAATTCCAAGTTCTTTTATGAGCACGTCAATGTGTACGCGGGATTTGTTTTTTTTTTGTCCCATCGGCACAACTATACGTTGTTTCTTGCCAGGCCCTCCGTCCTATTCTACTAAACGGCTGTGGTGGTGCTTATTTGGATTTGTTCAAGTTAAGATGATTGCCCCTTAGTGGTAAGGTCTAAATATTAAAGCCGTCTGCAGGTTTCATCAAGGTCACGAGATTTAAACACGGTTAGGGCACGCGATTTTTGGCGAGATTATAGGTAAGGGCTAGGGTTAGGGTTAGGTGTAAGATTTTGATGGATCTCTTCAAAATTTGGTAGGAATTATCCTTAGATGATATAAGATAAAAATTTGTTAAAATAATCTGGCTAACTCCATCGGGACAGTTTTATTGCCGAGGAGCACATTAAAACATGGAGAGAAATGAAATGAAAATGAAATGAAAATGAAATGTTGTTTAACGTCCTACGCTTCTGCACCTAAACTGGGCTAATTGAAGGCGGGCATACGCCATACAGTGTGCTATGAGGGAAATTTTGCCCGGGCAGCGGCGCTACAGCCTACTCTTATATCGAATTCCAACTGCCAAGGGATCTTTTACGTGCACGCCAATGTGTACACGGGACCTCGGTTTTTCATCCCATCCGAACGACTAGGCAGCTGTCCTTGTAAGGCCCTCCGTTCTGCATCACTGACAAGGGGAAACCACGCCGGAAAATCGAGATGAACTTTCTCGGCCAATGCAGGGATCGAACACCCGACCCCCAGGCTAGCGAGCCAGCACCTTACCCACCTAGCCACCGTGATCCCCTAAAACATGGAGAGATAGAGAAATGGGGTTTAACGTCCACTCGACACAAACTAGGTCATTTCGGGACTAACATATGGTTCAATTTTATTTCAATAATTCACATGCGCGTAGGGGTCTTTAGCAGTGGGAGGAAACTGGAGGGCTCGGAGAAAACCCACGAAGTTGGACAGGCGACCCTACTCCTTGTCACGTACAACCGGGGATTCGAAACCCCGCCAGTTGACTCAATGACAGACTTTATGATACAGAACGCACACGCTGACCATTCAGCCATCCAACCCCCCACATTAAAACGTATTTGACTTCATCTCTGAAGGCGCTTGAAGTATTTTCTCCTTAACTGCTTGGACATTCGAGCATAACGACTCGCAAAAATGAAATTGAGTTTAACAACTTACTATTCTGCTCCAGGGGGGTTGGATGGCTGAATGGTTAGCGTGCGCGCGCTGTATCATAAAGTCTGTCATTGAGTCAACTGGCGTGGTTTCCAATCCCCGGTTGTACGTGGCAGGGAGTAGGGTCGCCTGTCCAACCTCGTGGGTTTTCTCCGGGTCCTCCGGTTTCCTCCCACTGCTAAAGACCCCTACGCGCAAGCGAATTAATTAAATAAAATTAAACCATATGTTAGTCCCGAAATTACCTAGTTTGTGTCGAGTGGACGTTAAACCCCATTTCTCTCTCTCTGTTCTGCTCCAACCGGATTAATGAAGACGGAAAGCCGCCATGACAGTGTGCTATGGGCGACACTATGCCGGGACAGTGGCACTATGGCCTATTCTTATTTCGAAGTCCAACTGCCATGCACGTGGTTTTTCGCCCCGTTTATTAAAACACGATGTATAAGTTAAAACTTACCAGCACCAGTCTGGTTAATGTTGTCAGAATAATGGAGGGGGGGGGGGTAACCCATCTTCAATAGAAGGCTTAATCTCGCTTAAACTACGTACGTGAAACTCGCAGCTTCGTTGCTTCAGGAACATGGTAACCAGGAAAATGGCGTTTAGGAATTTAATGAAATGGGGTTTAACGTCCTACTGTTCTGCACCGAAATGAAATGGGATTTAACGTCCGACAATTCTGCTCCGCCTGGGCTAATCAAGACGGACATACGCCATACAGTGTGCTATAAGGGAAATTTTGCCCGGGCAGCGGCACTGTGGCCTACTGCTATATCGAATTCCAACTGCCAATGTATACATGGGTTTTCGTACCATCCGAAAGTCTAAGACAGCTGCCTGTCAGGCCCTCCGTCCTGCACCACTGACAAGGGGAAACGGTTCTGCACCGAGTGGACTTATAAAGACGGGCATATGCACTATACACATCGGAAACTTTCTTCGCCCACACCAGGATCAATTCTAGGACATCCAGGTGAGCGAACCAGAGTTCTACTCACTGAGCCACCGCGGGGCTAGAAAGAGAGAGAGAGAGAAATAGGTTTTAACGTGCACTCGACACAAATTAGGTTATAGCGGGATTAAAACATGGTTCAATTTATTTCAATACGTAGGGGTCAAAAACTGGAGGATCAGGAGAAAACCTATGAGGTTGAACAGGCGACCCTACTCCTTGTCACGTACAACCGGGGAATCGAAACCACGGCAGTTGACTCAATGACAGAAATTTTAATACAACGCGCACGCGCTAACAATTCGGCCATCTAAAACAATAAACACAAGATTTTGAAAGGAATATATATATTTATTTAATAGGGGGGAAACAAGAAAGTAAAAGAAGATTCAAAGTGAAAAAATGGCTGACAACAATTTTACACAATACAAGCATTGGGTGGGTCAACAAAACAAGTCAGGAAGACAACCTCTCTTCCACGTGGCATGTCCCCATCAGGACTAAAAGCTCAATATTAAATGCTTTGGTTAATATTCATAGTGAACAAACTTTAATTTCATTTAGTCAGTTCGCTTAGGATCCGTTTATCGAACAAACTTTAAGAAGAAAACCATCAACACCGTTGCGTATGGAAGATTTGAAAATCTTCAACTGGGTTTCGTATGGAAGATTTGAAAATCTTCAACACGGTTTCGTATGGAAGATTTGAAAATCTTCAACACCGTTTCGTATGGAAGATTTGAAAATCCTCAACACGGTTTCATATGGAAGATTTGAAAATCTTCAACACCGTTTTGTATGGAAGATTTGAAAATCCTCAACACGGTTTCGTATGGAAGATTTGAAAATCTTCAACACCGTTTTGTATGGAAGATTTGAAAATCTTCAACACCGTTTTTGTATGGAAGATTTGAAAATCCTCAACAAGTTTTCGTATGGAAGATTTTAGACATTCTTTTTTAAACGTAAAATCCACCACCAACCCTGGAAATATGTTACCTGAACAAGACAATGTCCGACACAATATTTCAGGAGCCGGTCATTCCGTCAAACATAAATCTTGTCCCCTTTTCCATGTTTTAAGGATATCTTTTTTTACTGTGCGGAGTTGAAGAGTGTCCAAATGAACATCTTTAATTACGTCCATCATTTTTCACGGCGTAATTTAAATCATTTAATTTCCTCGATCGAACTAACTCTACCCCACCCTCGGATGATTTGAAACCTAACGAACTGACTAATTGAAGTGTACACAGTGCTTGTTATAGAGGACAGCATTAGGACAAAATAAATATATATGTTACTTTATATCTTGATAACCCAGGCTATCTAGTCTTGATTATATTGTCTTAGAAGGGAGACAACTCAACATTTTTTAAAAAATTATGCACGGTAATGATTTTGATTTGATTCTAATACCCATTTTATTTTAGTCATAATTTTAGTGAAATGTTTTATCTTTGGTTAGTGTCCAGTAGCAGAACCCTTTAAGAATGCAGTCATTTCATTGGCTAAAATTTGTGCTCAGCCAATGAATAATCAGTGCTCAGCTAATGAATAAACAGTATTCCTGATTAAAAGCCTTCTACCAATTAATGATAGTTTTTTTTAAAGACCTGTTAATCCTGTCCCAACTCCAGCTGTGAGTTAAGATTGTTAAGTCACAGAGAGGCAATGAAGGGCAGTGAGCATTGTACACTAACATCTGTATCAATATATAAACATAACACAAGATCCTGGAGTTGTCTCCCCTATAAACAATAATTTCAAAAACAAATCAAGTAAATGACAGAAAAAAAACAAAACATAACAGACAAACACAATGGTTAATAGTCAATCAATAAAATAACCCAGGCTATTTCTTTTCTCCAATACAATTCTTCAGATAAAGTAATGCCTGTTGAATATAGTTCTATTAACATGGCGCAAATCAGGCTAATTATCACCATATTTGGAGTCGGGCCAACTATTACCAAATATGGAGTTAGAGTCTGGTCAACTTTATGGTAATAGTTTGGCCAGACTCTCCATATAAGGTAATAGTTGGCCAGACTCTCTCCATATATGATAATAGTTGACCAGACTATCTTTCAGGAATTAATAGGAGATATGTCCACTGTTCTGTCTTCTTCTACAACAATTTTCACAAGATAATCTGAGGCCAAAACTTTCCCCTGTCAGAGAGAGGGAGAAACGGGGTTTAACGTCTACTCATTACAAACTAGGTCATTTAGGGGACTAACATGGTAAACTGGGGGAACCCACAAAGTTAAGATCTTGCCTAAACAGCAACTCCAACTGCAGATTTTTGTCAAGGTTAGCAAGATGTAAATAGATTAGGGCACATGGTTGTTGACCAGATTGTGGGTTAGGGTGCGGTAAGGGTTAGGTTTAGGGTAAGGGTTAATGCTAGCCCTGTTTACATCATGTGACCTTTTACCAAATCTGCAGTTGGCCTTAATATTTAGACCTAATAACAAGGCCAGACAATTTTCCAAATTCCAGAAAAAAAAAGACCAAGGGACATAACTCATCTATTGTGAATAACTCTTCAATAATTGAAACAACTAAAAACAAACACACAAGTTAATATTTAACATACATGATCAAATTCTCCCAAAAAAATATATTAGAACTTAAAGATATTTGAACAATATTTGCTTGTGATTGGTCCAAATTCGTGTTGTACACCAATCAGTGGCTTTTATTCTCCAAACAATTGACCAATGGGCTTCAGATTCACATCAACTGAAGTTGGAAATAGTTTGATAATTTAATATAAAGTTTGAATGAAATTCAAAAATGTCTGACACTTGATCTTCTAAGATAACAAATGGCCCAAAAAATTTTTTTGGCAAATTTATCTTACACAGATATAGCAAATAGACAAATTATCAATCCGTCAATCTAGTAAATAGACAAATTATCAATCCATCAATCTAATAAATAGACATTTGTCAATCCATCAATCTAGTAAATAGACATTTGTCAATTCATCAATCTAGTAAATAGACAAATTATCGATTTAGTAAATAGACAATTGTCAATCCATCCAGCTAGCAAATAGACAATCCATCCATCTAGTAAATAGACAAATTATCAATCTGTCAATTTAGTAAATAGACAAATTATCAATCCATCAATCTAGTAAATAGACATTTGTCAATCCATCAATCCAGTAAATAGACAAATTATCGATTGAGTAAATATATAATTCATCAATCTAGTAAATAGACAAATTATCGATTTAGTAAATAGACAAATTATCGATTTAGTAAATAGACAAATTATCGATTTAGTAAATAGACAATTCATCAATCTAGTAAATAGACATATTCATATTTTAAATACATGTTTCCATGGATCTGGATATTTTGTCCGATATTAGTGAAATCGTTTTTGCCGGTCTACTCATAATCCGACAATTTTCTTAAATCAATGGAGTAAATAATGAATGATGGGAAATGCTACACCATATAAAGCATGCTTAAATATAACGATGAATATTCAATATTTAGAATATTTAAATCATTCTATAGGCGTGGTTTTCAACCTTAAGTGAACCCAGTCATATTTCAGTTTAGCTTTTGAACTGATCCCTCCCACCTCACCTGCAACCCAGATGAGTGGTCATCTTCCGGGAGGGAAAGTCTTAAGTTTGAAAGATTGAAGTACATGTTATGTGTTTAAGATCACCTGTCATAAGATTTTTCAACTTCTTGGACGATCTCATTCTCCCTGGGGGATGACCAAATTAGACGCAGGGTAGGAATTTCCACATCCCAGGGTAGTACCCCCCCCGGCCCCTTCCCTTGACCGGGTGGGATCAAATTAGCTCCCTGGGTAGGACCCCCCTTCTCTTTCCTGGGCGGGATCAAATTAGCTCCCAGGGTAAGACCCCGCCCCCTTTCCCTTCCCAGGTGGGATCAAATTAACTCCCTGGGTAGGACCCCGGCCCCTTTCCCTTCCCGGCAGTGACCAAATTACCCCTTGGGGTAAATCGCTCCACCCCAAGGAAGTGATCAAGTTCCCTCCAGATTGAAAACCACGTTTCTACAGTCTTCGTGCTTTTTCAACAGAAACAAACAAATATATTTCTCCAGTGCAATATTTAAAACCATGTATCAATATTGAAAATCTATTCACAATATTCATATATAACACCCAGCTTACAATGTATAATAGTTAATAACATTTATCATATAATATTACTTCTTCTAGAACAAGTGATACCATTTTTTACATGTGGCAGGGTATGTTTAGTTAATAACATTCTCTGTATACTTCTTGGACTGTTTCTTGAACATCCGATACCAAATCATATATGATGTTATTAATGTAAGCATACCCTGCCATCCAAGTGTTATCGGTTGTTCTATAAGGAATAATAAAGAGAGAGCGAGAGAGAGAAATGGGGTTTAACGTCCACACGACACAAAATAGGTCATTTCGGGGTTAACATATGGTTCAATTTTATTTCCATAATATCTGATACCACTTGGATGACAGGGTATGCTTAGGTCAATAACATTATCTGTATAACTAGTCATCTTGTGTCTAGAACATATGATATCACTTCTCATGTGTGACAGGGTATGCCTAGTTAATAACATTATTATATCTTACAGTATCCCTACCTTATACCACAGTAAAAAGATTTGCTATTCAGACCATGTAACATCTAACATTCGAACAGTCAAAAACTTGTCGCAAAAGTTGCTAACTAGTTTACTAGTTTATTATCCATTTTAAGAGATTTCCAAAAATTCTTCGCCGACAAGCATCCTTAAACCAGCGCCTTTCTCACTGAGAGTTGGCATACAGGTCTTCTAGAAAGGGTAAACATAACATGTGAAACCCTATCTACTAAGTGGGATCAGGTCTTCTAGAGGAAGAGTAGGGGTACCATGTGGACTCCTCCATAATCAGAAGTGATATCAGGTCTTCTAGAAGAGTAGGGATACTATTTGAACACCTCCCTACTAAGAAGTGTTATCACATTTTCTAGAAAAGTTTAAGTATATAATAAATGTTGTTAAATATAAAATTTGTAGCGTGGTGTTATACGAAGGACTGAACTGTTTTAATTGACTAAATCTGTTTTAACAACTCTCGACATGCCAGCTTTACGGTTAGAGCCGTATGTTACACGGTCACTTTGAACATGGGGTCTGAAACAAAAAAAACAACAATAAATCAATACACTGTAGATATTGTTGACTTATACCTACTAAACCCTTAACAGGTCATTGTCCACTATAGTCACCACAATGTTATAAGGTAAGTGGTCGACAACAGTAAGAACCTTTTTTTATAAGCCGCATTTGAGTATTTAGTTTCGTATTTAATTGAAATGGCCGCGCATGCGTGTCAGACAGGAACTTGTCTTGTCAAGGGCATTGAGAAAAACATGTCTTTCTTCAACATTTTTTGACGAAAAACGTAATTTAACGGTGTCGGGAAAGTTAAAGAAGCTCGAAGTGGTTGAAATACTTATGAATTATTACGAATTGGATTATATCAATGACACCGATTCTGAAAACAATATTTCTGATGAAAAGGATTTACAATGATTTGAAAATTATAGATCAACCTATCCCCAGCAACTTTTTTTATTGGTGTCAAGAGTCTATCACTTATAATTATTCGGCAGTAGTCGGTTGAAATAGGCATACAAAATATTTCTTGTCAGCCTTTATTTAGCATGACCAGTTGACGTCAGAACGTCAAAATGACGTCGGCCGGTTAAGGGTTAAAATAACATCACTTGTAAACAGAAATGAAATAAAATGGGGTTTAATGTCCTACTGTTCTGCTCCATAGCCTACTCTTATTTCGAATTCCAACTGACAGGGGATCTTTTACATGCACGCCAATGTATACAAAGGTCCACTGACAATTGGAAACTATGCTGGAAACATTCACTCGACACAAACTAGGATTTATTGCGACTAACATATAGTTCAATTTTATTTCATTAATTTGCTTGCGCATAGGGTTTTTTAGCAGTGGGAGGAAACCGGACGACCCAGAGAAAATCCATGAGATTGGACAGGCGAACCTACTCCTTGTCACATACAACCGGGGAATCGAAACCATGTAACAGAGATTAAAATGTTTAAAGGATTAAAATATATACATACCCATCCCCGGATGCATCTGGAAGTCCCCAGCCATATTTAGTCAATAGCTGTAGGGCAGCTAAAGCAGCATGATCATGTGATCCATCAATGGACGGACCAGAACCGTGTAAAACTTGTGGTGGATTTAATCCAAGTGTTAAACGACTCAGGTGTTCACTCTTATTGTTCTAAAAAAATAAAAATCACAAAATAAAACATTGGTTGCCCATAGCTTTAATGAAATGAAATGTGGTTTAACTTCCTACTGTTCTGCTCCGAACTGGGCTAATGAAGACAGGGATACGTCATACAGTGTGCTATGAGGGAAATATTGCCCGGACAGCAGCACTGTGGTCTACTTTTATATCGAATTACAACTGTCAAGGGAACTTTTACGTGCACACCAATGTGTACATGGAACATGGATTTTTTGTCCTATCCGAACGACTAGACAGCTGTCCTCGTCAGGCCCTCTGTCCTGCATCCATAGCTTTAATAACAAAATGAATGAAATGAAATTGAGTTCAACATCCTACTGTTTTGTTCCAACTGGTCTATGTGCGTAATTTTGTATTAACGGTAGCACTACAGCCTACTTTTATTTCGAAATCCAAGTGTCAAGGGATCTTTTACGTGCACATCAATGTGTACACGGGACCTTGGTTTTTTGTACTATCCGAACGACTAGACAGCTGTCCTCGTCAGGCCCTCCGTCCTGCATCCATAGCTTTTATAACAAAATGAATGAAATGAAATGGAGTTGAACATCCTACTGTTTTGTTCCAACTGGGCTAATGAAACGAAATGGGGTTTAATATCCTACTGTTTGCACAGACTGGGCGAAAGAAGACAGGCATACGCTATACATTTTGCTATGAGATTAATTTTGCATTAACGGTAGCACTAGAGCCTACTTTTATGTCAAGGATTCTTTTGTGTGCACATCAAAGTGTACACCTCAGTTTTCGTCCCATCTAGACAACTTGATAATGGGAGAGAGAGAGAGAAATGGGGTTTAACGTCCACTCGACACAAACTAAGTCATTTCGGCACTAACATATGGTTTAATTTTATTTCAATAAATCGCTTGCGCATAGGGGTCTTTAGCAGTGGGAGGAAACCGGAGGACCCGGAGAAAACCCACGAGGTTGGACAGGCAGGGGACCCTAAGCCTTGTAACGTACAACCGGGGATTCGAAATCACGCCAGTTGACTCAATGACAGGCCTTATGATACAGCGCGCATGTGCTAACCATTAGGCAATCCAAGCCCACCAACTTGATACTGGGAACCACACTGAAGAAAATTCTGGGGAACTTTCTCGTACCCGGGTCTTCACAGTTTTTGAGTCGGTGCCTTACTCACTGAGCCACCGTGAGATATAAGTTTGGAATTGTAGACCACTCTAGCAACGTCTAGATGTTGTAAAATTTGTGGTCGTTGCTTCAGGAACATGATGGAAAATGTAATTTTAGGCCAGTTGAGGTGGTCGGAAATTCGAAACACTTAGACACAGGGCAGGGAGAGTTAGAGGTAGCTAACTCTAGCCAAAAATTCCTGATAAACAATTGGAAAATAGACAATTTCTTAACAATGTTATGTTACATACCTGTCCAGCAAAGTCATCAAATTTGATATCAAACTTGTGGATTAACGCCAACTCCCGTAATCGTTGTTCTGGGCGTATACTAGTCTGACTAGTGGCTATAGGTCGACCCAATCCAAGGCTGCCTTCATCGGATGGAGTCGATCCTTTAAACAAACCCAAATTCATTAGAACCAATAAATTCATGAGTTTAAGTATACAAATTCATTAGTATCAATACACAAACATGGACTCAAAAAATAAAATTTCCCCAGTTGAATTCCTGGTATGGGTCAAGAAAAAAATTCTTCAAGATTTCGTGCTGGAGTCTTTACAATTGGGCGGAACCAGCTATTACGGAGAAAACATACAAGCGAACATATTCCTTATTGGGCAAACCCAACGACTTGTTTATATTTACAATGATAAGTTGTTTGCAGGCAGCGGACTTTAGCCAAGAGAAGATCAGAGTTTCTGTAAAGAACTATGAAAATCAGAACACTATAACTCGGGTATCATTTAATCTTGTGTATTTAGCACTAATTTCTCTCACATTCATTCAACATCAAATCTTTGTTTAAAAGTTAGTAAAAATCATTTAAAATCTCCCCAAATCATTTAATTTATACTTGTGTCCAGTTTAAAGCTGACTGATTAATTTACACGTATTTATTTCCCTGACCACTGTTAAAATATTAATCATTTTACATCAATAATCAATTGGATTGTTTATTTTTTAACAGTGACTATGAAATTAAACGCTTGTAAATTGGACACTCATTATCAAAATTGAATTGTCAGCTTTCAACTGGACACAAATACAAATTAGATGATTTTAAACGATTTTTTAAACAAAGATTGGATATTAAATGAATATGAAAGAAATTAGTGCTAGATACACAAGATTAATTAATACCCGGGTTACAGTGGAAGGTGACTCTATATCTTGACAAACACAAAATGAAATGAGGTTTTAACATCCTACTTTCCTGTACCACTAAAGACAACTGCATTTGTCATGCAATTTGCTATAAGGGATCTTGCCCGGACAGCAGCGCTATGGATATTATTTTGATTTTCAACTTTCCATGGAGATTATTACGTACCTTGTCCATAATTGACTGGTTGTTGTTGTTGAGTTGGATGACGACTAGAATCGGGTATAAGAAGTAGGCCAGGTACTAACTGACGACCAGTCTTTACATTTGTTACACCACCTACAATAAAACCAGATATACCATACTAGATACTGTCAACCAGTCTTATATTAAACAACCAGATATTTTACGCAGGAAATATGACAGGGATATATTTTTTTATTTGTTGAAATGGGGTAATCCAGCCCTATATGTTCTTCTCCCACTAATATGTTGTCTTGACAATAAATTCACAGATATAAGTTTGTCATCCAAATGATTACAATGTCTGTCTGTAGTCAGGGCTAGAAATTCGTCATTTTTTGCAAGAATCTAAGAGGATTCTCATATATGGCATCTACGCGAATCCTCTGAATCTTAATTAATAATACTGTCTAAAAAACAAGATTGTGTTTATTGTGTTAATCTAAAACATCAAAATACAAGAACAATGAAAACAATAGAACAATCATATGGATTTTTTGGTAAACACTTAAATAGTGTCAAAAGTAATATCCAGAAAATGCCTTAGTCAAAATAAGTTGTTCTGGCACCTCAGCTGGGCGATATGTCGGTTTTGATTTTTCTGGATGATATTTAACATTAGAATTAACACTGCTTGTATTCATTGACGAAATGTTTATACAGATGCTTTGATTTTCCAAAGGCATCATTGATTTTCAGATTGAATTAAATTTTAATAAACAGGGCTCAAAATTCACGAGAGCCATCGGGGCCATTGCTGTCGTAAGCCTAGCAATGGCATTCGATAGCTTTTACATCAAGGGCAAATTATTGCTGTCGTAAATTGCGGGAAAAATCGATAAAAATACTAGAGCCATTGGCCATAGAATTACCCTAAATGACCGTCGATGGCACCTATATCGGAAGCCAAAATAAATGAAAAAGTTCACGTATGATATGCATTTTCCCGTAAAACTTGGCTGATCTAAAAACCTCCCACGATTAATTTTTTCTTATGCACTGCTATTCGTAGTTTTCCCCCTCCACAGATGCCTGTAACATGTAACAGTCTTATTATACAAGACTACGATAAGCAATGAAATGAAATGAAATGGGGTTTAACGTCCTACTGTTCTGCTCCTAACCTGGGCTAATGAAGACGGGCATATGCCATACAGTGTGCTATGAGGGAAATTTTGCCTGGACAGCGGCACTACGGCCTACTCTTATATCGAATTCCAACTGCCAAGGGATCTTTTACGTGCACGCCAATGTGTACACGGGACCTCGGTTTTTCGTCCCATCCGAACGACTAGACAGCTTTCCTTGTCAGGCCCTGCTTCCTGCATCACTGACAAGGGAGAACCACGCCGGAACTACGATAAGCAGACCAAGCAGACATTAGTCAAGTCTTTTTTGATAAACAAGGCTACGGTTCAAGACAGTGCTTGATAATCAGAGCTAGTAATAGAAAGTGAAATTGAGGACAGTGATGGAGATAATTTTGTGATATGATTCTCTCTTCTCAGTCTGAATAATGATGACTTTTGTTATTATAGACTATTTTATTGACAGGCATCTGCAAACAGTCGTGCTTTAAAAAAAAAAATAATTGTAGGAGGTTAAACGCATAATGTAATGCAGTAATTTAGAAGTTTGAGACAAAAAATATCTAGATTTAGATAAGCTTTTAATATCAGTGTTTGCCAAGGACTAAATATATTTATAAACATCTATTTCAGTTTGTCATGATTAACCTGTCCACGTTTTATTAAATGAATATGAAAAATGAAAGACTATTTATTTTTAAAATGTCCAGCAAAAATGGCCCTCGATAATTTCTAAATTGAAAAACTGGTCTTGGTGTTGAACAAAATGGCCTTAGAGAGGCTTCACTGTCAGAGGCCATTTTTTGAGCCCTGATAAAGCAGTAATATAAATAATGCCAACTGTATTGATGGTTCCGGTAGGCTGATTATCTTTCAGCGTTGAACGTGTCATAGTGGTCCGTGATCAGGAAAAAAATATTTGACTAAATCAATGGACACTTTTTGACATAGTACTTATGTTTTATATTATAATTTAGTACATTTGCATTGCATAATGCATTTTTTTTTAAGAAAAAATTTACGTGAATCTACAAAGATTCACAGTAGATTCACAATGTAAGCTCTTGCGAGAATCCTTGCGCGAATCAGATTCGGAGATTCACGTGAATTTCTAGCCCTGGTAGTATTGTACCTACCTCCATTTTCAGCACCATTATCAACAAAAGTAACTTTCTTATCAGTTCCACTTCCCTGAAAATATGATAAACACATGTCATATCTTTCTCAATTTTCATATTTATTTTCAAAGTTTACAAGATTAATCACAATGGTTTATAAGGATTTTCCACAAGCATCAGTTAACTTTCATTTTTACATTATATATGACTTATTCTTACCTCAGGCGTGCCACCGTTAGATTTGATGGCTGATTTTGAGGGCTGTGGAGGAGTCTGACTGAATCCAAGATGGTGTAACATGGCCTCAGCAGCGTTACGCTTGGCTAACTTCTTATTATGACCTACACCAGTAGATTTCTCTTCATCTACTTGAACCTAGAAATCAAATAAAACGGGGTGTAACATTCTACTTTTCTGCTCCGACTACGCTAAGACGGGCATACAGTGTGATATGAGGGACATTTTGCCCAGGAAGCGGCACTATGGCCTACTCTTGCATTGGATCCATAAAAAAGTAAAAGAACCCTTTGTAGTGAAATGAAATGAAATGGGGTTTAACATCCTACTGTTCTGCTCCGAACTGGGCTAATGAAGATGGGCATACGCCATATAGTGTGCTATGAGGAACATTTTGCCCAGGAAGCGGCACTATGGCCTACTCTTGCATTGGATCCATTAAAAAGTAAAAGAACCCTTTGTAGTGAAATGAAATGGAGTTTTAACGTCCTAATGTTCTGCTCTGAACTGGGCTAATGAAAACGGGTATACGCCATACAGTGCGCTATGAAAGACATTTTGCCCGGGCAGCGGCACTATGGCCTACTTTTATATCGAATTTCAACTGTCAGGGTATCTTTTACGTGCAAGCCAATGTGTACACGGGACCTCGGTTTTTCATATCATCCGAATGACTAGAAATATATAGAAATATATCAGCGGAAAACCTGAATATCAGAAACAGTGCATTTTACTTTTTGAATGTATGTTTTTGTTACTTTGTAAAGTGCCCCTGAACACATCTGTGAAAGGCGCGCTATATAAATTTAATAATAATAATCATTGGTGATTCATTTTTTTTTCAGGCACAAACATAAGGGAATAGGGAACAATAAGTTGTTTATTGCTTAACATATGTAAATAAATATTGTTGTGTAATTGTGTAATTAATAAAAAAATAAACAACAATCACAGCTTTGTGGAAAACTCGTTTTAGTTAATGAATAATTCATTCTGAAAATTCGGGGGGCATTTTCGGGCAATAGCCTCAGCCCCCACGGAACAGAGATTAGCCCCCTATGCCTATGTCACATATAACCTACAACTGCTGGATTGAACAAAACTTTCACCTCCTCAACCCCTAAATAAAGATTTCAACTAACCTGCATGAAATACAACTGCTGGATTGAACAAAACATAAACCTTCTCAACCCCTAAATTGGGATTTCAACTAACCTGCATGACATACAACTGCTGGATTGAACAAACTTACACCTACCCAACCCCTAAATAAAGATTTTAACTCACCTGCATGACAAATTCACGTCGATGATAAACACCATGGTCCCCCACCAGAGTAAAGATAGGTTCCTTTTTCTTCTGAGCTTGTGTAATCTGTATTAATCTACTAATTGGATTAATACTAACACCATAACTCTGATCACCTTTCTGTATCTGAGGAATCAACTGTAATAATTTATATTAAATACAAATATCTACTTTATTTACATTAAATACAAATATCTAAGTCATTTTATTTACTTAAGAGCGGTTTACTTAATGACATCAGTCATTGACTAATCAATCAGCGTTTATGTTTGTAGGGGTTTACCCACAGTTCTGTGCACCGCATGCCAAGAACTCGCTGTAACAGACCGTTTCATTGGGTAATCCCTCACACCATCCAGAACACGTCAATGATAACAAATCTTCCAGATCCTAGTGTGGTAAAGAGAAGTAAAATGAAATTTTGAACTACAAAAAAACGAAAGGAAATAGGATCTGCATTTTAATCAGATTGTAATTAAAACTGAACTTACTTTAATTAGGTTGCGATTTTTCTTCTTGTTATTTTGGGGTCTGCTACGTGGCGGCATCTGCATGGAAGGAAGGGCTGGTAGTTTCTTCAACTCTTCCAGCATTAATTCAGCGGCACGTTTTTTAGAATATTTTTTACTGTTCCCCTCACCTTCTGTTATCTTATCCCCAACAGTACATCGCGTTACAAAAACTTTAATATGGGGTGGTCCAGATTCTTTGATCACCTGTAAACACAGAATATGTTGGAAATTATAAGTCTTATTTGGATTCTTGGTCTTTTATTTGTTGTGGCACCTGCAAGAACTAGTAATACCCAAAAAAATTCACATTGACGGTTTTAGGTGAATTCGATAATGAAATCTCAGTGACCGCCCTAGACTCTTAATTTTATTAGCCAATTCAGAAACTTGTAGCCAAATATTGTATTTCTATTCATGTGTTTGTTTATTAAAAATAAATATTTAATATGTACTTATTTAATGCACAAGAGTTTATTTTATTCCCTGAACTGTCCGAAAGTTCACAATTGCGAGGATGCAGGCAACAAAAAATGAGATTCTGTCATACAGGTGTTGCTCGTACACTCCTCATCCCATTCACACTGTCACCGTCCATAACTTTCTAGAAGAAATAGAAGTTGTTATCTGCCGGTTTCGTTAATAATGTGCTTTACGGATGATGGTAGTAAAAATAAATCTATCCTTATTTTTGGTTCGGTAAATAAATATTAGTTATCATTACTCATTAGAATAATTAAAAAAATCATAGCCAAGCGAAAGTAAGACACAGCAGCACCATACAAGATTGAGACTAAGAGTCAATGTTCTAAAAATAGACACTGCATCCAGTCAATCGAGAGGGAGAGAGAAATGGGGTTTAACGTCCACTCGACACAAACTAGGTCATTTCGGGACTAACACATGGTTTAATTTTATTTCAATAATTCGCTTGCATGTAGGGGTCTTTAGCAGTGGGAGAAAACCAGAGGACCCGGAGAAAACCCACGAGGTTGGACAGACGACCCTATTCCTTGTCACGGACAACCGGGGAATCGAAACCCCGCCAGTTGACTCAATGACAGACCGTATGATACAGCGCACGCGTGCTAACCATTCGGCCATCCATTCGTCTAAGATGGTCACTGAAATCTCAACCACTGATTTCTAGGCTTCTTTCCAATTGTAGAGTCCATGGGAAGAACGATCTAAGGCACATTTTTGTCTTTTTGCGTAAAAAGAAAAACAGACTTTAGGACGGTAATGTTTGACACAGACAGAACAATGAGTGGGTTTAATTACAACTTCAAAATGATGTTTAATACGAATCATAATTACCAGTACAACTGATTTCAACTTTTCAGGCAAATTAAGGTTAAATAAAGGGTACAATGGACTTGTATTTGTCCGGGAGGCCATTTTAGAAGGGCCTTGGTTCGAAGTGACTCTGATCGTTTTTATCTGAAAATGATTGTTCCACAAAAAGCTTATACAATTTAATACCAGATGGTGGCATTAACGGGGGTTCTTTGAAAAGGTGACTTAGATCGTTCTTCAATTATGGTTTTACTTAAAAACAGAAATTAGATTAGTTGACAGTACCTCAAAATTAACGGCCATATTACGTTTTAATCCAATTTCATGAACCAGACTTATTTCAGATTTTAATTCATCCTCCGGGGAAGCTGTAATAATAAAGATATCATCATAAAATATAGTCTAGATCCCTCCAGTCTCAGACGTAGTCTAGATCTCACCAGTCTCATTGCTAGACTACACAGTCTAGATCCTCCAGTCTAAGACGTAGTCTAGATCTCTCCAGTCTCATTGCTAGACTACACAGTCTAGATCCTCCAGTCTAAGACGTAGTCTAGATCTCTCCAGTCTCATTGCTAGACAACACAGTCTAGATCCTCCAGTCTAAGACGTAGTCTAGATCTCTCCAGTCTCATTGCTAGACTACACAGTCTAGATCCTCCAGTCTAAGACGTAGTCTAGATCTCTCCAGTCTCATTGTTAGACTACACAGTCTAGATCTTCCAGTCTAAATTGTCTGAGCTGATAACTGTTTATTTTTGATACAATGCATATTGTCAGTACGACAAGATGATACACGATACATATTGCGATACAGTGGCGTCAAGATTCATGTAACTAGCGACCACAAACTAATCATGTTGTTGGATGAAATTAAAAAATCTAATTCACCGTGCATCGATGCAGCATTGTTGAAAGTAAATTCTTAACTTTGAAGTCTGAGATTATGCTCAAGCTTTCTTCAATTTTCAAACCTACATCTATTTTAAGGAGAACGCTAGATCGAAGACGGTCCATCACAAATGACGTCATATGTGCTAGACCGTCTCCGATCTCCTTATTTTAAGCCTTCTTATCAAACTTGAATAGTTTTTTAGAGCCTTTAATTAATCTTTAAGACATCAATAAGTTTTATTGTCTTTCTGTACAAAACATTTTTCAAAAATATAATATTCTTGCAATTCTCGTATTGATATAAATATCGCTGTAATGTATTGGCACATTTGTATTTCAGCACAGTCGTATTGATAGAACAGCATAAAGTAATAAAACCAACCTCATATATTGGAGTGACAGGGGACAGAAATGGGGGTTAAACACTCGACAGTTCATTTTGGGAGGAAACCAGAGAAAACCCAGGACCCGACTCCTTGTCATGTACTTGTTTGGTTTGAAAACCTACCATTCGACAGACCTTTTGATCTAAAATGTATGTGTTAGCCCAACGAATATATAAAGTAGGCCTCACACTGATCAGCAGTGAATATTCGCTAGGCCGCTACAATCACTGATAAGGATGACATCGATGTGACTTAATGAGCCACAAATTAAATTCTAAAACATTTTTTTTTTATGTATTAGAAAAATAAATAAAGACGTTTGACGTATTTGAAGGTAAAACTTATTTCCCATTTAGTGTAAGTGGGTATTAAAATGAGTAAAAGACGCCATTCCGCCCGAACCAGTAAAGTCTTATGTAAACAATGCATGCGCCATGACGTGATGAGACGTCACGTGCTGAAGGTAGTCATCTTTTACAGAGATATTAGAAAACTTTCGTAATCCTCTGTGAAACAGATTGAGAAGGCCTATGTCGGTTGTCAGAATAAATGTCCTGAAAGAGTTGTACATACTCGGTTCTTTTTCTTTGGTTTCTGTAGCAGCTTCACCTTCTGTTTTTATAGGTGGATTTGGTGGGGGAAGATTCTTTAATATACGAAGAGCTTTGGTAGCTGCTGTATGGCGAGCTGCTTGATGAGTAGGACCTTCACCTATAAACTCTCGCTGTCCAACTTTTAGCGATACATAGGCTGATCGGGTAGGTCGAGGATAACGATATCTGAAATAGTCACAAATAGGGTTTAACATCCACTCAACAAAAATTAGGTCATTTTGGGGCTAACAGCCTCAAGAGCGAACAAGGCTTGTATAGTCCCAAAGGTTTCTTTGATGATGAAAAACGTGACTCAACAAATTGGCTCATTTTTTACTAACATTTCAATCGGATTCAAAATTGTGATTTTTCGTCCAATCAGGGGCCATAATCCATGAAGTTATGGTCCGATGCATGCCAATATCAAAAAGAACCGAGATCTTTTGGAGATAAAACTATATTTCAAGTTTTGTCAAAATCGGATAAAAATTATGACCTGTAGTGTGTCCACAAACAAATTGTGGATGGACAGACACCCGGCCGGACAGGGGCGATGACAATATACACCTACATGAAAATGTGGGCGTATAAAAACAGATCATGTGGCCCTTTATAAGTGACACAGGACTATATGAGAAGCAGAATATTTTTGTTGTTGTTATTGGTGTATTACCTTTGATTGTACATTCCCCGGAAGTCGAAGTTAGGGGGTTGATAATACTGTGAATGGCGTGGTTCTATAGGTTTATACGTAGCTATCTCACCACGTCTCATGGCAACAGCATTTAATTCTACAGTCGGCATTATGCTATTCACTAAAACAGATAAAGATTAATCACTGAATCATCAAAATACAAAATCCTACAAATTTACATGTTTTCATATGAAATAATCTATTTAAGGGAATGATGTAGATGTGCTGACTGAATGATTTGTACTACAACTGAAAGGTCTGTCGTTAAAGAGAAGGTTTAAGGAAAGTTATTCTGAACAGAGTAGAACTTACATCCCTGTCCGGTTTAGTGTAGCTTCAGGTAAGTCCTGCCTCCCTCTGAATAGTGGTCCAAAAAAAAAGTTTAAGGAAAGGTTTTCTAGACAGCAGAACTTACATCTCTGTCCCATCTTTCTCTGAGGTTTAGGGAGAGGGGGTGGGTGAGGATTTTTTTCTCCAGAGCAGTACTTACATCCCTGTCCTGTCCCTCTCCCTCTGGACATTGGTTTCAAAATCGGTTTAGGGAAAGGTTTTCTTGGGGGCCATATCTACATCCCTATCCCGTTTCCCTCTGTGGTTTAGGGAGAGGGGTTGGGGGTAGGGTTTTTCTAGACAGCAATACTTACATCCCTGTCCCGTCTCCCTCTGTGGTTTAGGGGGAGGTTTGGGGAAGGTGGTTTTCTCCAGAGCCAGACTTGCCACAGCATGTTGAGCTTTCTTAATACTCTGACCAGAAGCGGAATATTCTTCCTCGCCTAACTTCAACTTCACATGGAATAATTTCTGGTGGGCGGGTCCTTCTTCATCCACCAACATATACTGGTGAGAGATCTATAAACAGAGTGAGAGAAATGGGGTTTAACTTCCACTCAAAACAAACTAGGACATTTCCGGACTAACACATTGTTCAAGGTTATTTAACTAAAGAGAGAAAGAGAGAAATGGGGTTAAATGTCCATTTGACACTGACAAGATCATTTCGGGACTAACATATGGTTCAATTTTATCTCAATAATTCACTTGTGCATAGCGGGGTCTTTAGCAGTGGGAGGAAGCCGGGACCCGGAGAAAATACACAAGGTTGGACTGGCGACCCTGCTCCTTGTCACGTACAACCAGAGAATCGAAACCCTGACAGACCTTATACAGCGTGCATGTGCTGACCATTTGGTCATCCCCCCAGCCCGTTTTGCAAATGAAATAAACCGTAACCTTGTTGTAACGAGCTAACTCGTTTAGTAGACACATTGGTGTTTTCTCTTTTGTGTTTGCCAAGTTCGAGCATTCTAATTGCTCCGGAATTATTGTAGATTCTGTTGTCGTAGTTACAGTAGCAGCCATATTGCTGGTTTTACCCCCAGCAGATTCCTTGTTTCCATTCTGATCACCAGAAACCATTCTTTGATTGGACATTCCAGGTTGAGAAGGCTTCTGATTGGCTACTACAACTTTGTTTTGATTGGTCAGAATGGCAGTTGGAGGTTTATTTTGATTGGGCATATTGCCATGCATCATCATATTACTGGTTGCCATGGATTGCTGCTGCTGTTGCATCATCTGTTGTTTTATAGGATAGCCTTGTATGCTGTACTGGGGATTCCCCTGTCCAGCGGTCATGGGGATTCCCTGAGGAGAATACCCCTGAGGGGGCATAACTCCCTTATGTACAGCACCTTGCATCTGCTGAGGGTTACCTATAATAGAAATAATATGATCAGTTTGAAAATAAAATTTAACCTACTGTTCTGCACTAAAAAGAAATTGAAATGAAATGGGATTTAACGTCCTATTGTTCTGCTCTGACTGGGTTACTAAAGACGGGCATACGCCATTCAGTGTGCTATGAGGGAAATTTTTCCTGGGCAGTGGCACTATGGCCTACTCTTATATTGAATTCCAACTGTCAATAGATCTTTTACGTGCATGCCAGTGTATACACGGGACCTAGGTTTTCATCTCATCCGAATGACTCAGACAGTTGTCCTTATCAGCCCCTCGGTCCTGCACCACTGACAAGGAGAAACCATGTTGAAACATCCCTACGACAACATGTAATTCTAAACCAGGGGTGTCACATGCAGCATGTGGGCACCATCTGGCCCTTCAGGTATTTAAATGTAGCCCGTGGAACAAATTTCAACAAACTGTCGATAATTCTAAGAAACCGGCGGTGGCAATAATTTTTATTGTTTTCCGGTTTCAGTATGTCATGTGGCCTCTGAATCGAAATGAGTTTGATACCCCTGTTCTAAACCAAGGACAAATAACCTATTTTGCACTTAAAAATGGCGTTATGTGGTGCCGGGTTTTCGTGTAATGCAGTCATTGCAGTTTTAACAGTCGTAACTTATTAAATGCAACATGATCGTTTATTTAGTGTTGATACATGTAAATGTCGGAAGCTAATTGAATTGAATTGTAAGGATTGTTACATATATTGTGGAAAAGTTATCGATATTAGAGATTTGAATTTCGTAATATTGTAGTAGGCCAGAGAAAAATAAAATGAAATAGGGTTTAACGTCCTGTGTGTTTCCCCGACTAGGCTAATAAAGACGGATATACGCTATACAGTGTGCTACAACCTACTCATATATAGAATTCCAACTGCTAAGGATTCTTTTACGTGCATGCCAATGTATACACAGAACCTTGTTTTTTGTCCCATCTGAATGACTATACATTGTCCCTTGCCAGGCTGCCAAGCCCTCAGAGAGAGAGTGAAATGGGGTTTAACATCCACTGGACACAAACTGGGACATTTCGGGACTAACATATGGTGTAATTTTATTTCAATAATTCGCTTACGCATATAGCAAAGGGGTCTTTAGCAGTTGGAGGAACTCGGAGGACCCGGAGAAAACCCACAAGGTTGGACAGACGACCCTACTCCTTGTCACGTACAACCGGGGATTCAAAACCACGCCAGTCGACTCAATGACAGACTTTATGATACAGCGTGCGCACGCAAACCGTTCAGTCATCCAACCCCCCCCCGCCAGGCCCTCAGACCCACGCCAATGACAATGAGGAACCACGAAGGGATAGAACTCAAGACCTCCAGGTTAGCAAGCCAACGTCCTACTTGCTGAGCCACCGTGGTTCCCAGTTTACCAGGGCGTTTAAATCACACATATTTTTTAACTGTCATCTTACCTTGCATATTCTGCATGGTTTTTTTAAGTCTTTTGTTTCTTTTGATTAATTCTGATCCGACACCAGAATCTACACTCAACTTATCTTTCAACGTGATCTGGGACACAAGTCACAATCTGAAATATAAACCCACACTGATCAGCAGTGAATATTCACTAGGCCGCTACAATCACTGATAAGGATGACATCGATGCAACTTAATGAGCCCCAAATATTAACTTTTTTCCTCCGACAAATTAAATTCTAAAACATTTATTTTTTATGTATTAGAAAAATAAATAAAGACGTTTGAAGTATTTTGTAGGTAAAAATTATTTCCTATTTAGTGTAAATGGGTATTAAAATGAGTAAAAGGCACCATTCTGCTCGAATCTGTAACGTCTTATGTAAACAATGCACGCGCCATTGAGCCAATGATTAATGCCGCATGATGTGACGTCAAATGTTGAAGGCAGTCATCTACTCATCTTTTATAGAGATATTAGAAGACTTTCGTAATGCTCTTTGAAACAGATTGATATAAACCATTGAAGATTAGAAAAAAAGCTGACAGTTCTTGCTATACTAGTAAAAAAAATAGATAATGTAAAAGGGATATCTTGAAAATTACAGTCAAATTTCTTCACTCTGAGCCAAGAAATCTTCATTTCATTAATGCTGTAGCCTCGATTGTCATTGCTACGATAATAAAGTCTCAATTATACATTTTTATGGTTAACCATCAACTGCCGTTGAACTGCAGATCGGATACAAATCTGTTGAAAATCTGACCCATCAGATGCCATCGAGAGTTGATCATGGTCTTGTCATGTTAATAAATGCCTAATTAATAGTTTATATAACATTTAAGATCTGCCATAGGCAGCTTTAGCTCTTGCATAATGTATGTTTAATACAAAGAGTGATTCCTTTCAGTTATATGTGAAAACAAAAAAATTTAGTCTTTGAAAAATCAGAATCTTTGTTCATTTATTTCCCCTGGTAACCTCAATTCCGTTTCATCTTGCTGACATTCATAACTTTGTGTATTGTCTATTTTTCAACTGCAATCTCGAGGACCAAGGTATTTGCCAGAAGGGTATATAGGCCTATCTGCTTTTTTTTACCGTTTGGTTTTGTTGCACATGGCTCCATAGCAAGGTAAGTAAGATCTTATTTTATCAGTATAATGTTCCTTTAATACACTATACTGCCGGGGTTGACATGCAAACGGGGTATAGCCATAAAAAAGTGTACAGGTAGGTATACCAGTACCTTACATGTATCTAGCACTGGAACACGGTTTTGACATTTATATGTTAAAATGAAAGAGTTTAATAACATTAATAGTACGCCCTACTTTTCAGCAACACCTGAGCTAATGAAGGCGGGTATGCCGTGTGCTTTGAGGGAAATATCGTCTGAACAGTGAGGCTACTTTTACGTCTTAGTCTTATATTATATCAAATTCCAACTATCAAGTAGGGGTTTCAGGTCATGTGACTTTAGCGTGAAATCTACGATTCTGAATTACTATTTTATGTAAATGCATTACTAGCAATTGTATTGCAATAGTTTAATATCAATCTCAATATCTGCAAAGATTCAGGCTAAAAAATTATCGAAATGTAAGTGAAATTAACGTTTGTTTACATGAGACGCTCGCGGGAAAATACCCCTCTGACGTCACGCGGCCTGAGATTTTCCATTGCTACGACTCACTTCATTGGTGAATCCGCACCTTAGTTACCGGGGGATTTTGATATAGAACAAATCAAACGATAGATAACATTTTTGTGATCATGCTTGTTGATACCACGTGGTCGGACAATTAGACCTGGAGAAAATGGGATTTATCTGTTTTGATAACTGAAAATTGCTAAATTTTGACTAAATATAAAAAAACTTTCTTGAGGTATCATCCAGATTATAAATATTTGACAAATTATCCTTCAAATTATTACGATTTTAATAAATTTTAGCTGACAATAACGTGCGGATTTCAGTTTTAAAATTGGTACTAGCGATTCTGAAGGGAAAATACCGCTTATGACGTCACTCAAATATGACTGAAAAGTACTTATTTTGGTGCCATGCCACGCATTGACTGGTATAGAGCATTTTGATTACATTATTGACGTCGATCTCGGATTTTAAAATTCCATAACTTTGGATCTAATTAGAATATTTTGATGAAATAAACAAATTTGGGTAGCATTTTATGTATATTTCACAAAATATTTTTAATTTTTTTTTTTTCTGTCATTTGAAACTTTGAACTGAAACCCCTATATCAAGGATTCTTTTACGTGTGCATGCCAATGTGTTTTTCGTGCCATCCGAAAGACTATACAGCTGTGCTTATCTGACATCGTTGAAAACAGGGATGGTTAGTACCTAAAAAACGGCTCTGAAGTACAGGAAAATAAATCTATGTAGTCCTAAAGCAAACTGCTACAGATGCCCCCTACCCCCCACCAGCCTTTCTGGTTGTGAAGGTTTCCAGCACATTCCATCTCAACCGAATTACATTTACAGTCTTGGTTGGGGGGGGGGGGTGAAAACTTTTAATTTGCTTTTAAAGTTCTGATTACTTTACAGCCTAGCAAAGTTGTCAATATTGTTAAATCAACAAAGGAAGGAGACGAACGAGAAAAGTACATATCAGAGGGGGAAAAAAAGGACATTTTTTCGTTTTTGGTCTGTCTGGTCGGCGCACATGCGCAACTCGTTTAGTCACTACATGTGCCGGATTTTCAGGTCTAATAACTTTCCTTACCTTCAATCTAATCAATATTTAGGATTTACAGAAAAGACAGTGACTTGGAGGATATAAAAAAAGAATAAAATTATCCCAGATAAGGAAGAAATTCGTTGGCAAACATGAAAGAAAATTAGGACTAAAAATCGTCCATGACGGTCTGCTAGCGCGTGAATTGATCACATGACCGCGATATTTCAGAATTTATTTGATCCTACGCGTAATAAATTTATTTTCCATAATATTTCTGAAAGTTTTGTAAGTATTCAATTTCAATTCTCGAAATAATAATCGAAAATATTGTATTCTGTAATTAATTTTTCACCCAGCAACCCATCACGTGACATAATTGTTTCAAAATGGACGATATTTGTACAGATGCTGGGAATTGAAATGATTAATTAGGCAAATCTGAGTGTTAATATTTTAAGTTTTGACACCTGTTTGATACAAGTAGACTATCATCATGTCTATGAGAGCAAAAAATCGAATGAAAAGTTCGTGGACTCCATTAAGCGATGGGGCGACAAATAATAAGGTAATCAATCGACCGGTTGTGACTTGTTTATAATGTTTACAAAACATGCAAATGCCAAATGAATAATCGAGTGAACTGTCATCATCATGTGTCACAGGCTATAAATGTGATGCTAGAACTTATTAAATACATAGAAAACCTTTTCAACGTTTTCTGTTTCTTTATTCTGTTGACCAGAAGATTATTCCAGTTTATAAAAAATAAATTGATAATTATTATTAATATTTATTATCGAAATCAACAAATAGCTATTTTTACGGAACCTTAAAAGTTAAAGAATATCCCGTAGGCTATTGTTACGGTACTTCCCGTCGCGTCTGCGCATCGGGAAAATTTTAAAAACATTTTAAGGCAGTAGTACTGTAGACAAAAATCTCTGGGCTATTTTTAGGGTTTGAGTTAGCTTCCAATAGTTTTTGTGAGGTCGAAAGACTCTTAAAACTGTTAAAACAATTGGAAGCTAACCCTAACACTAAAAATAAATGAAATGAAATGAAATGGGGTTTAACGTCCTACTGTTTTGCTCCTAAACTGGACTAATGAAGACGGGCATACGCCATACAGTGTGCTATGAGGGAAATTTTGCCCAGGCAGCGGCACTATCGCCTACTCTTATAAAAGGGATCTTTTACGTGCATTCCAATGTATACACGGGACCTCGGTTTTCTGTCCCATCCGTATGACTAGACAGTTGTCCTTGTCAGGCCCTCCATCCTGCATCACTGACAAGGGGGAAACCACGCCGGAAACGGCCTACAATGGCACCCAGCACCCAGATTTTGTAACACCTTTGACATGTATACTAGCATGGAACTGTGCATGGTAATTGTTCATATTATCTTATTTAAGAGGAGAGAGAGAGATGAGGTTTAACATCCACTCGACACAAACTAGGTCATTTTGGGACTAACATATGGTTCAATTTTATTTTTAAAAAAATCGCTTGCGCGTCGGGGTCTTTAGCAGTGGGAGGATACCAGAGGACCTGTAAAAAACCCATGAGGTTGGACAGGCGACCCTTTTCCTTGTCACGTACAACCAGAGGCAAGAGAAAGAGGCAGAAACTTTGGACTGATACACTTGATGTGATTGATCATTACCATTTGTTTGTTTATATTTCAGCTGTATGAAGAAAGAAGAGGTCTAGTAACTAAATGGGTAGGCAATGTATTTAACTTATAACTACATTAGTGTTTACCAAAAAAATCCATCTGATCGTTTTATATTTATCGTTGTTGTATTTTATCAATTTTGTTTTTAGACAGTATTATTAAAGATACATTATGTAAGATTTAGATAAAGAACTAGCCATTTTTGCTATAATAGTTCGAAAGTAGATGATGTAAAATGAATAATTTGAAAATTTCATTCAAATTACTCTATTGCAAGCGAAGATATTAGCCTTTGAAGATTTGACAGGCGTGTGCAATAATTTCAACCTCCGTACTGGTTGATCGAAGCTAAGTTTCGGTCCTCCATATTTGATTAAATCAAAGTATTGCAGAACCATTCTAATCTATTTAATATCGGAGAAATCTGATGCCATTGAGAGTTGATTAAGGCCTGGATCAGTTAATTAATGTCTAATTAATACTTTAGAAAACATTTCAGGCCTAAAGAAAGACCTAAAATAGGCAGATTTAGCTCTTGCATAATGCATGGTTAATTAAGATTTGGAGGATTCGCGCAGATTCCATGTATGAGAATCCTCTTAGATTTTGTTTTATAATTTTAGTTTGATCGTTGGACAGATGACCAGAGAAAGAAAGTATTTGATGAGTTGATCAGAAAGTGTAAACCGAAACAGCTGGATTATCTACGATGTGTCGTTAACGATCGAGCTCCTGTTCATCGTCAAGATTTTACGTCAGTTCTACCGAGAGTTATCTCCCTCTATATCTTCTCTTTCTTAGACCCACGCAGTTTATCACGATCGTCACAGGTAAGCTACCCTTTCTTAGATCCACGCAGTTTATTACTATCATCACAGGTAAGCTACCCTTTCTTAGATTCATGTAGTTTATCAAGGTCGTCACAGGTAAGCAACCTTTTCTTAGATCCATGTATTTTATCACGATCGGGTATCATTTAATTTTGTGTATCTAGCACTAATTTCATTCACATTCGTTTAATCTCAAATCTTTGTTTAAAAATTCGTAAAAATTGTTTAAAAAGCACCCTAAATCGTTTAATTTGTTCTTCTGTCCAGTTTAAAGCTGACCATTCAATTTTTATAATGAGTGTCCAATTTACAAGTGTTTGATTTCTCAATCACTGTTAAAAAATAAACAACCCAATTGATTAATGATGTATAATGATTAATTTTTGATCAGTGGTCAGGAAATTAAATACTTGTAAATTGGACACTCATTATCAAAATTAATCAGTCAGCTTTAAACTGAACACAAGTACAAATTACATGATTTTTGGTGATTTTAAACAATTTTTACGAATTTTCAAATAAAGATTTGAGATTAAACGAATGTGAAAGAAATTAGTGCTAGATACACAAGATTAAATGATACCTGAGTTACAGTGACAGGTAAGCTACCCTTTCCCCTTTCTTAGATCCATGCATTTTATCACAATCGTTAAAGGTAAGCTACAGGAATATTTTTGACATTTGAAGAGTTAGAGTTTACAAATTTGGTATTTAAGAAATGAGGAAGTTTGTAGAAGACTGGGCTTGGTTGTTGGTTTTATAAATTAGAGAAGCAATTTGTGAAAGCTAAATCTGCCTATTACAAGTCTTTATTCTGACTTCAAATGTTATATAAACTATTATTTCAACATTTATTAATATGACTTCATCAGGATTTTTCGGCATGGTTTCCCCCTGTCACTGGGGCAGGCCGGAGGGCCTGACAAGGACAGCTGTCTAGTAGATTGGATGGGACAAAAAGCTGAGATCCCGTGTAGACATTGGCATGAACGTAAAAATTCCCCTGGCCGTTGGAATTCGATATAAGAGTAGGCCGTAGCGCCACTGTCCGGGCAAAATTTCCCTCACAGCATACTGTATGGCGTATGTCCGTCTTCATTAGCCCAGTCGGAGCAGAACAGTTGGACGTTAAACCCCATTTAATTTCATTTAATTTCATTTTATTGACATGACAAGCCTATAATCAACTCTCTGGACATCAGAGGGCCGGGATTTCAATGAATTTAAACACCTACGAGATTTAAATACTTGGATTGTTAAGTGCAATAAACAATCTACGACTACATCTTCAGTCATAACTTAGCATCTTTATCAAAACTATTACTACTTAACAGGTGTGTTGGTACTGGAAGTTTTTAACAGAGTTGGATGTCCTGTGGATGGCGAAATGTCTACGATTAGGCTGGTACTTGACTTATACCCCCAGTCCGTATGAGACGGGTATGTGGAAGAAGAATTATATTGAACATATTCAGAGTTTACAGGCTTTACGTCCACAGGTTGGTAACATTCATACTAAATTATGCTGTGTCTACAATTAGCTCTGCTTGAAAACAGCTAGTTAAAGTAGCTACGTCTCTAACTTAATATCATCCAAAATCTTCAACATTGAAATCACAAATTATTTGTCAATTTAAATCAACATTGATGCTGTGATCTTACCGGAAAATGATAGGCTTCTGATATCCAATATTTAAGACAAAATAAACATTTTACCATTGGTACACAAATCGTGTACCATAATGCGTTTCAGCCCCAGTTCTAGCAAGAGACTCGAGGAACGAGGCTAGACATATTGCACCAAACCAAACGGCGTATGTAGACTGGAATAACCAGGCGCTAGAAATTTGCATTCAATTGAGACTGCTAGCTGGCATATTTCGCGGAAAAAACTGATTTGAAATTAGAGTAAAAACGGAAACCATTGAATGTATATCAGTTTATATACATTCATATTACAGTATTATATGAGTTCCGACCCACTTGTGTCAATTTCTAGTTCCCAAATGTTAGTGATTTAGCTCCTTTAACTGATTTTAGTTGAGAGAGAGACAGAGAGAGAGAGAGGTAGGGTTTAACCTCCACCTGAAACAGACTAGGTCATTTTGGGACTAACTTATGGTTCAATTTTATTTCAATAATTTGCTTGCACGTAGGGGTCTTTAACAGTGAGAGGAAACCGGAGGACCCATAGAACACCCACGAGGATGGACAGGCGACCCTACTCCTTGCCACATACAACTGCACGTCGCATTACAAAAAAGTATACCAATTGTTGGATATGTATTTTATTTTACAGTCACCTAGTATTAAACACAGAATGAACAATTTAAGTCCGAGGGGATCAAGAAAGGGTGGTCGTGATGGAGGAGTCGGGGGAGTAGGAGGTGGTCATGGTAAAGATAAGAATAAGACACCATGGAGAGGTTCGGACCCAGTGCCAACCGATACCTATAGATATAATATACTAGATAATAATGATGTAATAGAAGAGATAAACAAACAGTAAGTATTATATATAGATACATACAGATCAATCTGATTAAAATACAGATCTACATTTCGTTTCGTTTTTATACTTTCGATGGCCTACACTACATGAAGATCTGACTGGCTGTACGAGTGACTTTTGACCCAATGACGTCAGACATTGATTAATCAATCAGCGTTGACGGTTCTAGGGGTTTACTCACAGTTGCGTGCAGGGCACACCAAGAACTCACTGTAACAGACCGTTTCATTGGCAAATTCCTCACATCAACTACAACGCCTGTTATATAACAACTCTTCCAGATCCTAGTGTAGTAAAGACAAGTAAAAGGAAATTTTGAACTATAAAATACGAAACGAAATAGGATCAGATTGACATATAGGTATAATATATTGGATAATAACAATGTCATAGAGGAGATAAAAGAGGTGAGTGTAATGCAGTTTGTTTTTGCAACACCTTTACTGCTAATTACCTTCTTGGTCAGTATTTATAGTAACATAATCGATAGGATGAAAATATAAGAACACAGCAAAAGGTGTCTAAGTATCTTTCAATAAGTATATAGGACAGGGGAAAACACATAGTTTGGGTGTATATAGTCTTCACCTTGTCCGTCGGTCAACAATTGGCTTGTGAAGGTTATAGAGGCTAATGTTTTTGACAAATGTTTTTCAAATTTGATGTGAAGCATTCTGCAACCTTCCATACCAGAGTTATTTTCCCTTTTCCAGTTTATTATCAGATTTCTTGATATTGTAAATTTGGTACACATCCATGTTTTCCTTTTGGGTAAGCTGCAGTAGCAAGACATGGCTGCTGTATTTGTGTTTTCCACACTTTGCGGTGCTCTCTTATCTTGAGTTGCTTCCCTTATTGTTAGTTTGTTTTTGTTTTTGAGTGAAGTCCGTATCATTACAGACCTGAGACTGTACAGCTGTTCACCATTCACTTGATTTAATATTCGTTTTTTATTTCTTGTAATATCTGTGTAGTTTGTCTTGTCCACAGGTTTGTCTTATCCGTTTGGTTTTGTGCATAGTGCGGTCCTCCTGTGCATAGTGCAGTCCTCCTGTGCGTAGTGCAGTTCTCCTGTGCATAGTGCGATCCTCATGTGCATAGTGTGGTCCTCCTGTGCGTAGTGCAGTTCTCCTGTACTTAGTGCGGTCGCTTACTCTACATGTGTAATTAATGCAACTGTCCTTGTACCAATATTTATTTTTATTAACAGGAGAAAAAAGAAGATCTATGGAGAGGAAGCTAGTCGATTGGCTGAAACAGTTCGGTCTAAAGTTAATACAGGAAATAATGTTCTTCGTGCCATGTCTGCATCGGTAGGTCAAAAGTCATTTCATATACATTTAACATAACCCAGGTTCTGTCAGGGTATGTTGTAAATGTTGTGTTATTTATGTATGTGTGATTACCAAAGCGATTGGAACAGTATTAGTTCATCAGGATTTTACGGTGTGGTGTCCCCTTGTCGGTGGTGCAGGATGGAGGTCCTGACAAGGATAGTGTCCAGTCGTATGGATGGGATGAAAAAACGAAATTCTGTTGTATACATTGGTGTGTTGGAATTCGATATAAGAGTAGGCCGTAGCGCTGCTGTCCAGGCTAAATTTCCCTCATAGCACACTGTATGGTGTATGCCTGTTGTCAACTATTTCCTGGGTGCGCTACAGCTATGACAAAGTGTTAGGCGTTTTGGGGAGCTCCATGGATCACTAATTTCAGGTTTCCTAGACCTGAAGGGTTAATCTCTCACAAAAAAGTTGATTAATATCTATACTATAAATGATTTACTGGTAGTTTGAAAGGACCTGTTCAAATAACAATTTGGATAGGTTTTTGATGGTTGGTGGAGCTTTCAAACTTTACCCTGGTCATCACCCCACTAATGATTTATGTTTGATATGGAGCCATATGTTTGAGTAAGACGCTGGATTGCTAGCTAGGAGGTAGCAAGTTTCGATCCAGGTGTTGTCCCAGAAAGTTTATTGGGATTTTCTGGCACAGTTTTTGCTTGTCAGTGGTGAAGGATGGAGGGCCTCACAAGACAACTGTGGGACGAAAAACCGAGGTGTACACATTGGTATGCACGTAGAAGATCCCTTGACAGTTAGAATTTCGTTCATAGCACACTGTATGACGCATGCCCATCTTCATAGCCAAGTCAGGGGGGTTGGATGGCCGAATGGTTAGCACGTGCGCGCTGTACCATAAAGTCTGTCATTGGTTTCGAATCCCTGGTTGTACGTGGCAAGGAGTAGGGTCGCCTGTCCTCCGACTGCTAAAGACCCCAACGCGCAAGCGAATTATTGAAATAAAATTAAACCATGTGTTAGTCCCGAAATGACCTAGTTTGTGTCGAGTGGACGTTAAACCCCATTTCTCTCTCTCTCATTAGCCAAGTCGGAGCAGAACATTAGGATGTTAAACTCCATTTCATTTGATTTATATATTTTCAGAGAATACATTCTACAACGGGTGGAATAAATAACGACAGATCGAATAGTCGAGTTGATTACAGCAAGAAGAAACATCAGACGGTACAGATCATTGATGTACCTCGTCCCGGACCTGTCAGTCCTCCCCCTAAAACACCACGATCTCCGAAACGCTCTCCAACCAGATCAGCTCGTGATCCACCATGTAAGTATTGAATATTTGAATCTCTCTCTCTCTCTCTCTCTCTCTCTCTCTCTCTCTCTCTCGTTAAATCAGGTTAAATCCCAGGCTTAATGTAAAATAGAATCTCCTGCTTAACCCTGTGGGTTTACTCTGAGCTCTTCAGTTTCCCTTCTCTCTTTTCTTAGTAGCTTGAATGACATCCTTCTATATGTTGCTCATGTGTTTATATTATTCTATGTTTACTGCTAGTAATCTTTTTATATTTACAACTAGTAATCTGTTTATTTTTACAGCTAGTAACCTGTTTACGGCTAGTAATGTTTTTATGTTTACAGCTAGTAACCTGTTTATGGCTAGTAATCTGTTTATGTTTACAGCCATTAATCTGTTTATATTTACAGCTAGTAATCTGTTTATATTTACAGCCAGTAATTGTTTATATGTTTATATTTACAGCTAGTAATCTGTTTCCAACAAAAGCTTGGGATTTACCAGAATACGACTCGGATAATTAAACTGGGATATAATTTGATAGAATAATATTATATACAACTATATACTGTACAACCGAGGACCTTGATAGAATAATAATATATACAACCAAGGATATCAATAACACAGCTATATATGAATTTGTCTACTGTGGAATCAGACCACTAACTCACCAACTACAGCTTCTACTGAACTAAAAACTGATGGTACTTTAATTATGCAACATTCCATTAATATTTTTTTTAAATGTTTCTTTACGCAAACTTAGTGTGTACGTAAGTAGTTATTAGCAACTCGTTGCAAGCCCCGAGAACAAGAAATGAATAGGTAACATGAAACCAACGAGTACCATAACTGATTTCAACACGCATTTCTATTCTCTAAAATGTGAAGTTTTAGATTGTTATAATGTAGGCTTACCATGTTTTTAGTCAATACAAATACTGGATGTGGTTGATTTTTATAAAAATATTGTTACTTAATCAACTCACAGTGTTTATATATAATATTTAAGTGGCATACGCATGTAGGTCTATTACTCACTGTGTATATATAGGCCTATTCTTCACTTTGTATATATAGGTCTATTACTCACTTTGTGTATATAGGCCTATAGACCTATTTCTCACTGTGTATATATACATGTAGGCCTATTACTCACTGTGTATATGTCTATTACTCACTGTGTATATATAAAGGCATATTACCTGCTGTGTATATACAGGCCTATTATTCACTGTGTGTATATATAGGCCTATTATTCACTGTGTGTATATATAGGCCTATTTATCACTGTGTATATATATATATAGGCCTATCACTCACTGTGTTTATATAGGCCTATTACTCACTGTGTATATATAGGCCTATTACTCACTGTGTGTATATAGGCCTATTACTCGCTGTGTTTATATAGGCCTACTTACTGTGTATATATATTTAATGTAGATTGTAATTTTACATGGAAATTATCATTTGATATAATTATTTATTGCATGTTATCATCTCTTTGTGTGCCTTTTGTAGTTATATCATGGTTATATCATGGTTAGTTTTATACGCCCGGGGGGTTGGATGGCCGAATGGTCATAAGGTTTGTCATTGAGTCAATTGGCATGGTTTCGATTCCCCAGTTGTACGTGACAGTAGGAGTAGGGTCTTCTGTCCAACCTCGTGGGTTTTCTACGGGTCCTCTGGTTTCCTCCCACTGCTATTGAAATAAAATTTAACCATATGTTAGTCCCGAAATGACCTATTTTGTGTCGAGTGGACAATCTGCCAACCATTAACATGTGAACGCAATAGAGGTAACATTATTTGACCCATTGTTCTGGAATTTTTCTGTTTATTTTCTTAAATTTTACTCAGATTATAATATTGTAAATGTGATTTGTGATTTCCTGTGATATTGTAAGTTTTATCTAAATTTTATATTTTTATTAATTGTTGTCATTAGCGATATCTTACTTTAATGTGTTACTGGGGATTGTGGGGGCTGACTGGTGTGGGATCATAAGGGGTGTGGTTTTGATTCCAGTCTTGTGAGTGACAACAGGTAGGGTCGCTCAAGGATCAGTCTAATTAAAATACAGATCTATATTTCGTTGTTTTTTTTATACTTTCGATGGCCTCTACTACATGACGATCTGACCGGTTGTATTGGAAGGGCGTGTCAGGGTTCATATGAGCGGCTTTTGACCCTATGACGTTAGACATTGATTCTGGTGGTTTACCCACAGTTCTGTGCACAGAACACCAAGAACTCGCCGTAATAGACCGTTTCATTGGCTAATCCCTCACATCATCCAGAACATGGGTTATATAACAACCCTTCCAGATCCTAGTGTAGTAAAGACAAGTAAAAGGAAATTTTGAACTATAAAAAACGAAACGAAATAGAATCTGTGTTTTAATCAGAATGTGATAATGATTAGGGTTGCTCAAGTAACCTTGTTTTCTTCAAGAACTGAAGAAGCCTATGTAGAAGCGAATTATTGAAATATAATTATGCCATGTACCAGTCCCAAAATGACCAAGTGTTAAAGGGACAATAACACTCTTGCTGGCTTGAAAGCTCCAGAAAATAAATAATATCTCTATCTAAGTACTAGATGTTTAAGTGTCCTACCTGTTGTGTAAATTATCCATTACATCCTATTTTACTTGTCCAGAGGGTTCGAAAATATTTTTAAATCGAAGTTTCATTTGAAAAGGTTTACGTTAGACGTTTCAAACCATTATGTTGAATTTTTCAAAATTTTTAAATAAGGTGTGTTAAGATGAAATATGTATCATCAATTAATTGAAATATTCTAAAATAGTACAATTTGTTGACCAGAATAAAGATTGGGACATATTATTCAGTTACAACAAGAGTGGTATTGAGCCTTTAAACTCTGTTTTTGCCACTTTCTCTCAATCTTGTATTTGTTTATCATTTAAAAAACCCATTTAATAAAAAACAATTCAGTGGATTTTGAAGACTGTCTAAAACAAGGTCACTTATTATTGATGGGATGGAATGGATTTTAATACTTGGGTCATTTTGAGCCAAATATACTTCAACTTGAATTTCTATGGTTACACTTGTAATGCAAGGAGGGAGAATTTTGCCAGAACACTGGTGTTTTTCCCTATTGATCTGCCTTTTATGTGCCCACAATGTGTAAAGGAGGACCTCAGTTTGTAATGCAAGGAGGGAGAATTTTGCCTGAACAGTGGCGTTTCTCCCTATTGATCTGCCTTTATGTGCACACCAATGTGTAAAGGAGAACCTTAGTTTCTCCTCCAGACACACATTCCTGGTTAGACAACTGAAGGCTGGGTTTCGATCCAGGGACCGCTCGACTACCACAGATTCATAGAATCCGTCCATTTTATATTGTTATTCTTATCTCTTTTAATTTCATTTTAACGTCATGTGACTCATGTCCGTCATGTGACTCATATGTCCATCATGTGACTCATATCCATCATGTGACTCATGTCTGTCATGTGACTCATGTCCGTCCATTTGTTTAAAGAGCCAGTATATTCATTGCAGATATCCTGTTGCCATGGTTTCATATATTATAATTAGCTCAGTGTTACAATTAGTGATGTGATGTATTTGATTATCAGTAGTTATCTGCCCTTGGATCAGTTAATCCTATGTCTGCATGTTCTCCATCATTCCAGGGCTAAATCTATTTGTTAAGGCCGGCTCAATTTTCGTCAAGGTCGCCGAGATGTAAATAAGGTTAGGGCAGGTGATTGTTGGCGAAATTGTAGGTTAGGGTTAGGGTAAGCATTGAGGGCTAAATCCAGGGTTAGGGTTGGGATTAACGCTAGCCCAGTTTACATCTCGTGACCTTTGACCAAACTTAAAGTTGGCCTTATCAAATAGATCTAACCATCATTCCAGTTTATATTGTCTCTCTACTTTCACTACAACGAATATTAGTGCTTTGCATATTTCAAATACAAGGTCAAGGTCAGTTTACATCTCAGCCAATGAGTAGACATACAGGAATATCTGTATGACCTTTAACATTGTAGACTTATTAAAGCGTAGCATTCACTGTGACTGAAACCAGAATTTCAATTAAAGGAGGTTTATCTTTTCGCACGAGTCACCTTATTTCCAAATACCTTTTCAGAATCTTGATGTTTACCTTTATGCTTCATTTCCAAATAACTTTGTCGAATAATTAATTAGTTTAAAAACATCTCAGATTTGCACATATTACCTTTCCATTTCTAAGACTGTAGGGATGATGGAGTGAGAATTAACTTATGTTTGTCTTTAAAGATTATGCTAGGATATTTGTGTATATTTAAAGATTATGCTTGGATATTTGTGTATAATTGATGATTATACTAGGGTATCTGTGTTTATTTAAAGATTATGCTAGGGTATCTGTGTATATTTTAATTGAAGATTATGCTAGAATATCTGTGTATAATTAAAGATTATGCTAGGATATCTGTGTATAATTAAAGATTATACTAGGATATCTGTGTATATTTAAAGATTATGCTAGGGTATCTGTGTATATTTTAATTGAAGATTATGCTAGAATATCTGTGTATAATTAAAGATTATGCTAGGATATCTGTGTATAATTAAAGATTATGCTAGCATATATCTGTGTATATTTAAAGACTATGCTAGGATATCTGTGTATAATTGAAGATTATGCTAGGATATCTGTGTATAATTAAAGATTATGCTAGGATATCTGTGTATAATTAAAGATTATGCTAGGATATCTGTGTATAATTGAAGATTATGCTAGGTATCTGTGTATATTTAAAGGTTATGCTAGGTAAAGATTAATATATAATTCATTCCATCGTAAATTAGCACAGTTATTATATACTGTTTTATAGTTATTATAATTATTTATTATCTGTTGTACTATTATTAATAAAAATTCTTTATTCAGATCTGTGTCCTTTATGGGGGGGGGGGGCAGAAAGGCCACATTATTACATTTAATGGGTTACATATCGAGTCAGAAAGGCCATATAATTACATTTCAGTCATATGTGAATGCAGGATTTCCAAAAGGAAAGGACAACCACAAAGGTTTTAAGAGACAGGGTAATGCCCCAAAATGACATTATTTTGATTAAGGACAGTTATTGGATGCACGCAGCCACAAGCAAACCAATGTCATTTGCCTGCAATCAAACCCACAGTCAGGACCTAGCTTACGATAAGCAATCAAGCCCAGGTGTGCCAGTTTTAAGCAGATTAGAACAGTTCAGCCATTTAATGAATTGCAATTGTAATACTTTTAGTAGAATTTTTGCTCGAGAAATAACATATTCGCATAATATGTGATATGTACTTAAAATATTTAAATCAACTCAGTCTGTAATTGACAGTTAACACATAAAAAGAGCTATTTATCGAAAACATATGTCAGTAATTTACCACCAGAATTACATGTGAGTGGAATTATTCTTATTGCATCATTTGGTTTAAAGTAACCAATCATATCGTTAATTGCACAGGTTCAGGGCCATGAACACGCTTATTTCTGCGTGATAAACGTGGGTGCTATATAAGATATCTATTTGAACCTTTCAAGCCAGGCTTCTATTAGGTTCCAGAGAGCTTACATCTGAGTTCCTAGACAGCCGCGAGGCTGGCTAGGGTAGAGAAATGGTTTTAGCTAGTATTGTTATCTATTATGCTTGTATACCTGTATTCAGCTATATATATATAAAAATGTAGAAGCAAACTGTCGCATTGTTATTCCTGGTAAGACAACGTCTTAAGAAACTGTAAGAAGTAAATACACAACGTGAAGCAGAAGTAAAGACAGCTAGAGACAAATTCTAGACGATCACAAGGCTACAGAAATATGTAGTAAGAAAAGATGCATGGGTCGTACGTAGGATGTGGCGACCGGTTCCCTCGTCCGCTCTCCACGTCAGACAGAAGACTCATGGTGCTACACAATATCTTTGCTCAAAATAAAGTAATTTGAATGAAATTTTCAATATATTCATTTTGCATTATCTATTTTTGAACTATTATAGCACCAACGGCCAGCTCTTTAAGGGAGTGTTGCTGTTCCTCCTCTTGTATCTAATAAATAAAATGAAATGAAGACGGGCTAATACAGTATGCTATGAGGGAAATTTTGCCCAGGCAGCAGCACTTTAGCCTTAAATCAAATTCCAACTGCCAAGAGATCTTTTACATTCATGCCAATGTGTACAAGGGACCTCGGTTTTTTATCACATCCGAACGACTAGACAGCTGTCCTTGTCAGGCAGTCCGTCCTGCATCACTGACAAGGGGGAACCACGCCGGGAAAATCCCGATGAACTTTCTCGGCCAATGCAGGGATCGAACTAATAAATAAAATAAAACGATTTGTAATTTGTGAATATAATGTAGAATAAAAAGATAAAATATTACACAATATGGTAACACAATGAGTATGAGTAATAACAATGGGAGATGCTAATTGTGGGCCGGTTGGGGAAGTTTGGAAATTTCCGGAGACCAAAATGGACGCTTTTTATAAATGAGTATTTTGGGGATACTAACCCTAATCCTAACCCTTTTAAGAGGGGTAAACGTTAAATTACATCCAAGTTTAGTCTTCTAAATATGATTAGAATTACTATTCCCAAAAATTTTCATTTATGTAAAACGGCCATTTTGGATTCCAGAAACACCCGAACCTCCCCAACTTGTCTACAATTAGCATCTCCCAAAATAATATAGAGATATTGATTACATCTGCAGCCCTGTATCGTAAATATTAGTATTTATATGACATAGCACAAGATTTTTACTACAAATATTTGTTTGGATACAGTTTTTGTTCTTGATTGATGCTCTTTAAAAAAGAAAAGTGTAAAGTTCCAATTTGAGTAGGATCAACATACAACTTTGCTAAGTCTATTTCTTAAGGCCAGCTCAATTTTTGTCACAGTCGCTGAGAGCCCTGTTTACATCTTGTGACCTATGAAGAAAAATTGAGCTGGCCTTATCATTTAGCACTTGTTCTTTGGATAATTGCACATCATTATAAATTAAAACAACAAAAGTTATATAAAATGCTATATTTTAGTTAAAATAAGGCGAACAGTTTTGAGTAAATTCTTAACGTAAATCCGAGAATGCTTCGTGAAACCCTAGGCCAAGTCATTAATATGAATAAAACAGCTTTATGTCAGCACACAGAAACAGTGATGTCATATACAATGATGATGTCATAAATAATGATGTCATTTGGAATGAAATAGCATGAATATTAACAATAAAACATATATATTTATATATATACCATAACAATTATAGATTCAATATATTTAAAATACAGATGTGACGTCATTAGTTCAAATAATGGTACTGCAATGTGTGTGACATATTTCATTGCAAAGCATGTGCAAGTGTCTGTATTTTAAGTTGTTTAATGGTCTTGTGCAAGACATTGCATAATATATGGGTATAGCCCTTGTAACTAACACAACTTGTGTTGTTTCAATATATCAATTAATGTCTCGCTCTCCACCATTAAACCACACATTACAACTGTTAATATTGCGTATTATCTAAAAGACTGAATCTGCCAATTGTGGATCTTTTTCCTGGCTTCAATTTATTTACATGACAAGCCTATAATCAACTCTCTAGAACATCGGATGGTCGAGATATTGAATGGTTAAGAGCACCCTCGGCATTTAACAATTACAGTTAGAATGGATAATCAAGAGTTTGTTTTTTATCATAGCAATGGTACTTGACAACCGAGACTACCTTGCCCCAGTTTCACAAAGCATTCCCAGACTTAAGAATTTAGTCAACTTTCAATCACTGTTTATGATAAATATCTTTGATCCAGAAACACAAAACTTTGCACATTATTTCTTACTGATGTATTTGATACATTAAAAAAACAAACGTTTTATAGTAAAGGGCTATATTTTAGCTAAAATAAGGCGAACAATTTTGAGTAACTTCTTGACTTAAGTCTGAGAATGCTTTGTGAACTTGGGGCCTTGTCAAAACTTCAAACACTTATAACTTTACTCAGAGTGAAGTAATTTGACTGGAATTTTAAACATATTCATTTATCATTATCTATTTTTAAACCAGTATAACTCTTTATCTAAATTTTAGGCCCTACATAATGCATCTTTACCAAGTTATAAATGTAGGCTTAATGTTCAATAATATTATCGCCTGTCCAACCTCGTGGGTTTACTCCGGGTCTTCCAGTTTTCTCCCACTGCTAAAGACCCCTACGCGCAATGGAATTATTGAAATAAAATTAACCCATATGTTAGTCCCGAAATAACCTAGTTGTGTCGAGTGGACGTTAAACCCCATTTCTCTCTCTCAATAATAGTAACGTATTTATGTAGTCTGAATCCTAATATATGTTTACTACAGTTGTTCCCCCTCGTCAGAATCTCAGACAGTATGTAGACATACAGAAATATCAGACCATCTGAAATAAATCCTACTTTATAATCAATCCAGTGTGTTCCTTTAGTGCTAAATGATAAGGCCAGCTCAATTTTTCGTCATAGGTCACAAGATGTAAACAGAGCTAGCGCCAATCCCAACCCTAACCCCATGTTCCTGAAGCAACGACCGCGAGTTTTACAACATCTAGTCGTTGCTTCAATACTCAACAATTCCAAAATTTTTGCGCTCGTTATCATTGACTAATTAGCATTGTCCAATCAGAGGTCGTGGCACATAACACACTGTAAACAAATATGGCGGCCTCCATAGAAAAAGAAATAGACAAGTTTACAGCCTTTGTTGATCAGCCATGATTTCCAGCAACCTTGACATTGATCGAACCTTGAACTTTGCAACCCGATTGTAACATGTAGACATTTTAGCTAGAAGCGCGAGACTTGATAATCGTAACCATATTTTTTACGAAGGAATCTGATAGGATCACAAGCTGGGCTTATACCCATTAGAAATTAGTGCTAAAATATGCGGGGTATTATGTAAAGGGCTTGATAAGATGTACGTAGTTAAGGCGAGATCAAGCCTTCTATTGAAGATGCCCTAACCCTGGACCTTGCCCCTAATTTCTGAACTGAGATCTCAGCGACCTTGACAAAAATTGAGCTGGCCTTAACAAATAGATTTAGCCATGTTCCTGATTAGTTATTATCCATCAGAGATAACACATCAATAATAACGGTAATATTTGTAAAACACGTAATAAGGCCATACAAATAAAAATTTCTGGTTGTCAGACAAACCTTTCAAAAAATCTGTTGAGGGTGTCAGAGTTTTTCATTTTTAGGGGTTTTATTTTTTCAAAAGGAATGAAATGAAATGGGGTTTAACGTCCTACTGTTCTGCTACAGGGTGCTATGAGGGAAATTTTGCCCAGACAGCGACACTATGGCCTACTCTTATTTCGAATTCTTACTGTCAAGGGTTCTTTTACATGCACGCCAATGTGTACAAGAGACATCAGTTTTTTGTCCCTTCCAAAAGACTAGACAGCTGTCCTTGGCAGAACCCTTCAACTTACATCACTGACAATCGGAAACCACGCCATAAAAGACTGGTGAACTTTCTTGGTCAGCACAGGGATGAAACACAGGACCCCCAGGTTAACAAACCACTGTCTTACTCACTGAGCCACTGTGGCTCCGCTCATTTAAGTAACAAGGGAATATCTGAGAACCATCAAATTTTTTTACAAGGCATTGTCATCACCAGCATCCTGATGTGGTAAGTAGAGTTACAATACATTGATCACAATAAGGCATTGTCATCACTTCATCACTAGCATCCTGATGTGGGTACTAAAGTTACATTGATCAATCTGCCAAATTATTCAAATGAATAAGAGTATTTTGTGGGAATTTCACATTAAAAACACATAAAATAGGCCTACTTAAAAAAAAACAACAGGACGTACGTTACTGACTGCCAAAACACCAAGTCTATAATGTCATCGCTTCCTGTTAGACAATGTGAGTCAAAATATCAAATCGAGCTGACAATCATAGTCAAAATACCAATTCTGGCTGACAATGACAGTCAAAATAACAAATCTAGCTGACAATCATAGTCAAAATACCAATTCTGGCTGACAATGACAGTCAAAATAACAAATCTGGCTAACAATCACAGTCAAAATACCAAGTCTGATTGACAATCACAATAACAAGTTTGACTGAAAATAATAGTCAAATTACCAAGTCCAATGAATGAGTTTAGTACAATCCAGTAACAATATAACAACAACATGAGATGATTCCATAATGAAGAGTGAGTGTTACTAGGTGTTCAGGAAAATGTAAGCATACTCTGCATCAAACACAACACCCGTTCATCTCTATTTCTTAAACACACCATTGCTGGTGACCGTCTCGTCTGGTTTCTGACGTCCAACATAATTCTCCATAAAATTATGGGCTCCAAAAAATCTGATAATTTCTAGCATACACTCCACAGGCAACATCCTAAAATTTAAATATATAAATAACATCCATTTTCTTTCAAACAGCAAAGTTTACCTTTTAACCCTCCTAACGTTCACGCGACACAAACTAGGTCATTTTGGGACTAACATATTGTTCAATTTAAGGTCAATAATTCGCTTGCGCATAGGGGTCTAACATATGGTTCAATTTTATTTCAATAATTTGATTGCAGTAGGGGTCTTTAACAGTGGGAGGAAACTGGAGAACCCAGAGAAAAGCCACAAGGTTGGACAGGGGACCCTACTCCTTGTCACGTACACCCGGGGAATCGAAACCACACCAGTTGACTCAATGACAGACCTTATGATACAGCCATACAGCCATCCAACCCCCTTCAAGAGAGAGAGAGAGATAGAGAGATCAGGTTTAACAGTCAAAACAAGTGACATAAAAAGGAAATGGGATTTTACGTCCTATTTCTCTGCTCCGAATGTAGACGAATGTAGACGGGTATATGCCATACATTGTGCTATGAGTAAATTTTTGTCTGGATAGCAGACCTACTCATATATCGAATTTTAGCTGTCAAGTGTCACCTGTTGTTTTACGTACACCCCAATATGTACACAGGACAACTAAGTCATTGTGTTTTTTTCTGGAATGGTCTATTTTGAGACTAACATGGCGTGAAATAAAATGAAATGAAAATGAAAATGAAATGAGGTTTAACGTCCTACTGTCCTGCTCCGAACTGGGCTAATGAAGACGGGCATACGCCATACAGTGTGCTATGAGGGAAATTTTGCCCGGGCAGCGGCGCAACGGCCTACTCTTATATCGAATTCCAACTACCAAGGGATCTTTTACGTGCACGCCAATGTGTACACGGGACCTCGGTTTTTCGTCCCATCTGAACGACTAGACAGCTGTCCTTGTCAGGCCCTCCGTCCTGCATCACTGACAAGGAGAAACCACGCCAGGAAATCTGGATGAACTTTCTCGGCCAATGCAGGGATCGAACACTCGACCTCCTGGCTAGCGAGCCAGTGTTTTACCCACTTAGCCACGTGATCCCCCCCAAAAATGGCGTGAACTTTGCGTCAACTTCTTTCTGGCGGGATTTCAACTACTGGCTAAAAACTATTTAGACATTTTATTTTATTATATATTTTGTCGACATTCATTGTGGGATAGTATGGTGGATGGTGTCCTAGCTCCCCCCCCCCCTCCCTCCCACACACCCTATTCACAGCTTCTAAATCTGCTACCAGGTTCTGTTGACAAATGTTAGGGGGGAGAGATTTATTTCGGTAGTTTCTTGCCCAACTCTAATCTCTAGATCACATTAGCAATAGACCCCCACCCCCACCCTTAACTCATTGAGTCAACTGGCGTGGTTTCGATTCCCCGGTTGTACTTGACAAGGAGTAGGGTCGCCTGTCCAACCTCGTGGGTTTTCTCCGGGTCTTCCGATTTCCTCCCACTGCTAAAGACCTCTCCGCGCAAGTGAATTATGGAAATAAAAATGAACCATACGTTAGTCCCGAAATGACCTAGTTTGTGGCGAGTGGACGTTAAACTCCATTTCTCTCTCTCTCTCCCCACCCTTAACTACTTCTTATATTCAGAAATAAAACACAGACTGCTCTGCCAACAAAGGAAAAAAAAACGGTAAATTATGTTTCTCAACGCCATTCAGTAATACTTGTACTGAATAAAATATTGTTTACATAAAAATAAAAACTCCTTACGTTTTTAAAACTGAAAATATATAGACTAATCTTGGTATACAGACTTCATACTGATTGGTTAATATACCCTGCATTATAGTTGCCACGGTTTCCTCAGTTTTAAGTGGTGGTATCACCCACGGAAACCTGAAATAAATACATATAGTTTAATAATTCAATTATACTAACAGCTGAAGGCCAGTTATACAAATAGTTGAAATAGGCCAATTAGTTCAAATAGGTCAATTATTAAGTTCCTCTAGACGCGGTATCAATATTACTGAGAAAAACGTTGAGCTGTTAAGTTAGTCAGTCAAGCTGTTAGGTTAGTCGAGTAGCTAGCTAGTCAAGCTGTTAATTCAGTCCAACTAGACAGTCAAGCTGTTAAGTTAGTCCAGCTAGCCAGTCCAGCTGTTAGTCAAGTCAGTCCATGCAGCTAGACAGTCGAGCTGTTAAGCCAGTCCAGCTAGACAGTCCAGCTGTTAGTCAAGTCAGTCCATGTAGCTAGACAGTCCAGCTGTTAGTCAAGTCAGTCCATGTAGCTAGACAGTCCAGCTGTTAAGCCAGTCCAGCTAGGCAGTCAAGCTATTAAATAATTCCAGCTAGGCAGTCGAGTTGTTAATTCAGTCCAGCTAGACAGTTGAGCTGTCAAGTCAATCCAGCTAGCCAGTCGATATTTTAGTCAGATAATATTCTAGTCTTGTTAGTCACTTTAGCTAGCCTTTTTTGAGATGTTAGTCAGTTGAGCAAGCCAGTCGAGATGTTAGCTAGACTAAAACCTACCTCATCTGACATCCTTTGAACATCTCCGTCTGAGTAAAGGACGGGCAGAGTAACGTCGTGTGGACGCCATCATAACCACTAAATACAATCTCATAGTTCAACACCTCCGTGAATCCCACCACGCCAAATTTACTGGCGGAATAATCTGTTAACTTGTTGATGCCGATTAACCCAGTCGAAGAAGCCATGTTGACAATATGGCCGTGATTCTTCTTTAACATGTCCGGTAAAAAACATTTTACAGTCTGAAAAAACAAAAACATTTCTGCATTGACAATAAAAGAAAAACATCTCACGATCTGAAACCCCCCCCCCCCACAAATATTGATTTTATTAGATCAGTGGCGGGAAGTGCCCTTGTTATTTCACAAATTACTGGGATTGGACGGGATGGGATGGGTGAAACAGGGTTTAATAGGATCGGCTGTGATTGGAGAAACAGGGTTTAATGGAATGGGATAGGTGCAGTAGCAGATTATCAGTGAGGCTGATGAGGCTGCAGCCTCAGGCCCAAAGATTTTGTAAAAAAAATTTTTTTAGACTTGTCTAATACGATTAAAAACGCATAGACAATGAATGTTAGGGGGGTTGGCTTTAGGCCCACCGGGAATCAACATACTGTAGGCCCACACCATTTTAAATAGGCCCTATTTAAAAACTAAATAGGCCCTCCAGTAACTGCCGCCTCAGGCCTTGGTGGAGCTTAATCCGCCACTGGATAGGTGAAACAGGTTTGATGGGATGGGTTAAACAGGGTTTAATGGGATGGGATGAGATGGGTGACACTAGGTTTCTTGGAATGGGGTGGGTGAAACAGGGTTTAATGGGATGGGATGGGATGAAATGGGATTTTTAAAACAATATTTCATCCAGAAATTGAAAGGGTTGAGGAACATGAATAGCCTATAATATGACCTCTCTCCTAAATATAATTGGTATGGGATGGTATGGTATGGTATGGGATGGGATGGGATGGGATTTGATGGGTTTAATGTCTTGCGAACACACTTCTTTGAGACAAATATATATATATTTGTTCGTCCGTCTAAAAAATTAACATATATGTTATTTTTATACGTCCACATTCATAATGTGAACGTATTATGCCGTCGCCCCTGTCTGTGTGTGTGTGTGTGTGTGTGTGTGTGTGTGTGTGTATGTATGTATGTGTGTGTGTGTGTGTGTGTCTGTGGTTCGCCTACAGGGCGCAATTCTTCATGGATTTTCTTCAAACTTGGTATACTTATTCCTTATACCCCAAGGAAGATCCCTATTGTTTTTGGTGCATGCCCGACCCCCGGGGCAGAGCCACGCCCATTTCTAGTATTTGTTTGTTTGTCGTCTACAGGCCACATTTCTTAACTAATAATCTTGAAACTTTGCATACACATTCTTTGTACCCTAAGGAACATCCCTATCGTTTGGGGTGCATGCCCAACCCCCAGGGGCAGAGCCACGCCCATTTTCTTTTCGTGTGTCTTTGTGTCGCCTACAGGGCGCAATTCTTACTGGATTTTCTTCAAACTTGGTATACTTATTCCTTATACCCCAAGGAAGATCCCTATTGTTTTTGGTGCATGCCCGACCCCCAGGGGCAGAGCCACGCCCATTTCTAGTATTTGTTTGTTTGTCGTCTACAGGCCACATTTCTTAACTTATAATCTTGCATACACATTCTTTGTACCCTAAGGAACATCCCTATCGTTTGGGGTACATGCCCAACCCCCAGGGGCAGAGCCACGGGCAGAGCCACGCCCATTTTCTTTTCGTGTGTCTTTGTGTCGCCTACAGGGCGCAATTCTTACTGGATTTTCTTCAAACTTGGTATACTTATTCCTTATACCCCAAGGAAGATCCCTATTGTTTTTGGTGCATGCCCGACCCCCAGGGGCAGAGCCACGCCCATTTCTTGTATTTGTTTGTTTGTCGTCTACAGGCCGCATTTCTTAACGCATCATATTGAAACTTTGCATACTTTTTCTTTGTACCCTAAGGAACACCCCTATCGTTTGGGGTGCATGCCCAACCCCCAGGGGCAGAGCCACGCCCATTTTCTCTTTGTGTGTCTGTGTGTCGCCTACAGGCCACAATTCTTAATCGACCGTCTTGAAAAAATTTCATATGAATTCCTTATACCCTAAGGATGATCCCTATTGTTCTTGGTGCATGTCCGACCCCCAGTGGCAGAGCCACGCCCATTTCTTATATTCATTGTTTGTTATCTACAGACCGCATTTCGTAACGTATCACCTTGAAACTTTGCATGCTTACTCCTTCTATCCTAAGGAACATCCCTATTGTTTGTGGTGAATGCCCAGCCCCCAGGGACAGAGCCACACCCATTTTCTTTTTGTGTGTCTGTATGTCACCTACAGCCTGCAATGCTTAATCGATCATCTTGAAAACTTTTTTATACTTATACATTATACCCCAAGGCTGACCTCTATTTTTTTGGTGATTGCCCAACCCCCAGGGGCAGAGCCACACCCATTTTTTCTTTGTGTCTCTGTGAGTTGCCTACAGGCCACGATTCCTAATGGATTGTCTTTGAACTTGGGATATGTTTTCCTTATAGCCTAAGGACGACAACTGCATGTCACGACCCCCAGGGGCAGTCATGCCCAATTTTTATGTATATCGTTTACAGGCCCGAATTCTGGATGGATCAACTTGGTATTTGGCATATGTATTCCTTATAGCCTAAGGGCATCAACTATTGATTTTGGTGAATGCCCCAACGCCCAGGGGCAGAGCAACGCCCAATTTTTGCCTTTAACGCCCAAAGGCCACAATTCTGAATGGATTATTTTGGAACTTGGTGTACTTATTCCTTATACCCTAAGGACGGCAACTAGTGATGTTGCCATTTCAATAACAGGATGGTACCTGTTTATATTGTTTCCATATCCAACCCCCATGGGCAGAGCCACGCCCAGTTTTTGTATTTATCGTCTACAGGCTGCAATTCTGAATCATCTTGGAACTTTGCATATTTATTCCTTATACCATAAAGACAGCAACAATTTATTTTGATACTTGCCCGGACCTCTTGGGGCAGTGTCACACCCACTTTACTGTTAGTATTTTGTCTGTAAATTTGGCAAAACAAACCCGACGCCTAGCCTTCTTTGCCTCTGATCATATTACAGCCATTTCATATTTCATTTTCTTCATTTTAAAAAGTACCATATCAATCAAAGCTGGAATGTGGACGTATATTGCAGCGTTAGCGATGCTCTTGTTTTAGACAAATACATGTATATGTTAATTTTATTTCCATGGAGGAGAATTTTGACAATAGTGTGTCTGCCAACTGTCAAGGATTCTCTTACATGCATGCCATTGTGTAAATCAGTTTTTCATCCCATCTGAATGACTAGGCAGTCCTGACAAGTGATGGTCAGTCTTGAAAAATAACGGAACTTTTTTTCGACCCACAAAGGCAAACAAAAAAAAAACCCTTCAGATTCTAGTCAAGTATGAAGGCCTTCCTGTCAAATTAAGAAGAAATCCTTCTCCCAACCCCCCTCCCCTCCCTCATCCCACCCTCCTCCACCAAATATAAGTTGATATAATTAGAACATCCAGTCTAGTTACATGATGCGTGATTAAAACACAGATCTTATTTTGTTTCTTTTTTTATAGTTCAAAATTTTGTTTTACTTGTCTTTACTACACTTAGATCTGGAAAAGTTGTTAGCATTATCGTGTTCTGGTTGATGTAAGGGATTAGCCTATGAAATGGTCTGCTACGTCAATGCTGATTGGTTAATCAACGTCAAAAGCTGTTGTATGACCCCTGACACAACCTCCCACTACAACTGGTCAGATCTACACATAGAAGTATAAAACAACGAAATGAAATATAGATCTGTATTTAAATCAGATTGATTTACCGTACATGATGTACCATCTATCCAGATGATTTGAATGTAATCATAGAATGGCATGTCAGGAATACTTAATAACAGCTCAAGATATTAACAGATTAATCATAAGTTGTTCATTACCATGGAAACCATATATACAGTTGTCACGGTAATAACTGCTCAAACAAGATGTTAATTACCACGGAAACCAGACATACAGTAGTCATGGAATTTAACTGCACTCACAAAACGTGAGTAAGGAGAGAAAATAAAGATCAGAAATATAAAATTTCTAGCATGACTGGAATTCAAGAATAGTAGGCTGTATGGTAGTCCAGCTCTGAACGTACATGTAGGTCTCAGGCGAGTGTAATGAGACCTACGTTCAGAGCTGGAGTAGCTATATGGTATTGTTGTACATGGTGATTATAATTAAACTAGAGAGAGAAGTGGGGTTTAACAGCCACTTGACACAAACATATGATTCAATTTCATTTCAATAATTAGGCCTGTAAGGACTCTTTTATCAGTGGGAGGAAACCACAAGGTTAGACAAGCGACTCTACGTGGTGCCACGTACAAATTGAAAACCACAACTTGAATCTAATAATTATAATATAGTTCTGGATATTGTCTGTTATAATTGCTATTTACTGTATCTACATAAAGTACCACAATCAACTGAATCAAATGTTTATGATCTATGAATAATCATATAACACACTATTGTATATGACTTTTAAACAGCCATAAATGGTTTTACTGTCCCTTTGATTTGGTAGACATTACACCCCTGGTCGAAGACCATCTGATGATCTCGGATAAAGCACACGACCCTGACACTTTTCTCATAAAAAGTGTTGTTTAGATTTTTTTTATGTAATGTAACCCCCCCCCCATCTGGATCCGCCTCCTGGTATATACAATATATCAACTATTGTCACATAGATACAGAGAGAGAGAGAAATGGGGTTTAACGTCCACTCGACACAAACTAGGTCATTTCGGGACTATCATATAGTTCAATAACATATATAGGAAATATTTAAACTTCCTGGTGTATGTCATTAAAATTTTAAAATGACATATTCTAAGGTAATCATCCAAGAAATGAAGTGTTTATTTTTATCCCGCGTCGATTGAAGTTAGGGAGGGATATTGAAATGGGGTCCCTCTGTCTGTCCGTCCGTCCGTCTCGATTACTTAGATATCTTTTTGAAACTTAATTGTACAGACATCAACCCATTACAGTAGTTGTGCCTTTTGCTATTTAGTGGGGGTTGGATGGTCGAATGGTTAGCACGCGCGCTGTATCACAAGGCCTGTCATTGAGTCAACTGGCGTGGTTTCGAATCCCCAGTTGTACGTGACAAGGA